ATCGTTAAAAAAACATCTTAACAAATAAGCTACGAGGTCCTATTGACGCGGTTCACGATATTTTCTTTGCCGTTTTATTTCCTGCTATTTGCATGATTATCGTGTGAATCAGTGTGACGAAAATTACAAATATATTATCTCAGCGAAATAGAAAAACAAACAGAAAACTTCAAAATGATGATACGTTATTGAGTCTGTTAAGTCGTAAGATATCACACCAACAATGTAAAACAAATAAATAAATAAATAGATAAAAATAATAATAATGTTAGAGGTCTAAAAGCTTAAAATCATGCAATAAGATAAGTTCTGAATAAAAACTACAGTAAAATATTAAAAGCTATTGACTAACTTCGATCTCAAACTGTATACGGACCTTGTATTTACAACATCTTCGGGAAGGGAGTTTCATTCATTGATTGTTCGTTGGAAGAAAGAAAACTTACAAATCTTCTTTCTTTGCCCTGAGGGTACAAACTCTAAAAGGGTGGCTCCCACTGGTTCATCTTTCACTGTTTGGTTTTAGACTAGTGGCTATTGATAACTCTGTCAGATTGTGGGAGAATTTAGACGTAAAAAACACTCTGGCGGAGATTGCTGAAAATAGCGCAACATGGCTTCATCGTCATTTACAGCTAAACCACTCTAATCATTAATAATAATGTTAAAACCTTGTCAGTGTTCCGAAAGCACATCATAATTTATACAAATTTTACCTCTGGCTTTGGACTTGCCTTGATTCACCAGATTTACGAGTTCCCTACGACGACGAAGAACTTGGCACGTTATAGTTTACGAATACAGCGGTCAAACTTCTCTGCTTGTGCGAACGCTTTAACGCTGTAACGCTTTCACGCTGTCCGAACTGTGTTGTCCACGACGAGGTACAAACAACCAAAGGAGCCAGTTTTAGAAGCGTAACTTTTTTTGATAAAGCTCAAAACACTGAATGGTAAATCACAGGATACCCTAACTTGAAGAAGCGTCGTGTTCGAAAAGTCTAGAGTTTTCTATTCCCCTGAGAAGAATTAAAATTCTGTTGAAATCAAGTGACCTGCAGCCACCACATCATCTGGCTTTGCGGACTTATCTCCACGAAGTCGACCTTGGTCGCCACGCAAGATGCAAATAGTCATGTGAAAAGAAAACACGCACGCTTGAGACTATAATCCCTGAGGCTGTCATCCCTTGGATCACCGAATTCCTCACTTCGCACAAACAACGAGTTAAGCTCGGCCCTAACTGCTTTTCGGAATGGGGCGCAGTCCGGCGGTAGTTCCTCAAGGTACAAAACTGGGGCAGTGGCTGTTTATCATTATGATCAACGAGCTAAATGTTTCTAGCAACCGATCTCTGGAAATATGTTAACGATACCACAATTTCGCAGACGATTAGAAAGAAAAAAGAGAGTTATATCCAAGCCTCTGTTGACATCCTGGCAAACCGTGCGTCCGTAGATAACTTTTTCAACTTAACGACATGACAAGGAACTGCGTATAAACTTCAACACTAACAACACCACTTTATTCGATCCAGTTGTTGTTGATGGTATGCCTATTGATCTAGCTGCCAGTGCCAAAATAGTACGCCTCAACATATCCAAGGATTTGAGATGGAACTGCCACATTTACAACATTATCAAGAAAGCCAAGAGGCGCTTGTATAGCTTATCTCAGCTTAAACGCTCTCGGTCTTGGTATCCGTGAGTTAGTTCGGTTTTAGGCCTGCACTTGCATTCTTCCGATCACGGAGTATGCATGTCACGTCTTTCATAACGGTCTCCCTACATGCCTCTCCAACGAACTTGAAGAGTACAAAAGCGGGCTATGCGAATCATCTTTCCCTTTTGCTCATATAAAGAGGCATCGGCTAAATCAGGCCTAATGAAACTTTCAGACCGCCGTCAGGAACTAGTTGATAAACTATTCAAGAAAACTATCCAGAGCGAACAGAACAAGCTTCATGACCGGCTTTACTCTACCTTTAACACAAATACTTTGAACATAAGAAACAAACGGAAGTTTAGGCCCGTGTTCAAGACGAACAGACTTCGCAACAGTTTTATCATTTTAAATGCCCTTTTAACCTAAACTTTTTCTACTAGACTTTTATACTTATTCGACATATTTTATTTACAAACGTAACAGATATACAAAAACAAATTTTTTTGCAAACTTATTATAAACTACTGGTAGTCCTTTTAATGTAACTATTGATATATTTTTTTTAATAATCGCACAATTCAATGTTTTAGTTGCAAAGCGGTGATAAACCATTTATCTTATCTATTAATCTCTCCCTACTTTAGCTGATTTTACAGATTTCTGGCTAGGAGCATTTAAATTATCTTTCGCTCATCTTGTGCCGCAGCTATATTCTTCTGTTTTCTTTGAAATTTTGCGCGGGAAATTGAAACGCAGGCAGCCAAAATCGATCTCCTTGCGCATGCCAAAAGTTTGACCGCTGAGTTGGAGTTAATGTTTTATCGCATGTCGCTCAAAACATTTAACACAAGATATAAAAAAATGTGCTGAAGAAATTAAAATTAAAAAAAAAAAGAATTTCCTAATTTTTTCAAATTTAAAAATGTCCTTATATTTGTATACTTTTGCAGGAGGATGGGTTCGTTCACTCCGATTTTTAGGTGTTTCCAAGCAGCCCCAATGTACTGTCGTTGTAGCGTCCTAACCACTTTGCCGTCGATAACGAGTACAGTTTCCCCGCATTCACCTTAAAAAAAAATTTTTCCGAAGACGAGAGTAATTAGGAAAGCTTGCAACGTATTGCGAAATAATTTAAGTGTAAACAAAAAAAATTCCATGTCCAAGAAGTGTTGCTTACGAACATGCGCATTTAAGATATGTTCTAAGATGACGAGTGTTCCTTGAGAATAAGATAAAAAAAAAAAAGGGTTTGTATCGACAGAGTATCTTACCTTTAATATGTTTGGCCCATACTGTATTTTGAATTAATTTTTCTTTTACATTACGAACTATAGGAAGTACTTATGTTTCATCTCGTCATAACATGAGCAGTATCTGTTTAAAGTACAAAAAATGGGGGCAAATGATTGCACAATTTTTCTAATTTCATTTCCTTTGTAAGTATCAAAGCTAAGCAAAGTGCGTCTAAGAAATAGTCCTTGATGCATTTAAATCCTTTCTGTAGGAATAATACGTCTGCAAAACCCAGCAGTCTGTAATTAGACTAGAATATTTGCATACATTAGCGCAAACCGGATAAGTTTTATTAACAACGATGATTGGACAAAGGAGCCTATCAATTCAGTTTCAAATTACAACAAACTTTTGGGGGAGTTTGCTGATGTGATGGACGAGTAACCTTTTTGACACTTAATCTTATATCTCTGTAACTTACTGAAATGACAAAGAGCACGTCAAACGAAAGTTTGCACAGATAGACAGCCGGCCGGGTTTTTATATTCCTGTGTAAACAGAGGAGATGAAAAAATTTTAACACCTAAACCTAGTGTAAATTTTTAACATGCGGCAAATGTGTACGTATCTGCAGAAATTATTGACAGACTAAACACGCGCATCGTTACAAGACATATCAGGCTCACAGTTGTCTTGTTTCGTACGTGTTTCAATTCTTCGTAAATTCAATTTTAAAATATTTTGCCTCAGACTGAACAACTTCATTCAACAACAGCCCAGAAAAGATTCAGGTCACAATGGAAAAAGGATATATCAAAGCACTGAATGTTAGTAACCCAACCGAGAGGTTTGTATGCGGAGACATCGGATTCTCAGGTCTTAAAATGGTTCCCTTTCCTCAAACTGATTTGTTTCGCTCCGTGACTCTAGTGCTGTGTGTTCTAAACGGTGTTACATGTCCGTTAACAATCGTTGGCAACGTCTTAGTCTTTATGGCTGTGCTCAGAAAGCCTCAGCTTCGAAATGTAGCAAATACCTCCATTTTGTGCCTTGCGTTGACAGATTTGACGGTTGGCGCGTTTGTTCAACCTTCATATATTATTTATCAAACAAGCAAACTGACCACTGCTTTCGCTGACTTTCCGTGCGACAAGCTACTTATTTACTCGTTCTCTGGAGTGATATGTATCTGCATGTCATTTCTGACATTGATTTTGATCTCGCTTGAGAGATACATGGCAGTATTTTATCCGTATCGTTATGTTGAGAAGGTCAACTCCAAATGTCTGATTACAGTCACTGTCACAATCTGGGTGATCTCGATTGGAACACTGCTAACTGTGAGATTCTTGTTCGGGATAAACAGCAATGAGGAAATAGGAGTGATATCTCTCGTAATAATCGCAAATTTCATCATCACGTCGTTTGTGTACTTTAGGATATTTAGGCTGGTCAAGCGCTGTAACGCCCAGGTTAACGTAGAGTTGTCGCACAACACTTCCGCATCCTCTTCCAAAGAGCCTTCTTCACCAGGGAACTCAAGTCCTCGAGAAGCCAAAGCATCCAAGACAGTGGCGTTTGTGGCTGGAACTTTGTTCCTGTGCTTCACACCGACCCTCTGTGCCACCATTGTCGACCAGGCTGGCTTGGCACCAAGAAACCTTTTATATCACGTGATTTATCCTATTGGCGAGACAGCAGTTCTCTTGAACAGCTGTCTTAATCCAGGAATTTACGTTTGGAGAAATAAGGGGATTCGAAGCAGTCTGCGTGAATTTTTAAGCTCTTGTAAAATCACAGCCAGCAATTAAAGGAAATTGAAGAAACAAAACGGGATGAGAAGGATCAAATTAATTGCTACGCTTTTCTCGAAGGACAAAACTTCTTGCAGAATATACGTCTGCTGACTATGGGATTGCAGTCACTAAAAAAATGTCATGGAAATAACGCGCAGCACATAGTGTGCCTATATAGCAAATCCCGGAAATGCTACTATAATCCACTCGAAAATTCCATTTTTTCCCCTGGAAATAAAAAAATATCTCCTCTCTGAAATTTGTCTTCTCTGGGTCATGTAGCCACAATGGCAAACACAGGTTGTAACTACTCTGTCTGGTCGCTGAGCAATCCGCTGTCCAGTTGTGCCTCGGCTTCCAATATAGCTCTTACAAAGAGCTGGTACAGATAATCCACAATTTCTAGGGGGAAAACCAGGTAATCAAACAAGGCCAAGCCAACAGTAAACAACATTGAAGAAGGAAAAGATTGCAGAAAGCAAGCACGAGGGGAGCTTGTATACAACAAGGAAGAATTAGAAAAAATCTGTGAACGAAGAAATGTACTGAATGGAAGAACGCATGAGATTTTAAGTTCTCTTCAAGCCATTGTTTCCCAAATGTAAGTTGCTACAACGAAAATGTTGAGGAGAAGAGGAGAGAACTCATAACTACAAAGTGATAGTCACTTTTGCAATTACAGCTAGCAAGACTAGAGCATAAAAAAAAACTTGATTAAAATCAAACGAGCATTGTATGACACTGTAAAACATTTCACTAACCTTCAAAGTTTAATAGTTGGTAGTTGGGTACGCTCTTCTTGAGATTTAAATATTTATGGCAAAGAAAATGTGGCGAGTATTTACTGCAATTGTAAAAAAACAAACAAATAAACGAGCAAAAAAGATTTAGGGCACCTGGAACACTGACGAGTGATTTTAAGAAACCCCATATACACGAATACCCTTCCTTGACAAAAAGACATACTAATTTGGTGTATCTAGAAGAAGAGAGGGTACCAAAAGGAAGACGGTTAAACTTAAAACAAATCTACGATTATTGTTGTATAGAAAATCTCATTTTTGATTCAAGACTATAGAAATAAGAGAACCGATTCCGAAATTATTTTCGAGTTGGTTTTCAACGCGATGAGGAGACCAGTGAATGATTAAATTTGAACCATACCCGTTGAGCAAATCTTAGCGTTTTCCCACATATGTTTGCTTCCAGCGACCACAATATATCATAGGCAAGATTACGAGCCGCTGTTCGGGAATATGAGCCCGCGCTCTTACCCCCCGAATCCAGGAGGAGAGAAGACCGGACACGAGAGAGCGGCGGAAAACGAGCCAAGATATATCAGCGACTCGGTATATGTATTTAATACTGTTGAACTTACGTTTCAAACGCGGACTGAATGTCCATCCAATCCACATCAAACTCCTCCATGTATTCAGACTCATACAGGCTAAGAAAAAGAATTTATTACATAAACACCAATGAAATACCAAGTAAGCTTTTGCGCGAAAACATGATCTTTGCAAAGTACTGGTGTGCAAGGTTCTCGATCGAGTCTATGTTTCGAAGGCAGACTAAATGTCTATTCAACCCCACATCACATTCTTCCTCGACTTCAGAGTCATACAAACTAAGAAATATACGGGTTCTGCATAACAATGGTATAATCAATGACGAAAGCCTGAGCGCCGTATGAGTACCAAGAATAAGAAGCTTCTATCCTCTTCATTTTGTGACAAAGCTCAAAATTCATCATCCATCTTCTTCGAGTTTAGATCATGTAAAATCTATTGGTTTTTTTTTCGAATGGATTAAAAGTCATTCACCAAACCTTTCCACAAGTGTCATGTCATCACTTTTCGTCCATCTCTGGACCTCATTGTCATTCATGCTCCAGCACAGCTTGTGCAACCTAAAATGGGAAAGCAAATTTTTCACATCGGATCTCTTATCAAAAACATTACTCTATTAAAATACAAAGCTTTTCTACTGAGAGTCGTAAAACCGGAACTAATAATAAAGAAACGACGTTCAACAGAGCGAATGTGAATTCTACAAGGAGGAGCTTGGAGAGCTTTGTGTGGAAGAGGGGAGGGGTGGGTGGGGAACCTCACTGGATGAAACTTGGGAAAACGCGAGTGACCAAGTCGAGTGGTGCTTGGCTTTGGTTTTGGAATCTTATGGAAAAATGTCCCCGGCTACTGCAAGAAAGCTCCTTGGTAGTTTTATAACGTTAAAATGGGTAACACTTCACGGAGAAAATGTTAAGAATGGAAGGGATTAGCAAGGATTGCATGGCATGGAATCTGTAAATTTAGAAGTAGTTCACGATGCACAAAGTAACAAACGCATGCTTACCACGGTAACTTTAAGTAATTGTTACGCCAAACTTAGAATAATCTTTTGTGCTCTTCAGAGTTGTATTTTCTTCTATTACGTTTATCACTTCCTGCGTAACATCGACAAAACGCGCGGTAGCCATTTTAAAATCAAGTGTCACACGGAAATCACCTTGCACGAGGTAATTATTGTGAGAGATAATGCAATCCTCGATCAATCAGAGCGTGCGTAATTATACTAACAATGATTACTAACCATCCAACTATGACGGAGTTTGAAGTTCAACGCTCAAAGCTTACAGACATATTAAATGACCATACATGTAGAGTGGTTAAAAACACCAGCTGCCTGGAAGCAAACCAGTTGCTTATTTACAAAACGCAGCCAAGGAGTTGAATTTGCAGCAACTGAGGACAAATCCAGCCAAAAGCTGGGAGGAAATGTTGAACCCAAGACCACAAAACTATGAGTCCATTCCGTGCGATACGTACACAGCTGTGTTGCACCCACCCACCCCACCCTTTCCCCCTTCCGTGAAAAAACAATTTGCAAATAAAAAAAAATAAATGCAAGAGATGTAGGAATGAGATTCGAAATAATTTTTCCAACGTTGAGAATGTTTACCATTTTCTTCTACACTGTTCAGTACCCCTTGATTTGACCATCTGCGAGACTGCCGGCCAGTAAATGTCATGATAAACTGCCTCCTCCTCAGAAGTGTTTGTAACAACATGGACAGCTTCGTTCAAACGCTTAATCTCCTCCTCTGTCCATTTTCCTTTCTTTTCTTCTACTTCATCTGTGAAGGAATCATGAACAAACTTTAATTTTCAATACCTTGGCCATGAACAATAAATTGCTGATGTTGTGGGGTAAAGCATTTGGATTATTACTATGATGTGAGTTAGCAGTCTCGACTCGAAACTCCATTCTCGAAAGCTTCGAGAATCAATAAAGAATCGAGTTTCGAGTTGAGAATCAATTTTCGAAAATCACGAATCAAGACGCTTTAAGAGTCTTGAGAAAACGGTTTAACTGTTGAAAACAGAACAAAGCGTCTACTCATAGCCTCCCTTATTCGCAACAAGCTTTAAACGTATTTTTCACAAAACCCAAGGAGGGTTTGAACGTGGCTGATAGATATATATAAAAAAACATTCTCTCGCATCTATGTATGAAACAATCCTGTAACATTTGAACTTCGATTGTGTGCAGGAGCAAGGGCATATTTTTCTCCTTTCCGGTATCTATTAAACATTCTATACAACTAACTACCGGAATGAAAACAAACAGATTTCCACATGCAGCGTGTTCGGTTATCATCCCCTCTAAGTTAACTATGTACAACACACTGCCGCGAGAAACAAACTCTCATTATACGTCTCCGTATGCATAGTTACCCGACAGGAAAAACTTAAGAAGGCCTATAGGGGTTTAGTTTCTTGAGAAACTGCGGTGCTACGTCAATGTGGGGTTGTTACATGACTTCGGGCGAGATGACTCTCGGGCGACTTGACCGGTTACCATCCAAGGCGAGAAACTTTTTAGGGTGGCCGATTTCCATGATTAACTCAGTTGATAAAACCAAATTATGTAAGGAAGAGAGCATCGAGTAGCAATTGTATGACTGCTACGTAGCATCTGGTCATGCAGTTTTCAGCTAAATTTAAATTATGTTGATTAGCCTCATTAAAACAGCATTGTAACACACACGTTCCTAGGGCCCGTTTCTCGAAGGTCCTGGTGACTTAATGGCCCTGTAAAGCTGTTCTGTTTTTATTCACAATGGAGATTTCAAAAGCATTGAGAATTATACAGTAAAACTAGCAGCATAAGAGACAAAATGGACTGGTTAGGGCGCCAGAGTCTACTTCTCTATTCTTTAACTTTTGATTCTAAAATGTGGCTTCGGGCACATTAAGTTACCGGAACTTTCGAGAAGCGGAACCCTGGACGCTCTGTTTTGACTGATTTAGGCCCTAGTTTTATCTTTTATCTTTATCGACTTCTACTTAATCGACAGAAACTGGGGTAACGCACATGTAAAGTAAGTCAAACCGCCTCACACTACTGTTGGGGAAATGTCTGCTCAGATGAGATCATTAGGTATGTTTGGGACTTTTTCATTCATCGTTTATGAAGCTCACTCGGCTGTTGCAGAACTTCAAATGGATAAAGGAGGAAAGCTTTTAGAGAAACTATGGTGCTGCGTCAGTGGGAGGTGTAAAAATATAATTTTGTTTTATCAGCTGAGTTAATAATGCAAAGGGGCCACCATATAGAGTTTCTAAACCTGATATTCGGCTAACCCTGACGAAGGGCTAACGCCCGAAGCGTCAGCTTTATAAACCCTTTACGGTGGTTACTTAATATTATCAACTCAGTAGGTAAAACCAAATAATCTTGTTGTAGAACAGTGTTCATTTACAGCTGCACTGGTCAGACACGGGAGAACAAGAACGTGAAAATGCCCCCTTTCCACTCCCATCTCCCCTACCCACCCTTCCTATTCTACTGACCTCCCCCCCCTTGCCCCCATTTATACACCCCTGTACATGTACCTACCATTTACTAGTTTTGCATACTTGCGGTTCAAAGACATGGAACTTCTACCCATCACTTCACCAATACCAACCCAATCTGAGCCATGTATTTCCGCCAACCTGAGTGAAAATGAATAGGAACTGAACTCCATAACAGCAACAAAAAAGACGTTATTCTACACACTGGATGTTTAACAGTTCACCGGTGGGCTTGAATGTAATAATTTTTTTAAATTTGAGGAAAACTAAACACAGTCCATCTATTATTGGTTACTTGGTGAACTGTACCTTTTCAATTTTTGAATCTCACTTTCAGTGTACCTGCAGAAAAATCAAAACACATGAAAACAATGAAGAGCACCACACAAATGATAAGTTAAATACACACACAAAACAACAACAATTAATAAAATCCTTTCACTATCCATCAAACAGGTAATGAGAATACTCAAACTTATCAGGTAGAAGTTGATATCATGATCTTAACACCAAATTCTCACAACTAATTTGCAAGGAAATGTGTAGCAGCTAGAGGGGAGAATGAACAATCAAATCTTGCAAGTTAAAAAGTTCAGTGGTAAAATGGTTAAATGGTATCAAAGATCTGCTTCACTGTGGAAGTTGATCATTTACAGAAAATTGTAGCCTGTAGTGCTGGCCAAGATTTTCTGTAAGTTTTCTGGTTGGAGCAGTGAATTGGCCCATGTGGTTGGAAATTTTTGTCTACAGACATTCATTTGCCTCACTACGTTGCACTTCCTTTTACATGCAGTTCACTCTTTTAAAGACACATCAACGTTTCTGAATAGTTAGTTGTAAAGCATAACAGTTGAAGCAATTTTTAAAATGTTAAATGCTCACTAAAGCAAAACTATGCCTTCAGAGTTGGGTGCCGAATTTCAATACTGATGAAGTATGAAATCTGTGCCAACACAAAATTATATAAACTTACGTTCCAACATAATTCTTTTCATCATAAATCCTCCTTGCACATTGGTAGATAGAAAGTGGTGACCTTTGGATACCTTTACCTACGAGATCGTTGAATATTGACAAACATTCAAGGGTGTATAAAAGAGAGGTCAAACCGTTTTAAGTCAGAGAAATTCTCATGTTCAAACAGAAGAAATTCCAGTATTACATCAAATATCCCCTTAATAAGGTTAAGTTTATGTAGATAGCTGTATCTACATGTACTGTAGGTAGTGTAGATACATGTAACTGCAGGGACCACAGGCAGTCATGACAGCCACACCAGGGAAGACATAGAATAAAAAATGAAATTATTTTATATTTCTGAAATGTAGTTAGAATTTTGTGTGTGGCTGGGTGTGTTCACTGTCAATTACAGCGCCACACTTCAACTCCAACATAACATATATGAATAGCATTCAGTTCCAAATGGAAACTGAAATAATTTGCCATCAGGGTTTCTGTTCTCAAACCACACAAATTGTTGATTAAAAAATCAAGTTCTGTTTTTAGTTACAAATTTGCAAATGGCTGGATGTGTTTACTGTCTCTTATAGAGCCACACCTCAATGTCATCATAACATACATGGCAGCGTTTGTTTCCAAATGGCAACATAAATAATTTGCCATCATGGTTTCTGATCTCAGACTGTGCAAATTTTGGTGATTTCAAGTTGCTATCTTGTAGAGCATGGCAAAGAAATGTACAAAGTTTTAAACCACATGCTGAGCTATTGTTCTACCCTCTAGATACTTTTTTTGCCATGCCCTCCTTCATGTCCCTATCCTGTTTTGCTTAAGGTCCCTAGCATCTGTCATAGACAGTGAAGGCAGCTGTATCTACATGTAACAGAGACAGTGCTGATACATGTAGCTTTGTCTGATTCAGACATGGTAGATACATGTAGATGTAACTAAAGAGGAGAGCCTACATAGCTCTTTATATTGTGCACACTGTCTCAATAAACATACATGTAGTTGTATCTACGGTACACAGAGAGGAGATTTATGCATTTATTGCAACCTGTGTGGATACCCTACATCTACTGAAAACTGTGTTACTAGGGACCTCTACTGTGGATGATTTACTGTATCTGGCATAGCAATAATAAAAGATTGTAGCTCCTTTAGTCAGTGCAGATACACTGTATCTATAACCAGATAAGGCATGGTAGATAGTTGCATCTACTGTAGACATTGCAAATAGTTGTATCTACTATGAACGGTGTATATGGCTGTTTCTACAATAGACAGCGTAAATAACTGTATCTACTGTAAATTGTATAGGCTGTATCTGAGAACAACATGATAGCTGTATCTACTACTACTACCACACAATTCAAGCAAAATTTTTAGGTTGTAGAACACAAAGTGATTAGCCAATTTTACTATAATTTCAAATCTGTTATTCCTACATCTACTTTGAATTGTGTTGTGTAATCTTTTCTAGGAATATATTTTTTAATTTTCTTAACTTTTTTTAGGGTAAATTTATTTAAAATGGCAAATAATGTAATTTTACTGGGAAGAGCCATCTATGGATCTGTTAAATAAACCATTATTATCATTATTACTATTATTATAATAATTATTATTATTTTTGCAATGTAAAAGGTTGTATCCACCATAGACATTGTAGATAGCTCCATCTGCAGCACTGATATCTATCTGTCTGGGTCAAGTTGATCAGAGGGCAGATAACACTATCCAAGGGATAAATTGCTATCCAGAGGATATGTGTTAGCAAAACAAACTGGGCTTCCATCAGATAGAGATTTATCCAGTGGATAGAGTAATCCACCCTTAGTACAACAGGGGCCTAGAGAGCAGATTCCCAGTGTAACATGATAGTAAATGGACTAACCTAAGACTTGTTTGAGTGTTGAATTAATAATTGTGTATCACAAATGTTCATGCTAAGATAATTGAAGGGACAAGAAGGATACACTTGGCTTACCAAGCTCTTTGAGAAGTTTATTTCTACGGACAAAGCGAGTCCAATAAATCCTTTCTTCTGAATCCTTATTTCGTGAAGCAAACAGGAGCCTGGCAGGATCTGAGAGGTTATGACACTAGAAAACAGATGCAGAATTTTCATTTCAATATCACCATTAGAGGTAAATGTTTATCTTAAAGCCAGGGTGCCCGATTTCCAGAATTAATAATAGTTGAAAGCAGTATCTTGCTTTTTGCTTTTCACCATCCTTCAGTTAACCCTATATCTCCCCATATGCGATTTATCTCAAAATTCTTCCCTCTTTGTGCTACACAGTTCCTTCTAAATTAGTTGAGAGGATTTGGCACTACATCACAATAACTTTCTCCATTTGATACTCTTGTCTATTCACATCATCTGTTTGTTTGATGTCATACTAAAAACGGTGAGAAGGTAGCCAAGTCCCTTCTTTAATTCAAGGGGTTAATCTCATTATTTGGAATTGTTGGTTGACTTGTTTAAGAAAAAGATAATAATGCTTTCATTTAGGACAAATTTCATCCCTCTGTGACCCTCAGATGACCACCCTACTCAAATCTTTACAGGGTTAGTATACAACTTGTATTCTTTTCACTTTCAGGGTGTGTTAATCATCCATTTATATTAAGTTGCCCAGACATCTTCACTGTCAACAAATAAAGGATACTACAAACTTAAGACAGGTGTAGATAAGAAGGTAATCTTCAGTAATCTGACTTTTAGTGTAAATCATGTTACAGCTAATATACTAGCTATGATATCAATAGATGAAATAACATAATTTATCTTCTCATGTTGATAATTAACCAATCAGATAAGTTTTAATCAGCAGGTAAGTGTTAACAAAACGTACTGCTCCATCCACCGAGTTAGGGCCCTGCATTGGGTCAATATTTGCCATCATACCTTCAGAAATTGAGCCATGTTATATCTTAACAACTCCATCTCATGTGTGGACCATTGTCCTATTCTTATGGTTATTCCTATCAAAAATTCAAATAAAAAAGAAAAATGGTTAACTTGGGAACTTTCTCCCAAAACCCTAGCTTATTCATTAAGAGATCAATTTGAACTATGCTTTACAAGATAATCAAGACATAATTGTAGCCAAATTTTCAAGTGAGTGTGGAACAAAATCCCAGATTGTATTGGTTTGCATTACTTTGTTTTATGATTGATTCAGAAAACTAATGATACTTTCTCAACCAATCATATACAAAGCTCAAACCAATTACAACTTAGTTGCCCACGATTTCTTGAAACAAACTTGAAACCTGTCATTTGTGTGTGCGTTTATCATAATGGACATTTGAATGATTTATTTAAAAAATTAAAATTTTAATTTAAGATAACTTTACTTCGACAATCAAAAGATAAAGTGACTGTGGAATGGTGAATCTCCATACCAGTGGTTTAACACATACTGTACTGCAATTTACAAGCAGAAACTTTGTTCATTGCTCACGTTATATCTTAAACCATGGACTGAAGTGCACACACCATGCATATGTACATCTATGTTACTCAGTGACTTGTAAGAGTACTGTTGGAGATAAACAGTTACCATATCTTATACTACAACTGAAGTGATACAAATGAAATTAAAGAAAAAGGATGCTTACCTTGTTCACTGAATTCAATTCTTTTTGCTTTAGAAAGGTAGTAGTTTTCCTGAATTATCTCAGAATTCTTTATAGCTTCTGCTAACTTTGCCTTATCAATGTTTGGCTTAACAGTTACATTCTCCGTAACTCCAGTTCTGTGATTATTGCCATTTACAACACTTTCACTGAGGGTTCTGTTTCCAATCAAATTATCTTTGCTTTTGTCTCTCTTCCTCTTTTTGTGATTAGGTCTTAGAGATACCTTTCCAGGGCTGTCTGTTGAATGATGAGTGTTTGACTGAGAAGATTCTCCTTGAGAACTTACATCATGTTTTGAACTTTCTGGTATACACTGCTCCACAGATGCCTGCTTGTTTATATCTGTTATTTGATCACTTGTAGTACAATTTTCACCATTATTTTTTTCATCCTTCCTGTGTTTATTGACTGTACCCTCCAAAAATTCTGACAAGTGGTCTCCTTTTACTTTCTTTTTCTTTTTCTTCTTCTCTCTTTCTGAAGCAACCTCTACATCACTATGCTTCTTGTGATTTTTGACTGTACCCTTTGAAAATTCTGATGGGTGGTCTCTTTTTACTTTCTTTTCCTTTTTCCTCCTCTCTTTATCTGAGACAATCTCTAAGTCACTATGCTTCTTGTGTTTTTTTATTGTACCCTTTGAAAATTCTGATGGGTGGTCTCTTTCTAATTTCTTTCTCTTCCTCTCTGTATCTGAAACAATCTCTAAGTCACTATGCTTCTTGCGTTTTTTGTCTGTACCCTCCGGAAATCCTGATGGGTGCTCTCCTTTTAATTTCTTTTTCTTTTTCCTCCTCTCTGAATCTGAAACAATCTCTAGGTCGTCACTAAGCTTCTTGTGATTTTCTTCTGTACCCTCTGGAAATTCTGGTGTGTGCACTCTTTTTAATTTCTTTTTCCTCTTTCCTGTATCTGAAACAATCTCTAAGTCATTTTTTTGTTTCTTTGCCTGAGTTTCGCATCTTTTATCGCCATTTGTGTAAGTTGCTTCATCACCATGTCTTTTCTTTGATTTCCTCGCTTTCCTGTTGATTCCATTTTGATTATATTTCAGCTGTTCATCCCATTCAAGAGCTGCTGCCTCGATGATAGTCGTTGAATCGTGTACAGTTTCCAATTCTTTTTTTTTCCTCTTTTCCGGCTGCTCCTTTTCCCTTTTCTTCTTAGGTTTATGATGCTTACGCGATGTGCTTTTTGCTGTAGAAAAATCCTCCTGTTTGTGGGATTTCTTTTGCATTTTATCACGTTTACCTTCGACTTTTTCTCCATCTCTAACCGAATGTTCACGATTCTCGACTTGTTCGCCGTGAAGTAGGTTCAGTTGTTCAACCTCGCTTGCGGCCTTCTGTCTGTCTCTGCTTTCTTCTAACTCTCTTAAGGCCTTTTGATAACAGCGTAACATCCCGTTCCGAAAAATCCCGTTAACTTAATGTTTAGAACAGACTTTAAATTCGCACAGTTGCGTCCGCCATGTTGGAAACATTTGAAAGTCAAGGGAGATAGGGCCCAGACTCTCTCGGAAGACTTGGATACTTTTAAAATAAAAACCTTGGATAGGACTTTGGTCGACTTCTTAACGGACTGTAGCCTACGTGTAGCCGTACCCTTCTCCCCCGGAAGCCTCCGTTTCACCCTCAGTGGGGGAGGGTACGGCTACACGTAGGCCATCTGGGACTGGTCAGTTATGCTTGACTACAATAAGGAAAGTTTTCAACTGACTTTTCTTGTAAATTCAAACTAATGCAACAGAATTTCAGAAAATGTAACCAACAAAGTTAACCAACTTCACTGGTTTTATGTTGTTTATCTAGCACAAAACAATGTTCTATGAGAATCGCTGGAGGAGCGTTGAGGCGAGGGAAGCCCAACAGAAGGGTGTCGGGGGAGAGGTATGAGAATGCTTTAGCACCCAAGCTACTCCGAATTGTGATAAATTTTATGCTAGAACAAAAACTTTCCAGTGAAAGTAAATCTTATCTTTATTCTTCTGTAATGGATAACGGAAGGAACTATGTGAACTCAATATTTTCCCCATAAAATTTCTATTGGTAAAAGAAGTAGAATTGTCTTAAATTCGCACTTGAGCAGTGTCTATACTTTGGATAACACCAACACATTTAAACACACAGCGACCCACACCGGTGTGTCGATGATAACCTTAGTCGTCCCCCACGTGTTCTTTGACTCAGAAGAAAAAACCAGTTAATACCTTGAGGCCTCCATCAAGACACCTCATCCTGACATTTTTAAGCTCTGAGATTCACTAGATATTTCGATATATTCACTGTTCTTTGAACATATTTTTCCATGCAATCGATATATTTATCTCTAATTTATACATTATTTATAGATAACACATAGATGTCTGAGTACGAAATATCTTAGACAGTTTCATTTAGAATTATGGACACGAGTGGAAAAATGGGAGTTGTTCCTTACTCGCGCGTTCTCCCTTGAATCGCGCGAAGCTCTCTATCCGCCCGTCGCTCTGGTTTTGAAAAAGTCTTACAAACGAGAAAAATGGCAAGAATCCCAACTTAATCAATAGCCGACATATGTTTTAAATAATGCCGACCTATAAGAAGAATGACACGTATTTTCAAGTAATGAACAGGTTAGAAAAAAGCTGAAAGTTCCTCCTTCCATTCCGGCATTTCTGAATTATTCAGCTGATTTCTTCCATGCCCGCGGCTTGCTGGCGTAGAACTTCTCCGTAATCTCGCTTGACGATTGCTATGCGTATTGAGTCTGACATGAGACAAAGACTCTAATAAACGAGCATTTGCGTTCCGAAGATTGTCAATTTCTAACTTCTGTGAGTGCAATTTCTTCTCCAGTTTTAGTCTATCGTCTTTTTCAGGCTGCGATTTTAACAAATCTATTTTCTTTCGCAGTGATTCGATCTGCTTGTCTTTTGTGGTGACTTCGTTGTACAGCGACTCGATTGTGACTTCCCTAGCTTCGAGAAGTGTCTTGATCTCTGCTTGCTCCTTTCGAAAATCCCCTTCTAGGAGAAGAAGTTTGGAAATAATGTCATTTATCTCTTGATCATAATCTTTCTTTCGCTGTTCTAGCTCCTGCTCTTTCTCTTGTAAATCATAAGTCAAGTCCAGAGTTCTCGCTCTTTGTATCTTCAATTCTGTCCTGACTTGAAATATTTCCTTGTGAAGTCGTTTGATTTCTTCCTTCAGAATATTTACATTGGCCTCAAGCTGAAATCAAGAGAAGGAGAAGGGAGGTAAGATAAGTGGAGCGAGTAAGAGTTTGGGAGGCTCAGTTCCTGCTGAGGGAAGAGGGAGGTGCTCTAGAATGCTTAAAACAAGACTTAATCCACCCTAAGTAACTGGGAAACTTTTTGTAAACAAAGCACACTTAAGGGGGTGTCGCAGTGATAACAGACTCTGTTAACGTTCCTTCTGTTATATAACTATCTTTATATATAAAAAAAAATCGGCTAAAGTTGATTCGCGAAGGTTTGGAGTAACCTTTACACCTGCATATGTCTAAACTCGTAGGCGAGATCACTCAACATCGAGGCTACGAGACTTGGGACGACAGAGTGATAAAAGTATGAGACCTGCATGCTTCCTTCATACAAGAGTCTCGTCCGAGGTTGTTTACTCACCGCGTTCGAACACGACCCATAGAATATCACAATGAACAAACCGGAAATGGAAACAATGTTGTAACAGTTAACACGGTAAACAGGAAGGCCAAGAATTCCGGTCTTCGATTAAAAGCACTTATCATGTGATTATTGCGTGACCACATTTTTGACGTCGGTAAATTCAACGGCCATTTCTATTTTTAAATTTGTGATGAAAGAAAGAAAAAGAAAAGCGAAACGCTCCGACATCTTTAATTTCAAATTTAAAAACTGGAAACGTATGTGGCAGGAGACGGATCGATATCATTAATTCCTGAGAGAGATCTGCATAGTGAAACAAAGAAGTAAATCCTGGTACTATAACAGTGAAAGAATGAAAACAATACAATGATTAGAGTCGACTAAAGCATGTTATTTCCATCGGATCAAATTTAACAGAGACGGCATACAAACACTAAGGCCTGCTTTCTCTTTAAGACTTATTCACTTTTGAGTAGTTGGATAACCTGTTCAGTGTTTGTTTGTGTGTGGTCTTGAAGTGCTGTTTTTCTTTGGAGTGTATTTGATCAACTTGCAAGCTGTTGCCGGCCAGCTGCCTGTGTTTGGTCGGTTTATAAATACAAAATAGGCAGCAACAAATCAAAGGGCCAGAATTAACTTTCTGGAGCGGACACCTCCTTCGCAAATTTAATTGAAACGCTCGCCTTTGATAGAAATATTTCACTAGACATTTTTTCCCGAGGTTAATTCGAATTTAGCGGTCCTTCGACGCCATGTGTCACAAAAAAGCATCAGTCTATAATAAATATCCCGCCATGTTAACAGAGTCGTTCGGTGTATATACTCTGAGCTACAAAATCACACCGATCAAGAATTTAAACTTCCTAGCTATAACCACTAAAGCAGTTCCTATTCTAGTGTATTGTTTACGATCGCTTGATGTACCCCTAAATGATCGGTTCAAGTCCCGTCAAAGGTCGACAGTCTTTAATATAATTGAGTAAATGGACTTATTACCGGTCCTTTCTTGATGTTACGATCACTTACCTGGTTCCTATTCAATTTAGGGCTCTTGGAGCTCATTTCAGTGAGTGTGCTGGCCTACCCAGCAAGAGGTTATGGCTTGAAAGGCAACGAGAAGTGTCCGAGAACGTGCTTTTTCGCCTTGAGTAGAGGAAGCTACTACATATGCGTCTTCTTAAGTTTCTGCAAAGAATATGCCAGCAATGTGTAATCAAAATCCGTATTACGTGAATAATCCAGCCGTAGTTAATCATTTACAAATATGATATGCCATGCGGATGCGGGATTTTGCTGTGGCACATTTGAGCAAGAGAAGAACGTCGCAGTAACTGAGAAGTTTCCTTGCAATGTAGGTAGAGAGACTTGTATTTTGAGGCATTCAATACGTAGTCACCTCGCATGTTTATATACGTTGCTTGGCTGAGTGACTAGGTGCCCTGCAGATGCATAGACTAATAATCAGACATGCCCAATCTGGAAACACTCTCAAACACACTTAAGATTTTGTCAGTTGACATAATTTAAATGGCTAGAATACACAAAGCGCATTCGTATAACATTTACATCACAAAGGGGCTTTCCGTCACAACAGTGCAGATCGTTACAGGAGGTTACTGCACCCTGCCAGCAGAGGCCATGTTTAGTAGCAAGGACTGCGCAGTGGGGTGACACTTAAGAAAAATAAAAATTATCATTGGATCTTGCCATTAAAGCTTAAAAAATGCGAACTAAACTATCTTTCCTTTGGAGTGAACGTTGAAACGAACAAAGCAAATATAGCTTTCTGGTCTCGCTTCCTGAATCAATAACTGCTAGTCCTATCGACTTACTTGCAATAATGCAGCTTGCACGTCGTTTACGACATCGAAAAAATTCTTGCATGACCTCAACACTACTGACAGTTCCCATATGGTTAGTGGATTGTCGTGGTCGTTTGGGTTTACGATTCACATCGAATCAAAACCTATTTTAACTCAATTCATCTCATCATTTTTTTCTGGATCGATAATTGCTTTGAAGGAGTTATGTCAGAATCGGGCGTTAGAGAAGCGTGATGGGAGTCAGCATAAACGGATCAAATGGAACCGATCAACTTTGAGTTGGAATCTAATCTTTGGTTATGACTCAGAATGATTAAAAAAATGGAAACTATTTTAGCTCGATTGGTAGCGGGAGGCTTGTTTTCCAGAGCTGATTACAACCCCCAAGTACGAGAGACAAAACAGTTTGTCGGCAGCCGTAATATAAATGTTTGAAGTTAACCGCATTGAATGATGCTTTTCAACAACAGTGTTAATCACGCTAAGTGTTTCTGCTGCATCGCTATTCTTTGAATAATCCTTGGTTTGACCCCGAGTCACACTCTAGTTCTCGCTTTGTGTAACAATTGCCGAAGCGCAACGAGATCACGCGTCACATGTTTGTCAAACGCATCACATGTTGTCCAAACAACTAGCTATTTTTTGGTCATCTTGTGGGCAAAATATTTCTTCTTTACCCCTTTAACCTATCTTGTATAACGAATATTGCAGTCTGCGCCTAATTAAAACTAGCCAGCAATTTCGAAACGATGTTGAATTGGCTATTGTAAAAAAGCGTTCACTGTCTTGTCAATACACGTACAACAGTAACTTGGTTTTCACTCTCTCATTTGGAAACTTGTGCTAACTGTGTAACCATGCCGCATTTGCTCTTTAGTACAAATAAATTATGATATAAATGAGTAATAACAAATGCAGCATTAATTGTCTTCGTCGCAATGGGTGTTCTGACGTGTTTGCGTGAGCGGAGCATAAAGATGTAAACGCTCAATAATTCTGTCAATTCTAAACGTTGGAAATATAGTAGTTCTTTCTCTTAGTTCCAAATTGGTAAATAAAAGTAATATTATTGTTGTGTTCCACTTCTTCCGGCAAGAACTAAACTGGCAATCTTGCATAATGCATTCTCACAAATATTAGTGATCGATGACAAGTTTCAATATTTGTCTATCCATTTTTGTTTTTCCACTCAGTTCAATACACAAGCTAAGTGTTATTTAAAACTTTAACAGCGTTAGTCCTCTTTTGCGCGATCTCGTCAACTCAACCTACATAACGTTAAGATTTCTCTTACCTTTCGAACACAGTCTTACGGTTTCTTTAACCGTCAGAGCGCAACTGGTTAAAGACTCGAGCTGTTGTTGTGTGAGAAAATGGAACACGGTTGAACCTCAAGGCAAGCCGGTCTAGCCAGACGCTGGAAAAGATGATGATGACGTAACCAGAAGTATATTTTTATGTAACCGGAAGTCAGCTCAGACGGGAGTGATTCAGTATAAGCTGTTTAAATTATTTCTCTGTTAATCTTTCCTTTTCTCTGGCCCTACCCCTCAAGTAAAGGAGCACGTACGCTTAAACTTTCTAAGTGCATTTATTGATTTCATGTGCGAGATGGCTCAATAAGCCTATGAGCACCTAAAGAAAGTGCTGAAGCGAGGTTGACTTTGAATGATCGCTTTGATAGGAATGAGTCTACTCCGGCTTTCAGTTTTTATTGTCGAAAAGTTCTAAATTTAACCTAATTTTTTCAACGTTACAAGGCAAGCCGATTGTTCTTGTGCGCGGATTTATTCTCTCGCTTTCTTACGTGCTGGAAAATAGATGCCATTTGAAAAATAGATTTTTTAAGTACTGCTTACAATATGCTCCAACAGATGTTTTAAGGACTGTTTACAAGCTGAGCCAATATTATGGGGAGCTAGTGATAAAACTCAATCGTTAGTGCTAAAATATCGATCGCTAGCGATAAAACTCAATCGCTATTACCATCAACAAATTGTAATTGTAAATCAATTTAGTTTCCGTTTTAAAATGGTCAATCGTTTGTGTTGAACCTCAATCGCTTACGTTGTTGCACAAAACTCCGTCGTAAGACTCCAACCAAAAGCGCTAATTATAAATCGCTGGTGTTCTGAGACAGATCGATAGCGCTAAATATCAATCATAGTTTTTTTAATGTCAATCGATAGTGTTAAACCTTCATGTAAAATTCAGAAATTGTAACGATTTCAATCGTCACTGATGCCATCGATCGTTTGTGATTATTTAGCGGTCGTAGTGAACTAAAAACTCGGCCGTTGCGATGTCTGCAACATTGCCGTTGTTACATTGTTTTCTGAGTAAAAAAAAAATGATTAGAATGCCTATTCTCCCCAATGTTCTCTGTACATTTGCTGTTGAACAATCAAGACAATCTTTGATTAGCGATTATTTTCCGTTATTCTTATTACCTCAATGCTTTAGGCCTAGTTCAAACGTCGATCTTTACATGTACCGAACCTAATTGCAATTTGGGTCGACTCGAATAATTAAGAGCGGCAGTTGATTCAAACGTCGATCCGAATTTAGTCGATCCTAATTGCAAAACTGAACATAACTCCATTGTAGTCAGCGGTTAATGCCTACCAAAATGGCGGAAAAAAATGCGGGAAGCACAACTTGTGGAAATGAAGAGCTTGTTTTTCTTGCAAATGCGATTAAGGAGGGTAGAAAAAGGCGACTCAAGATGCAGTTAGCATTAAACAACCTTGCTGCCAGGAGAAGACGAGTTTTGAATTTGGCTTGCCTTCTATTATTGCTTATTTCCCAAAGGAAAATCAAAATACAAAAGTACTCCTTACACGTAAGACAGGTATATTTTGTGGTTTTAAAACAAGAGGAGCACGAGCCTTCCTCCTTTCCCGCCATATTGTTTGAATGGTTCGAAGGCTTTCGCGCATGGCACGTAAGCGAACTTTCTTGAATTGTGGGTAAAACATAATTATTTTAACGTATGTATAATGTATGCATTAAGTTCGGTACATGTAAAGTACGACGTATGAATCAATGCCGATCTTTTACCGTTCTATCCGACTAGCCGAGTCGGATAGAACGGCACTGTCGATCCGAATACAAATCTGCCGATCCTAATTGATTCAAACGTCGATCTTTACATGTACTTAATAGAAACGTTAGGTTCGGTACATGTAAAGATCGACGTTTGAACTAGGCCTTATTCAGCCATGATACAGTAAGGAGAAATTAGATGGTAGTCACTCTCAGAGATAAAAGGAATAAATATGCATTAACGACCAGGCGTGACATGAAGATGGATTGACATTGGCAAGCTCTTTTTGCCTTTTGATGGACTGAAGCGCAGTTGAAGTCTAAAACAACATAAGAGAAAAGTACGATATCAATAGCCAGCCACTTTGAACATACAACTTTGGTCTATAAAGGCTTTTCCGTATTACAGGATTAATCCACAAAAATTGTCGTACTTTTCTTTGTGCTCACTGTCCAAAGCACGTGTTTTGAAACTGGGCAAAAACTGTTTCAAAACGGTTTTGTTTTAACATCAACAAGACAAAACACCCTGATGGTAGGAAGTGTGTAAACGGGCTACAAGCAGTTTTTTCTTTTTCGGGATCAACGCGGGTAATCCCCGGGTGTGAGGGATGGTCCCATCCCTATTACCTGGGTAGCCAATCTCAGCGCATATTTCACCTCATTTTTCTGGCTAACAAGCCTCTGGGAACAAAATAGCTGCAAGAACCGAAAAGCGAACATGAAATATTTGAAGACGGTAGCATAACCACTGTAGGCGTTGTCTGGCCAAACATTCAGTGTTTCCGAGGATTGAGAAATTCCTGTTACACTCTTGAGTCGCGTCAGAAGATGTGCAGTGTAAGTTTGCCTCCGCGTATATATCAAAGACTTATTGGCGGTACTTTCACTACATCAAAAACTTAAATCAAAGCCACCGAAAGCCTAAAGCTAAGATGTTGACTTGCCGTAATTTCTGGCCGATCACCCGCGGGTAATCTGTTAATTTTTCCACAAACCGTTTGTTGGTGCGGGTTATTGGAAAGTGTTGGTAAAACGATCATTTTTAAAGCTTCCGGTAAAGTTTTAAAACTATGAGCAGGAAAAAACATAAGGTAAGATCCCCTAGAGACACTCTTCAAAAAACCTGTGCAATAAGTCATTTATTTCGTGTAAATGGCTCATTACAACGAGAGACTTCTAGGCTTTCGATGAAAGCCGATGGAAATCGAAAACATATCAACAAAACTCGATAACAAAGTTTTTATCGTGTTTGTAATCTTACTTCTTACTTTGTCAATTTCTCAGCTTGTTCCTTTGTTAAGTTCAAAACAAATTCTCACTTACACAGGTAATGAACTTGAAAATATAAGAATTCAATTGTGAAAAAGCGGGCTTTAGAGCAATTCACACGGAAAATGATGCCGACATGTTCATTTCGTGGCGCGGCGTAATTAATGAGGCCACGGAATATCCGACGCATCAGTGAAATTTTCTTAACTAGCACTGCCTTGAGTTAAAGAGTATTTTCCCGTTTCCAACGATTTCTTTTTGACTTGATAGATCTCGAGATATCGATTTTTTTTTAGAACAGATATTTACAAGTGGTATCATTCTCGATGAAACATCGAAAACAAGTAGTGTGAAAATTTATTTATTGCACGCTGAAGAATGTCACGTCAACAAAAACAAGGAAGGAACTCTGTGTGAATTAATGATTTTCTTTTGTTTTTGGGTGCGGGGTATCTACCAGTGCGCGTAATCTGTTGAAATATTTTTCTCGTCAGTTGCAAAAATTGACCGATGCGGGTAATCTGCCGTGCGGGTAAACGGCCGGAAACTATGGTAAGTCCGATAAGGACCGGTGAGTTGAATAAGCGCTCTATTCGATGAATATGTTAGTTGATTGAAAAGGCCAACATGCGGCCATTACAAGGAAATCCTTAAAAAACAAGGACCCATCTTTTTTGAAAAAACGCTTCAAATAAAAAAAAAGTTAGTTTCTAATCCATACATTGTTTCACTTATCCATGTTTTTTCCCCCGCCGTAGGTGTAGCCAGTGTTTAAGAAAGTCTCAGTGGAGTAACAGATCAGTTTTACGGCTAACGGATAAAAGTTTGGCTATTTTACGATTAACGGTTGATATCATTCCATTGCTGTCACCAGAAATTTAAAGTTTTAACGGTTAACTTTTTTTAAGAATATTGGTTAGAATTGGTCAATTTTTTCGCGTGATCGCGATCATCAGCAAAAATTTGCCGTAAATAACTGCAGCAGTATATGCTGCTAGAGATCATATTAAGAAAATAAAAAAATAACGTCAAAAAAACTACGCTTCAATGTACAGAATAAACTCATTTAATATGAACTGAGCATACGTTGAAAGGTTTTGGTATTCAGACAGTAATACAGTGTGTCATTCTATGGAAATCCTTTTTTTAAAATGAACATGGGAAGCCAAAATTGCTCAGCAACAGGAACGTTAACTATTTCTGCAGATTAATTTTTAATTTGTAATGTTGATTAGTGATAAAAAAATTTTCCAGAGAATTTCTATTTATAGCATCTCATCGACTGAGACTCAAAAGCAAAATGAACAATGTCTATCAGTCTGTTATACAGACGATAGGATCTTAAGTTTGAGAGTGTTTTTTTTCCAGCTTTAAATATATTTTTTCTCTCTCGTGTTGTTCAGTCTTTTTTTTTTCCTTCACTCAAATTGGTGTCAAGTTGAGTTGAAACCCTCGTTAAATGAGTTTTCCTTTAATCTTGTTGTCTTGGCAAGGGAAGTAGAATTGCTTTGTTTATTCTTCTTGAGGTGCGTCTGGAAACAGTGCTGTAGCTATCTATATTTTCTACTGACTGAGCCAACATCACGATCTTGCACTAAAACCTGCGCACATTTTAACTTTTAAGAGGCTATCTCCACCACTTTCCCTCTCGGGGCTGGACACCTGTTGTTAATGGTCCTGACGATTATAAATTTGCATTTCAAAACATCGCGTGATCACGATCATCAGCGAAAAATTTGCCAGAGATAACTTCATTAGTATGTTGCCAGAGATCATATTGAGAAAGTTGGCAAACTTCAAAAATGACCATGTTTTGTTGTCTAACAAACGTGAACATCAACGCGATCAAAAATAAGAGCTGATTAGAATGCGTAAGTACTTACGTAAGAAGGTATTCAAGGTGTACGGATTAATGTGTCATGAAAGTTCTTTCAAACAAAGAGTCTCACATAGAATATTAATCAGCCCAAGTCTATAAGTGTTAGGGGGTGAATTCCGCTCTTTCAAAGGGTATTTCTTACACGGAAAATTTAGACTTTCCTTGGCACTTAAATTCAAATGGGTTTTATGTTAGATGACTTTAAAGTCCTCTTTGTGTTACTTAGTATATACATTCTTATATTAGTATAATTTTTGAACTCGATGATGACGTATGTCGAACGTCAAAAGTTGATGTGTATCAGCTCTTTGTGTTTAATGTATAAGTTTATTCAGCGTGATCCAATGCACTAATGTATCGCAATATTTCGTAGCCAAATGTTATGTAATGTTACACAAGAGGTATTTATCTAACCCGCAAATACACACGAAGGCGATATTCCGATGGGCCAGCTGCAAAACTCTAAAAAAAAAAACTACATCTTGAGAAAAAAATTGCTTCTAATGAGATAACAGCTTCCCAATGTTTTATTAGTCTCAATTTCATCTTTTTTAAGTCCAACAGGAAGCTTCTTGATTATGAACTTTACTCAGGAACCGACAACAATACTAATTACAGAGGAGACGAACTAATTAAACGATTGTTTAACGATATACAGAGTGCATTCGTTTAAAATGAACTGAGCACTGACGAAATATGATCAGTGTAAAGCTTTTCGTATTCAGCCAGTAATACAATATGTCATTCTAAGTAAATTCTTTCTTTAAATAAATGAGGAAAGCCAAAATTGCTCAGCATCAGGAGTGTTAACTATTTCTGCAGATTAATTTTTATTTGCAATGTTATTTAATTTTTAAAATTTTCCAGCGAGTTTCTATTTTTAACATCTTTTCCACTGAGACTCAAATGCAGAAGGAACAATGTCTATCAGTCCGTTATACATATTATAGGATCATAAGTTTAAGTTCAAGGCTTTAAGTACAGATCTTTTTGTTCTCACGTCTTATTCAGTCTTCGTTTTTCCTTTGCTCAAAATTGTGTGTTAAGACGAGTTGAAACCCTCGTCAAATGAGTTTCCTTTGCTCTTGTTGTCTTAGCGAGGGAAGTAGAATTGCTTTGCTTCCTCTTCTTGGGGTGTGTTTGGAAACAGTGGGGTAGCAATGACTTCACCTCTGTTCGAAACTCTCTACTGACAGCACAGTATACCAAAGGATCTGCCGCAGAGTTTGTGAACGTCGATATAGCCACGATCAAGATGAGAATTTTGTAGAAGCTCACATAAATTAAATCTTGCCAGTACACTTCCACAAGGTTGAACACATTTAAAGGTAGCATGGTCAAAGCGAACAGCACCACCAACGGCCTGAGGATTTGCTGCGTTTTCTTGGTCTGATGTAATATGGCTTTCGAGTTTACCATAGACGACGATTCTCTCACATCTGAAGGCTTTGCGGTCTCGTCTTGAAATTTCCTTGTTCTCTTGGACACCATTTTGCCGATTCTTCGGTAGCAGAAAGCTATGATGCTTAGCGGCAGGAGGTAATGCAGTATAACGTTCACCGTCACGATAATGCGCCGAGAGGTCATCGTCAGTGTATGGCCGCACGTCCGAAAACTAGAGTTGTACACTCCATGGACGAGAGGCTGTATGCTGCGTGTAGCGAAGGACAACAGCCATATAGCGATAACGATGAACCGAGATCGCTTCAATGACCTTCTTCCTCCAATTCGTATTTCTTTCCAGGCGATGTTTGCGTAGCGTTCGACCGCAATAATCGTGATGGACCAAACGGAAGCGCCATAAAAAGTTTCTAAGCAGGGTGTAACGTACAAACAAACAAACCTCCCGAGGACCCATTCGAAAGGAAATTGAGCTCGCAAGATGATTATGGGCAGAATAAACATCAAGACACCTAAATCTGCGAACGCCAGGCTTAAAAGATACTGGCTCATGGCAGAGAACACTTTTGGTCTTCTGATTATGGTAGCGCAAGAGATAGCATTTCCAATGGAGCCAAACAAACCGATAAAGATTTGAAGACTCAATTCGAAGATCGTGAACCCTAGAGGTAGCTGGAGGTAAATTCCGTCATCCACCTCTTCTGTCGTGTTATTTGCCATTTTTGATCTAAGCTTTTCTCGGGTTTGGCTGTTCCAAGGTTTCTTCGAGATGACCGCCGCCCCAAAGCCCCTGAGATCACGAGAAACTTCTTCGATGGCTTTTCAGTGTCTCTCGACTTTGGTCTAAACAGACGGTAATATAAGACTCACCTCATTAAATATTCATAGGAAACATATTAAAATAAAGAAAAGTCCTCACGGATGATCAAAACAATATCGTGACTAGTGCGAAAACGATTTGAATTAAACATTTCAATTGCAAATCAAACCTTTTAAGCCGAGTCTTGCCTTCAACTATTTGATACACATTAATCACTCTGTTTAGTTGGACTTTCATAATAAACTCATTTAAATCTTCAAAATTTCGAAGGCTGGGTTTTTTTCATTAGACATAAGTGAGTACAAACATCCTCTTAAATTGAACTGAACGAATCCGGATATGAAAATGAATTGACGCTTTTTGTTTTAGGCACAAACAGCATTTCATGTAAGGCATATCACAGTGGGATGAGAGATCGAGGTTCAAATATCTAAGTTATTTTTCTTATGACTTGTTGAGACTCTAGAAGATCGCCACATGTCAAGATGCACCACTGTCAGAATACAATGAGGAATCACAATGGATGAAAGACCTGAAAGGCTCAGTTAGACGTGTTCGCTTGATTAGAAATTTGGCGCTAAAGGCATCTTTGATTATATCAAACAGAACAATTTGCCACAAAATTGGCTTTCCCCTAAATGACCTACGATGTCGTCATTAAAACCTCATCACCTGGCGGACAAATGCAAACAAATATTCAAAGACACATCGTTCTTTTTTTTTCTTCTAAATTTCGTAGCACAAGAAGAAATATTTTGGTTGCAAAGGTCTCAAAAGGTTAAATTTATAATCGGCGGGAAACTTCAAAGAGATAATATACGTAATCTGAAGTTTGATCGTAAATCAGGATTGAATGATTTAACGCGGATAATAAAACTAGCAATTTAGTGGTTCCGTTCTGACTTCGTTTTGTTTTTACTTTAAGCGGCCAATTTAGACTGGCAACCATCCGCCATTTCCTTCTGTTCTTATAAAATTGCTGCCAATATTTCGTAGCTTAAGAGAATTTCTTGCAGATTTTAAAAATGACTGATGATTTTAATGAATCGCCTTCGAAGTAAAACTTAACTGCGTTTTACCGTTTGTCGTTTATTTTCGACCTGTTGTTGTAGTTTGGTGTTTGGAGTTAATTTAATGGCCTAATGATGCTGTTGTGAACATCAAAGTGTTCATTTGCCCGTTTATATAAGGCTAGAAAGAAAAGCTTTGAGTCACCATCTTTCATTAAATTGTGTTCTCTTTGGGATATAAATCAAGACAAAAAGCCGATTTATATTAATAGTCAAAACAACTTCACCATCACGATAAACAGGAAAGATTCTTCTCGCATTGAAAGTGCTTCGGTTGCAGAGAGGGAAAGTATTTTTCATAACTAGTTGCCTTGCACCAGTCGAAAAACACTCGTATTTGTTAGTTGTCAACATTTTAAAAATTTACAAAGATATGGAGGTTATCTCTTCGCGAAACTCCCACAGATTGATAATGAATTCAATGTGTCCTTACGGTGTATTTTAAGTGACGTGTGTATGTAGATCAAAGGTCGTCAACCCACTCGCATAATTTTGAAAACGTTCCACCCACTCGGAAGAATATTTTAAATACATCTCGAGAATTCCTTTTTCCTGCCTAAGAACTGTCAATTATAATTAAGCTACGACAAAAAGGAATGGGTTTTGTCCAGTTACAACTGAAAATATCAACCTTTTAACAGCACTGTCAGTCTTTCATGAATTTTTTTTCTATTCCATTTTGTTCCTCAATTTTAGTGACGTCTGGCAGGTCGCAAAGGGTTGGTCTGAAAAGGATTGTCTGTTTGCTAACCGCATTCGAGACGAACTGATTATATGTGATCTGAATTTGTGATGGCCCCAACAAAAAATTCGTAGTAATACTTTCCTAAACATAATTTAAATTGGATCACTTTGACGCCGATGGTTTTGTTTTAATTTCAGCTCCTCACGTCTACATTTGCGCAGTTTCGTTCTTCAAATAACTTTCTCTGGAACAAAGAGAATAGTGAATAAGTAGAGTGAACAAATAAAAATTATTGCCTACTGCTTGGAGTCCTGGTTGATTTTCTGGGCAAATAAAGCAATAAAACTCCTCTAAGATTTGACTCTTCGCTCTCGACATATGGCTTTGTGGTTCAGTTAATATTAACGGCTACCTGGTGTCTAATGGACACGAATTCCAGCTCTTTATGTTGACAGCTCAATTTTTTTTGCTGCAGTTTACTTGAGAAGGTAGTTCCAATGCCGTTCATTTTTGATTAGAAATAATTTAAGCCTCCTGTGGATTTAATGAACTTCTAATGAAAAAGGAAACGTGACTTATAGAATAAAAAAAAAACGGAAATTTGCAAACTTTTTCTCTCCTATCATTTTTGTTTATCTATATATTTGTTCTTTAAAATAATGGTGTTCAAGTTTCTCTTCGCATGGAAGAAAATTCTCGTCTGTTATTGTAAATATCACTTTTAAAAGTTTTTGAGTGGGTATTTTTTTTTATCCTTTCAACCGCTCTGTACGTTTATGACTATTGTGGAGAGAATTAGCAAAAAGCTCCTCTTCAGCCACTTCTCCTCATCCAAATACTTGTTCCTTTAAATGATGGTGCTCAAGTTTCTCTTCGCAGGAAAGAAAATTCTCGTCCATTATTGTAAATCTCGCTTAAACATTTTGAGTAGGTATTTTTTTTTGTTCTTTAAATTGCTCTTTACGTTTTGGACTATTACGAGATCGAAGATTCAGATTATTCTCATCTCGTAAATTAGTCTGTGCTTTCCTAACACATGTCACTTATGAAAACTGTCTCACACTCGATATCGCTGATTACAGGAAAATGTAGCTTAAAATTTTCAGAACAGTTCTGGTAAGATGCACATAGCTCAGTTTTTGGAATGATGTTCGTGGAGCTAATACGCTTGGAAGCAATATACTAAGAAAAACGAACCCATCTTGAAAATGTTTTCATTTCATTTTGTTTTTTTCGGTTTTTGATTTTCACATTTGAACTCATTTGCAATTCCCCAAAAGAGACTTGGAATTGGCGTATACTTTCTTGAAAGAAGATGGAATGGAAGACATACGCAGCAAAAATCATATATACCGGCTTAATTACACTTCCCTTAAAGATTACACCTTACACATACTTGACCAGATTGATAAATTAACGATTTCCCTGAAATTTTTCCCTATTATCCATCAGCTGATTGACAAAAATGTTAAGATGCAAGCTTGGTCTTCAAAGAAAATAAACATCTTTATCAATTGTGACGATGGTGAGAAAGAGATAAAAGCATTTTAATCCGTAAAGAGGAGTCGAACCTCAGGCCCTCAGATTTTGCGGTCCAATGCTCTGCCAACTGAATAACAGAGGACTAGATGTTGAGTTTGCCCATGTACTTCTCTCTTTATCCGTTTTCTATGTGCAACTTATTTTCAGTTTGAAGATAATGGAAGAGGAGAAGGAAGTAGTAAGAACAGCACTCACAACCAATTGCGAAATTGAACTTTGCGTCAATGTGATTTTAAAGCCGAGAACCAGTAGTCACGATGTTTGAAAATCATCACTAATGGCGACAAAATTTTAAAAGTTAATCTAAAATCTAACTGTAAAATGTAGTCTCCAAAACTCTTTTGCCAATGATTCCCAGTTATGCAGTAAATGGCTTGAACTCGAGGAGAACATCTGATCGTGTAGTCTGATATTTCAGGTGAGGATAGTCCTGAGGATAGTCCTGAGGATAGTCCTGTGTGGAGGTCGTCATCAAAGTCAATTGATACACCGTAGTCAGTCGAGAGGTATACGACCGGTTGGTGTATACTGATTGGTCAGTTTAGCCGTGATGTTATGAGTTATGAGACTCAAATAGTTAGTGTAATGATACCATTGATTGCATCACCGACATGGAGAGTCACATGTAGTTGAGAAACAACAGTTTTTAATATATTATCTGGCTAGCGAAATTCATGCAAATTCATGGGGCAGAAGATTCCTTTTTGAAAAAGCATTTACAGGTTTAACATTGATTTACTACTCTCTTCCATACCATAAGTGTAGAGATTTTGATCGAAATTATTTTTAATAAGCGTTCAAAAAACAAAAGTCGTTAATTTTAAGGCAAAATGTGCATGTTATGTAATTAAATTATTTGTATACACACGATCAAATAAGCGTCGACACATTAAAAGCATTAGCAATGAACAATGAAAGAATTAAAACCATCCACGCTTTTCCGAAGAAAGTAATCATTATAAACGAACATCTTCTATGAATATTGGCAAAGTAAAGCACTGATAACGTGACTGTGCGAACATTTTCCCATAGAACTGTTGGGTCCCATGCTTCTTAGGTGTCAACATTTTTCGTAATAGAATGTAGCAAACACATTAAGTAAGACTGTGGAGCGGATGATTCATAAATAACTCCTTTTCGATTTCGTCATTTGAGAGCACACGGTCAAACACCATGAGGTCGCTAAGAAACGCGTCGGTTGTTTCTCCACTATCTCTTTTCAAGCCAATGTCGTAAACAGTGTGCCCTGAATTCTTAAGATCCACTTTTGTTTCGACGGCGATATTTGCAATTTTACTCTCCAAATGGTCTCCGTTGATGTATAGGCTACCAGTATGCTGAACTCGACTCCACGTGAATGCAACGTGACTCCATACATTTACAGGGACAGTAGCACTGAATAAAAATGCAAAATGAAAAAAAACAAATGTTATCAAACAATGACAGGTTTTAGCATGTAGAAAATTTCATATGGTAATGTACGACGGCACTGATATTTGCTATGTAGCTACGTGTTCGGTTGTGTACAGTTTCAGGCGTTATAAGAGGGGGTAAAGAGGTTATTGCGTGATATGGGGTTAAGTGATTTTAATTTAAGTGACCAGTGAAAATACGAAATTAAAGCCCTGCCCGCCCTACTTTACTCTCCTCTTATCATAAAAGACCATACCTGAAGGGGGTGCAGAAGTTGAGGAGACCAGTTACAACAGAAGAATCACGCCGTACATCAACACATAAACGGGCATCTGTCATAACGTCAAACCGGAACTGATGAGGGCTTGACCAATCACCGTAGATCATTTGGCGGCTAGTTGGAGACGGAGATCTTTTGATCCAGACGGTAATACTTAAGTTAGTCTGCTGGATAGGTAACGCTGGTGTCTCAGCAAATGTGCCCGGTGTGCCGTCAAGATACAGCACAGTTCGGCCATCTTGTTCTGTAAATCTCGCTGCTCCTTTTAGACTAGATAGAATATGGCAAAATGAAAAGAAAATCTGTGCATACCTCTTGATTCCGAAATCATTGGGTTTTAATGGGGATTGTTTCAAGGAGGTACTTCTTGTGAGGACTAGTAGCGACCATTTTTGCACAACAACAGCGCGTCACCTTTGAGTGGCATGTGACGCAACAGCGGTCAAATTGAGCTTGACGATATTTAAGTTGGGTGGGACGATCTCTAGCGCAACTTCGACTTTCAGCGTTTCCTCATTACTCAATTTGGGTGCGACCTGCCTATGTACCCAAGGGTGGCGGTGGACGAGTTTAAGGTTCCGAACGCAAGTCGAATACAAACTAAAGTGTCCTCGAGTCAAAATGTTTGCATGTTACACATAATAGGGTGGCGCGAAACATCATTATGGCAAGGTGGTGCGTGTAACATCGCCTTTAAGCTCTCAGGCACCGGTAAAAGAAGGAATACAAAATATTTTCCAATAAAAGCAACCACACTTACGTGAGCAATCTGTCTGAACCATTGAATGTCCAATGGAAAGGAAAGCCTACAAAAGAGAAACACAACTATAAAACTAAACTATTCAAAGCTTTGTTGTTTTGAAATAGGACGATAAGTATTCGTCGTAATTGAGGGGGAAATTTTGGTGAAAAGAATAAAAAAGAGGTTGACACTGGCTGAAAAATATAGTTCTGGAAGTTTCGGCTACTACTGTTGCCTTCTTCAACAAAGATAAAATTGTAAATGTATAACGGCGTCCTGCTTGGTATATGTCCACGATGTGTGATAAAACTAAATCTCGAAGGAATTTTTAACGTGTAACGATAGTCTCTAGAGTATTTTAATGGCTCTAAAAATTCTTGATGTTATTGTTTATGTTTGGTAGCGTACTGCGTTCGTTTAGAGCGTTTCTATCTCGCATGGAATACCAAGCTTCAAGAATTAGTCTTTGTCGCCACGCAGATGACCTGTCAACAATTTCAACACTCTCCGAATCTATTTGGTGCCTGTGAAGCACTTGCTGTTTGGCCAACGAAGAGTTTTCATTCAATGTTGCTATGGCCTTTGTGTGTTCTTTCACGCGTGTTTTTAGGGCGCGTGATGTCTGACTAACGTAAACACAATCATAATCTTTACATTTGATCTTGTACACGACTCCTCTTGAAGCCTTTTTCTCGATCTTGTCTTTTAGTTTTTTAATATGCCTGGCTACACACCGAATATTTTGAATCGAGGAGGAGTTAGCTTGGAGAAAGAAGAGAAAATGAAAAGCAAATGGAATAGCAACTACTCGACTGCATTTCCTGAAGCCAGTATCCTTGAATCAGTGTAATGAAAAATGGCCTTGTGGGATAGGGAGTGCTTCTTTCCAAGGGAAGGCGCGGACATGAGCATGCGCGCGATACACGGAACAGACATTTAGTTATGAGGCCGTGTTTTTTCCTACCGTGACATGCTTTCCCATCTGACACCTTGTCCGAAGGGCAAATGCAGGTGAAACTACCAAAGGTGTTTTGACATGTAGCACTCACATGACAGTCGTGTCGCCCCTGTAAGCATTCATCCACATCTACATTGGTTTTGAGAATGAAATGTTAGCCACACAATAATGAACAAGAAAATATAAACTAATCTCTTGCTAAAACTGAATCACTACATATCCCTAGATATTCCTGTGGTGAGCCAAACTTATTCTAATGTTACGATTTATCAACAAGATATTATTTTATTATTATACGTCTTCTGTAAGCCTTTGAGGGGCAAAATAGACTCTGAGCTCGAGGCTTGCGTTCTAAAGCTTTTATCATACCGCATGTACCTTCATCGCATCTTTCCCCTTGGAATTTAGGATTCGAACAAAAACAGGAGTGACCTTCTCCATCAGCGAAACAAATCTTTTCTTCCGGGCACTGAGGTTTGCAAAAATCCTAGTTGGCAAAAATGTGGAAACGGTATGGGAGCAATTATGAGTGATAATACTTGTTACACGACACAGCAACAAACGGCACGACACAGCACGTCATGGCACAGAAACAAGACGACACACGACGCAGCACTACAAGACACTTCACGAAGACTCAAGCTCACACGGAAACTAATGGCATGACACAACACATTATACCACAGCACGACGACATGACATGGCACGAAACTGCAAGGCACCTTAGGACGCCATAATGCAACACTGAATACAATAAGGGTTGCAAATAATAACAAACAATTATAGAGAATCATTGCAAGAGAAGTCTTAAGAAAACACAGGATATCTTTCGGAGATACGTTATCCCTCCTGGAATTTTAATACATACAAAAAGCTTTCCTACTTACCGTTGAAGGATGATAGGTGAAACCTGGGCGAAACACAAGGTGATTCGCATGAAATACATGAAGAGAGCTGCTCAGCTCACATACACGTTTGCCTTGTTCAGATGGTGGACCGAGGTTGTAAGATTTGCAGTCATACTGTAAAAAACACTGAATTTGACACAGATCTCCACTGTCCACAGTGAAGTTCTTGGTGATGTTTTTGTTGAAAGCACTGTCAGGATAAACGTTACCGAACTTCAGCAACCGGCAATGATCTGAAAGAAATTAATTTAACTCCTGTCGGTTAAAAATATCATCCATCATTTCGGAGGGAAGGTAAAATATAGAATGGTTAATTGCCGATATAAAAGAGACTTAAGAATAGTGAACGCTGAAAATTCAGCATGTGATCAAACCCCAAGTTAAAAAAAGCTGACAAGGAGCTCGAGTAATTAATACCAACGTTTCCTATTTACTGTTATGGGATAAGATTCTCACAGGTGTAAATATTATAATAATTATAATTATTATCGACTTTGGCATGTTAGTTGAATACTCAATACACAGCACCACATCTGGCATTGAACATCTACATGAGGTCTCGCAATTTAAGCCTCGCTCAGAGCAAGCCGCTTTTGTAGTGAAGAGCGAAGGCAAAGCAAAGGATAGGTAAGAGTGACCGTAAAACCGCACTTTACCCATCTCTCCCGTTTTGCAGAGGTACTTAGGATCTTTCACAGATCCTAAATTTATAGGTACGGCCGAAAGTATTTGGGCATGCAGTCCCAACTAAAGTCCATTTTTACAGCGGTAGCAAAAAGGAATTTATCCCACCGTAATCACAGCAGCGTGGCCACTGAGGAAAACAACACTTCGATGCCAAATGGAAGCAGTGATCCACAGATTAGCGAGGTGAAGAAAAATAAAAGCAATCTCTAGATGAAACAATTTCAGAGTTAAAACCCCAAATAGAAGCACGCTCTCAGCAAAATGAGCGAAATTAAGAACCATTCGTTCGCTACGTAGATGAAGACGAAGAACGATCATATTTGCAACGCGAATGTATCACAAATCATAGTAATAAGCTCGCAATCATCGCCGAGCCGTCATGGTAGATTTATTTGTGAAATAAAAATAAAAGTCAAGAAGTGCTTTTTTTGTTTTGTTTTTCACATTTTTTGGTACGGCTAAAATGCAAGTGCGATCAACCCCTCCATTAAAAGATGTTACGCTCACCGAATATGATTGCTATTGTTCGGTACGCTATGTTTTCTCGCTGACTTTGCATGATGTGATGTTAATTAAAATTGGAAATACAGAGAAATTACCTCTAACCTCATTGTTATCTGGGTTGCAGTCTCAATTTTATCTCATGCACGCGCAACTCCCCAAATATTTTAAATATTCTCTATGTATATTAAAAAACATACTGATCAAATATTCTTCATTATGGCAACAAAAACTGAGTCAGACTTAGCATTTTAATTTTTGGAACATGCCGGCATAGATTTGTTATCTTACCTAACGGGCAAACCGACTGGAAGAATGCTGTTATGAAACACAGATAAAGTTTCATCTCCACAGGGCTTAAGTATCCACCATAATCTCGAGTCGATTTAGGTCTAATACAACTCTAATGCAGGCGTCTCTTTATCCTAAGACTTTCAAAGGCTATAGTGTGGACATCGATTTCCTTGACAAAACGACTTATCTAGAGTTACGGAACATTTCTGGCTTTTTCATGGCTTCTACAGTTAACCTCGTCTAACTACGCGGCACAAAGATATAGCTGGACTTACAGACGGCTTCGATGTGAGGTGACCTCACTGAACACCTTCAACTCTACTCATACATCTCTTAGGGCATATAAATGTTACTTGATTAAATACAGCCTCTCGTCTTGAATAATTAATGCGGTTATGCTTTCAAGAACCGCGATTCGGCGACGTTATTTAGATTGAAATAGAGCCCTCTATTGCTTTAACAAATTTGTGCCAATTCGGTATCGGATCAATAATATGCGTTGTTAAAACAGCTTTTTGAAGAAAGCTGCCACCTGCAGAGTGGGTGTATAAATTATGAAAAATTTAGTAATGGCTCCCTAGCCTTAAAATTTATCAAAGAAAATTAAATAAACAACGCGCTCAAAGAAAAAAAATTATAAATCAAGCGAAACTCGAAAATGTTCAGTTCTTGAGCCGAGCTAAGCTCGAAAATTCAAAGAGCTCGTATCAGGATGTTTAGGCTGTTGTCATAAACGCTCCAACGTAATGGGTAAGAACAACGTAATCTAAGGACATCCCTTGTGTTACAACACACGAATGAAAATACGCTACAAAATAACGACAGGGAAGCATTAAGAAGAAAATATTTGCTTCTTCAATGGATTCATTGTTACGAGTATTGTATGTCTTCGACCAATTAATCCCATGAATCATATAAAGTAATTTACACTTTTACCTGGGGGTCCTCACGTTTTCTTTCTCATAAAATAAAGGAAAGTCACGTTTTCTCCACTAAGCCTTCTTCAGATTTTAAACTACTTCTTCCAAAACCATATAGTTTCGGAGAAAAGCATTTATCCCGTCGCTCGTTTTCGTTTATGCTTGTATTGTGGTTTGTATTTTTTATTTAAATCCTTGAAAATACTTAAATGGTGTTTCTGTTATCGAGCATTCTCACAGTTTAAAAAAAAGCTGTATAATTAGAACTCGAAACTCGAAGCCCTCCTTTGCAATTGGGTGAAGACAAAACGACACTCGTTAATAGGCCTTTTAATGCAGTCACAGCACTCTCCAAGCACGTCTAGATGTAAGAAACAGACCGCAAAGGTTCAGTTATCTCAAATAGGATTTCTTCTTTCCACAGGCAACCTATAATAGATTCAATCTGTCATGTAAATTGCACAAATTGCCGTTTAATTTTAACTCCTTTTAAGGTAAACGAGGGGACGACAACGTTGATATTAGTTGCGATTACTCGTGAAATACTATCTTAAAATCAATTTCCAATTGAGTATATCGAAAGCAATCCGGAACTGGTTTCGTTTTGCTTTACTTCGTCATGTGATAGGTCCAGAAAACTCGCTTTACTCTTTCAATCAATCAGACGCAAAGTAAAACCAATTACGACATAGTTATCCATGTTTTCCCGCTTCAGGTAGTCTACTTGTTATTACTTTTATCTCTCATTAGCTTCTTGTGATGTTCTCCTTTTTGCTGATTTTTTCTTGTGGTTACATTGGATTTTGGTAGTACGACACTCACTCTACTCTCTGCTTCACAATTGTTTTTTTCCATAGTGATAAAGATAAAAGTATGTTTACCTGGCAAAAACAGTCTGTCCGAGAGGAAGTAAATAAACTCCACATGACCAAAGTTGATTTAGCTTAACATTTGAATATTAACAAGGATTTGGTTAAAAATAACCTGAGTCTATTATTCTGGACTTAGTTAGATCTCAAGGGAAGTACGAATAATAATATTGCAGTTTTACAATTATTTTGTTACTTGCTTTGTTTGGAATCATCTTGGGAATCCAATAACCTTGACGGTGCACGTGCTGGCCACATGTTTGAAGATAGCGCCTGTGGTAATTAAGAGTTTTAGACAAATCCTTTTTGACCAAATATCGAGACTGCGCTAAAATGTTTTGTCTATTACAGAAGGGCACGTGAACAGGAGACTACATTAAACTACTTCATTTGGGACAATCAGTTCTGCAAACCATTTCACATATTTCTATCCTTTATCCGATTTTAGCTTGCAGTTTTACCATGAAGAGCTGACTAAGAAAGAAACGCGGAAAGGCTAGGAATTGCTTCCCTCAACCATACTTTCTAAGGATTGTCTCCCTCGTCAACTTCGCTTTAATCTTAGATCCCCCCTGTTTAGTTAGGAAGAAATCACAAGGCCCAAGAAACCAAGTCTTGTTTAATATCTGCCACTTGGTATTACATCAAAACTGCCACGTTATACAAATGCCCACCAAGTTGACACTGAAACGAGGCTACTACCGATAATTCTCGTAAAAAGGAGAGAGCAGGTATTCCTTTTTCAGAAAAATTTGCGCTGGATATATCAGGTTTTCGCACTGCGTATGTCGGGTTTTTGACACAAATAGAAAGAGCCTACTTCTCTCGACCACTTTATTACAGGTTGTTCCCGGGCGAGACAGAAGAGATGTAACCATGAAGGGGATTTGATTGAAACAGGTCATTTCTGATTTCAATCTCGGACAGGTCACGGTTGAAGACAATGAGATCGCTGAGGTAAGCGTGAGTTATCACAGAATTGTCCCTTTTCAGACCAATGTCGTAAACATTATGCCCTGAATTTTTGAAGTCAAGAAGTGAATTGCTATCAGCAACGTGAAAAGCCTTCATCTGTCCGTTTATGAATATCCTCACTAAGCGGTGCACGCGACTCCAGGTTACAGCTACGTGACTCCACACGTCTGGAGAAACACTAAAGATATAAAATGAATTTGCTAACTCTTGTAACCAAGAATAGCGTAATGTGTACGTACATCAACGTCACGTTGGAATTTTTCGTGTCCGTTAATTCTTGAAGGAGGAATACTGGGGAATCTTGGGGAGAGCGAACGTACCCTACGCTATGACTGAACCTAATTTTGCAATTAGAAAAGGAAGAAATAAGGTCGAAATATTCATTTTAGGATCGTAAAAGGGGAATTTCCTGGACTTAGGTCTTGGGCGCTATCCGTTAGAGTGGAAAACGAGCGAGAATTTTCTGATAAAAGGACAAGACAATGCTCCCATCATGATGAGACAGGGCGAGCAGGACGTTTTTTCGCAGTCAAACTCTTTAGGTTTGTTAAAGGGGGTATGTTTCTAAAGAGACTGTGGTGCTGCGTTGGTGGGAGAGTATAGTAGGTAATTAAGTGTTAACAACTGAGTTGAAAACGTAAATTGGCCACCGTAAATCAATCGCTCTGACGAAGGGCTAACGCTCGAAATGTCAGCTTTTTTTACTCTTTACGGTGGCCATGCAATTTACGTTTTCTTTAGATTTGTTGACGAACGCATGCAATTATAGTTCACTGACAGATCTGAAAGAAGACCCTAAGCTGAGGCCAAAGTATCAATGTATTACAAATGTTTGTTGTGGGGGTGGTGGGAAAGGGCATCTTTAAGTTTATCCTTTCTTGCTTCATATAACATCGTTGACCCCACCTCCCTCCCTCACCGTTCCCGCTTCCCCCGACAGATTTATTACTCTTACCGATGGTGTTCGGTAACTCTAAGAGCAAATACATCGTCGATTCCGTCAACGTCTCGCCTGGCTTGAAAATTAGGACAACCACTGTCCATCATAAAGAACCTGAACTGCCATGGAAAGGACCAATCACCATATATAGTTTGTACTGAGTCCTGAGTAAGGGGCGATACCAGTTTGATCCACACTGAAATAGTCAGGTCTGTTTGGCGGAGAGGAATAGCCGGTGTCTCTGCAAAGTTTGCTCCAGTACCATCCAAGTAAAGAACCAATCTGTTATTTTGCTCCACAAAACCGGCACTTCCTCGCAAACTGATAAAAAAAGTTTAAAATGCTTGATTTCATCGGAATAAATCAAAGAGCAAATATAGTCTTTGCCAGCATTTCCCAAAATCAGAAGAGCAGCTTGAAAGATGGATTTTTTCATATGTTGTTTTGGTTAGCCTGGAACCACTGCTGATTAAGGAAATGGTGAATGAAAAGATCGTCATCACGGCACGTCATGCTATCACCCATTTTTTATTTCATCAGAACTAATCAAAGAGCTAAGACGATCTTTGCAAGTATTGACCGAAATCAAAAGAGAAGTTTAAAAGAAGTGTTTTTCATATTATGTATTTTTGGCTAACCTTGACTAAATTAGAAAATGGTGGATGTAAAGATCAGCAAGCAAGGAAACGAAAAGTGACTTACGTTAGTAAGCTGTCCGTGCCATCTAGGGCCCAGTGGAAAGGAAAGCCTACAAAATAAAATATTTTCATTACACTGCAAATGTTCGAGAACATAAGCCAATTCTGAATCATGCAACGCACCTGACCTTTCCTCGTGAAAGTTTAAGCCATAAAACTGAGATAAATAATTGCAAACAACCGGTCTGTTTTGTCCAGTATTTTTTTCTTTTCGGTTAGAAATTTTTTCATCAAGCAAAGAAAATTCACTTTCCTCGGTGCTGGCACTGGACCAATTCCGTATGGCAAAGAAATCATCACCTGCACACTTGTCTCCATCCGGGACTTGGTCCGAACTACACGTGCATATGGAACTGCCAACCGTGTTTTGGCACATGGAATTCCCGTCACAATTGTGAGTTCCCAGCGAGCATTCATCTACATCTGCCACGAAACGTTCAAAAAGGAACGTCATATGATTGAAATGGTATAAATACTGCCTGGGCGATATATAAAAGACTCCCTGACTGAAACAATGAATCCATCCGGAATTGAGTTAAAATGTGGGCATAAAATTAAGAGAGCAAATGCTGTTTTTAAGATTTTTTAGAGTGGGTCGTTTTACTAAGGAAATATTCCTTTTTATCTGAAAAACTCTCTGTATCAAATCTCTTAAATATTCAATCACTTGACAAAATTTTCAGCCTCTTTTCACATCCAAATTTTCTGGTAAAATCGTTAGAAATGTGGTTTATCATCGCTAAAACACAACATACCTTCATCACACCTTTCTCCTCGAAATCCAGGATTAGAACAAACGCACGAGAATCCTACGTCATTAGGACAACAGTTTTTGTTCTCTGGGCATGGAGGCTTGCATAAATTCTAGGTTCAAGAAAACAAAGCTTGATTATCATATCAATGGAACGAAGGTAAGTAAGCCTGCATTCAATCCACCTCTTGAACTATTCAGGGGAAGTGGGATAATTCGCTAAAAAGGGTATTGTCATTAACCCCCTTTCGGCTGAAGGTAAAGTTCTGACCATTGTTATTGTCGGGTTACAGAGCGCGCATGTCGTTTTAGCAGAAGCAGCTGTTTTGATGTCACAAGGTTATTTTGGCATCAACAACTGAGTTGATAACGAAAATTGGCCACCGTGAAGAGTTTCAAAGCTGACGTTTCGAGCAGACAATGGGCGAACGCTCGAAACTTCGGCTTTGAAATTCTTTACGGTGGCCAATTTACGTTATCAACTCAGTTAATATTACCAAATTACATTGTTATACTCTCTCACCGACGCAGCACCACAGTTTCTTCTAAAACTCACCCCATTTATGTTTTGATGTTAGTCAGGAGTGAAAGAGGAAAAGAGGAACAATAATCTATGTCTAATGTGGAGTGGACGTTTTCAGTGGTATATATGAAGTACAGCCCTACTGAATTTTTCACAGAAATCTCTCCCAGGATAAAGGAGCCAAATCAACGGAGATAATGAAAACAAAGCGATGTGATCGGCTCAGATAGGGCCGGTGGATTATTTCGAAAACCAGAAGCCAAATACTAAAAAAAAAGAAATGGTAGTGGAGTAATATTCGATGGTTTGACGTTTAATACAAGCAAACATTTTGCTCATTTCTCTTGTTTTTCCTTTCCCTTACCGAGGGCTCGGAAAAGTACTGCGCAACTCGCAAAATATCCACGTGTATTATGTGTCATAAGGTTAATATAGGTATTCAGGTCGAGTCTGAAAAGACAAAATCTGTTTTCTCCCTTGACGCTATTGTACGTTTTACTAGGACTCATAACAACAAACTCACATCAGAAGGACGGTAAATGAAACCAGGGCGAGACTCAAGATGGCTCACTTGAGATTCATAATGCGAGCTGCTAAGTTCGCATACACGTTTGCCTTGTTCAGAGACTGGACCGAGGTTGTAGGATTTACAGCCAGTCTGCAAATAACAATTCAGTTGACACTGATCTTCTCCGTCTACTGTGAGATTGTTTATGATGCTTTTGTTGAACGCACTGTCAGGATAAATTTCTCTGAAAAGCAGAATCCTGCAGCAGTCTGCCAGGGAAAGAAACAAAAAAAATGATTCACTTTAGTGAAAGATATTTTTCGTCTTGTGAGGAGCGTGGGACAAAGAAAAAAATCTGAGTCCCCTACGGTGAGCGAGGTCTATTACGAAGTTCATAGGACACGCGTCCTGCATACTGCTAGGATCAGCGATATAGATAGCGTCATGTTTGTAAATAGAATTAGAAATATGGCAAGTTTTGAGCTCGGTAAGAAATAGTTAATGATATTTCTGGTCTTGTCACGAGCGTGTGTCAAAGAAAAAATTCCGAGTCCTTTTGAATCACCTTGTTACAGTTATCGCACGTATAAAAGCCCCCAATAAGCTTCTTTGTGGTATAAAAATGAATTCCGACTGTACCATTGTATTAGTTCTTCCTCGGGAAAGAATTCTCAGTAAAATTTCCCTCGCTCTCAACGTCTGGCGCCGTAGTAGTATCTGGCAAGCACGGATTTCAGTCTCGTCGAGGCCAGAATTTTTTCAGGCTTCTTTTAAATAATTACTTGAACCGCAGACTGACTGCAAGTATCACTACTTTATTCGGCAATTCAGGTAGTATTTGTTAGTGCCACTAGGAATGATTGAGAACGTTTAACCGTTGAAATATTAATCAGAAACAAGAGCCTTCGCCGAATATTTGGAAATTAAAATGCTTCAAATTACGCATATTATTGTCATTCTCAAAACATATTATAAATTTCGCTTGCTTACCTTCCGTCAAAACAAGATAAGGGAAGCTGAGAAACCACAATCCTGCCAAAAATCTGATTTTATTCTGACAAGTAGCAAAAGTGTTCCACAGCATGATGAAAAGTAGCCGAAGTTCATCTAATTTTCTCTTTTTTCTTGTTTTCCTCGAAGCCTTCTTTTTATCATTACCTTGAGCCGGGGTTTAAGACCCAAGGATGGATACAATTCCATATATTTCAAGGCCGCCACTGACTAAAATGCTTGGACTTCAATGTTTGCGGAAAGTCACCTCCAGTGCCTTCACTGATTAGGTAATTAATGCAGTTACTAAACATATACATGTTTTTAAATAAACCCATCACATTGTTAATTTATGAAGTTGTTTCCAAATTTCACCTGTCTGCGACAGTGCTGTTGCAAAAATAAATTACGGTATCCTTGAATATAAGACAAGAAAGACTGGTCTTTTGAATCTTCGCTTAAGTAGAGGATAAATGGTAAAGAGCAAGAATGAAGACAAATTTCTCGTCCAGTCGCTCTCTGTACCCGAGCATCTAGGTAGACATACTTTGTTCCCTGGCTTCTCTCCATATCTGTGGAAAGCTGGTTAATGAACGCAACTTTCCCTTCATTTGAAGAGAATATCCTAGTTTTACTAAAAGACGTGAAGCAATAAAACGCCCATGATATTAATTGAAATGTGATTTAATTCAATCAGTACTATTTTTTTCATAAGCCATTAACAATTCAACATCCTAACAAACCTCTTTGGTTCTAAGACTAAAGCTCTTCACTGCACACGGTCTCTATGCAGGATTAGTGGCACATTCTCTGGACCTGTACCAATATTCTTCTGGTGCAAAGTATAGGTCCACTTATAAATCCCAATAGTTATTAAACTTACAGCGACTAAAAAGAACAAGATATTGACATCAACAAAACACACACCAAGACAACAAACAAACAAACAAACAAACAAACAAACAAACAAACAAAACAGACAAAAACAAAAAACAAAATCTCAAGAAAGTAATCATAAGTTTGCTTATTTTAATTGGCAGCAAGAGTTTTTTTAAGGTACTTTAGAACAGAGGATGTCCTTTCAATTGAGGGGAAGTATTAACTATTGATCTCTGAGAGAATCAGCTGATTATAAAAACCCAAACGCAGATTACACCTTGCAGGACGTGTGGGTTGACAAAATGACTTAAACTAAGGAAACTTGCGCCTTTACCTCTAATACCTCCGATGATTCGATTGAATTGAGTTCTAATGATATGAGGCTGAGAAGGATGATTGCTAAAAGATTAAAACCAAAAACGAAAACAAAAAAATTGAAAATGTCGACACATACATCTCAGTGTGCGGGTTTTTCTTAAGTTGTTCATCCCACAGTTCTGATCCGCACAAAGATTGAAGGTCCATCCGGTAAGCTTTACAAAGCACCGTCATTTAACGATTTTCAACTTCATTACATTGAGCTTCCTGTGCTAAATGCACGGCGGGTAACTGGTCACACCTATAATGACCAATTTAATGGTGATATACAGACGAGCTATTACATCCGCTCGCCGTATTTCTAGTGCTACTTCCTCTCTGAATCTTTGTCAAAACAGTCCTTAGTCTGAGGGAATCTATCAGGTCTGTAATCTGTATCTTTATCCAATCTTGTCTTGATTTCCTTTTGAATCTCTCTTCGATATGCTCCATGGAGGGCACGATTTCCCTTAGCAGCTCTTGAAAGATCTGGAAGAGGGAGTTTATAATATTAACATCAGACTTCAATCTAAGCCATTATTCTGGCCGAACCATCAAGAAGCAATTAAACTATATCTTGTTTCAGAGCGCTGTTCGAAAAGAAACAACAAATTTACATTCGTACACGCCTTCTTACAAAGCTCTGTTGTACTCCTTAAACTGTACCACATGGAAGAGATATGTTAATCTAGAAATGGTTGAGTGAGGGGAAACAAACTATTGTGTTTTAAACGAAAAAAGGAAGAAGTATTAAGGAGGACTGTACATCACTTTCTTGTTATAGGATGCCACTGAATGAAAATTATAAAATAACATTTATTCACCGCAGGAATGGCGATTTCCACACTCGCCTAAGAAAGAAAAGCAATATCACTTGAGCGCAGTGAGGAAATAAGGCCTTTGCCATAGAATTAAAATGTGTTAGAGGTATCCCCTTTTGCTGTGCGTCTTCGCTTTGTGTTAACTCTAACTCTCCTCTAGAATTCCCATCGTGTATAGATCTTTACTATTATCATCACTATTCTATTAGTGTTCTTCTTCTTCTTCTTCGTATCGTTGTCATTATTATCACTGTTATTAGTTTATTACAATAATCATCATCATCATCATCATCATCATCATCGTCATCATTGTTATCATTACCGTCCAGACTTGTGAGAGGCGTGGCTCCTGTGGCTGTAGCCGCACTCTTCAATGCATCACCTATACTGTCTTCACTTGGCGTAATGCCTCGTTGGTCTATCATCTGAAGACGTGATCAACAGTAGTTAGAGTCGTTCTTAAATGACTTGGTAGACTGGAGAGACTGAAGTAAACATTGTTGATAACTGGTTGTATTTACCTTACGCCTCTTTGGTGGTAGTCCATTGACGTAAGCATCGCTAAAAGGCGCTTGTGGTGGCATTCGTCTTTGCCGCACAATGTCTGTTGTGATTACGGGGATCCATTCCTATGAAAGACAGAAAATTACGCTTCTGTGGCACTACAGTAATCTCGAATTCAATCGGCCAAAGGCCACAAGTCATTTGGAGGAATTATGTAACAAAAGTTTGAAATACACATAATATTGAATGAGAAAGCCACGGTTTAAGACTATAATATACTTTGGCAATTAATTTAAAGAATGTGTCTTGAGAATATGCTTTATTTAACAATATGTTTACTTTTGGTTATCAGAGCAGATCCGAAGCCAACCATTGTGCTGCGTTAAATCTCGTTAACAAACAGATATCTGGGTGAGGCTGGCACGTACATGCAATGAATCTAAAAGCGACAAAATCGCTTTTAAAACAACTACCTCAGGCATAATAGATTTCCACTCTTGATCCGCTTGCTCTTCCTCCATAGCCTCTTCACCCTCCGGCAATTCTGCATTGAGGCTTTCCGTATCATTCCCTACTATGATGGATGCAGGGGGAGTCGTAAACGTCTCTGAATCATCAGAACCATGACTGTCCATGTCTTCGTCTATGGCCTGTCAGAATACATGTACAATGAATATAACTGAGATTACCTTTAACTTTGATAGGAGGCATGGAGAGGTGGAAGCGCAAATTCATTTGCAGTCTGAAATCATTTGGAGTTCTTTGTTGAGTGAATATTAAAAAAGATATAATAAAAATACTTATTTTTCCCAATCATTGTCACAACCTTTCAACGCACAACAACACTCACAATCAAAGTGACAATGCAATAACGATAACGACCAAACAGGGAATAGTGCGGTGAAGAAAGTGTGGTTCGGTTTCCGCCAAGCATACAACATAGCTTCATAAGAACTCTACGTATTGCATCGTTTGGTCCACATGTTTAACACTAAATTTAAAAGCAGTTAGGTACAATTGGCGAGGCGGGCTATTTGCCATGGCATCGGAAAGGGGAAGAAAAAAACATCGAACGCGATTGTGAATTGCTAAGAAGATTTGTTTTGTGATTAAACTTCAGAAATGTCGTTGTAAAAATCAAGGAATCCTACTGGAGCAATTTTCAATTGAGTATCGAAAGTAATCCGGGATTGCTTTGGTTTTACTTCACTTTGTACTGTGATTGGTCCACAATACTTGCGCCGTCCTCTCAACCAATCAGATGCAAAACTAAAAAACAATCGCGTTTGGTCACCCGCATTTTCCCGCGCTTCAAGCAGTTTGAGTTCTCATTGGCTAATGACAATGCAAACCTTGGTTCTGATTGGTCGCTTGGATACCTCTGGTTTTGGTTTGTTCAACATTCAATTGAAAACTAAAGAGTTTGCATTACTCGTAACACAACTGCTTTCACTTTAGGGGTGAAGATTTTCAAAACAATTTCCTCACCTCTCCAACTTTCTTGTCGCCCGCCTTTTCGTCCTCAGAGGAGTTCCCCACGGGAGGTTTAGAGGGGGCTTCAGGTTGTGCCGGAGGGGGTGGTGGAGGGGTTTTGCGTTTGATCATGAAGCGCTGGAGTCGCCCCTCACAATACGCCCTACTGTAGTACATCTGACGGATGTTCCTCAGTAGCAACTGCTCAAACACTTCTCGAGAACGTTCATCCATGTCTTGTGTTAAACTCGATGTGGGCTGCAAGTATTAAAAAATGGAGTAGAGTTTACGAATCATTTTTACAGAATGGGCATTCGGATGCTCTACTAGCAAGCTACAGAGAACTACTACAGAGGCGAGATACAGCAGGTCCTACATGTCAGGCATTCCGCACTCAGCTAAGTTTCACACTGATGAATCAAGGTGGTAAGTTTCTAAAGAAACAGTGATGCCGCATCAGTGGGCGGTATTACGAGATCATTTGGTTTACTCAACTGAGTTGATAATGTAAATTACCTCTGACTAGGGGCTAACGCTCGAAACGTCACCTTTACAAAATCTTCACGGTGGCTAATTTATACTATCAACTCAGTTGATAAAAACAAATTATCTTGGTTTAACACTGTTATCCGTTCCCTCTTCTTTCGTCCTCTCACTGCACGAGATCAAAAGCACGAGGAAACAGTAATCAACATGTCCGAAATAAAACCTACGGTATTCCACATCTAAAACTCAAAATCATGGCAGAGTTGGCTTCCAAACACATTCAGTAAGCCATCTTGCGTAAAATAAAACACCATGAAAGCCCGTTATTTGCTTCAATCAAACGTCTCGAAACAGGACTAGCCCACAATTTTTGGAGGTTCAGGTTAATTCTTTAAGTTCCGAGTGGGTGGTAACTTAAAATTCACGTGTGCTGCTACTCGTCGAGTGATTCGAAGGCGCTGAAGGGGGGGGGGAGAAAGCAGGCTTTGACACTCACAATTCTATTTCTGATCACTTGTTCGACTCCTTCCAGCCCATCTCTGTAGCAAAACACCAGCATTGTGAAGAATTCTGCGGCTATGTCCTTCATGTGTCCTTGAAAGTATTCAGCAAACCTGGGGTTCTCCTCTGTTGATGCAACAAGATATCATTATAGTTACAGTAACGTGCCCATCTCTCAAGAGATCTTCATCAACAGCTATATCCTCCGGTCAAAATCGATTCGTGTTAACAATTCTTTTTTTTTTCCTTAGGATATACTGTTTTCGTTTAAGTGACCTTCCTCGCACCAAATACAGTAATTACATGTAATTAAGGGGCCTCTCTCCAATACAGTAGACTAGGATAAAATCTAAAGCGCTCAATATTACATCCGAGAGAGAGATACATCTATATCAACTCTTGTCCTTCAGTGCTTTATGCGCGTAAACCCGTTAAACGCACGCCCGGTTCCGCATTTAAAAAACCGTAATGGTGGAATCCACCTCAAAAGGACATCGAAAAAAGGACAAAAAATTATGTACGAAAAAGGGTTTGGATTTACGAAAAACAGATTTCCGCGCTACGATGCTCACTCAGGTAATGAGAACTCTATAACGAACTCTATGGCGAACTCTATGGCGAGTGACGAGACAAAAACAAATTGAACATCTTTCTTTATTGAGGACACTACTTTTAGCTTTAACGTCTTTGAAAAACTTGTCTTTGAAAAACTTGTCTTTGAACAGAAACACCCAGTAATCGTATCCTTATAACAATCCAATTGAATGTTTAACCTTACAGTTTCTTCACTAACCTGAATGTAAAACCAAGTCCACGGCATTTCTGATATAGTGCTCTAGGAAGCTCTGGGCAGATTCCACAATATCAATATCATTATTTGTTGGGGCAACTTTCTATTTGCGACAAAAAAGAGATAAATGTTCACACAAAGGCAACCACAAAGACAAAAAGAACAAAACAGGCCTAGTACAGTGGTGGAAATCTTAAATGCTTTTTCACCATGCCGTCTGCAAAAGCAGAAAAACAACGCAGTGTTATGACCTGAACCCCGAGATGCGTCTCAAACCGACATGGATAAGTAAGGCTAATTTGAGTAACTTACAGTTAATTTCAGTCTAAACCCTTGAGGTTGATGTACAAGTATCTATGTTCTCAAAACTTCACACGAAAGTAAATTAGTGAATTCAGAGAATCTGAAAAAGCAACACAACTGGGTAGCATTCCGAAAGTGTGATACCCAACAGAAACACTGTTGATTGAACAAACAAACAGACGCAACAAAAATAACACGAAAGTTAGAAAGCAACCTTTGAATACAGGTGTAGCGTACTGAAGATCACTGAACTTCACTTACAAGGGAGTCCCCAACACCATCAACGATTTCTTTAGTCAACTCCTTCACAGCTTTCTGAAAAGGATTCAGAACAAAATGAGCCATTACGAACAAAGGGACTACACAACGTCAGCGAAAAACAGGGTATACTTTTATAGGGGAGGTGGAATAGGGGGGGTGGAATTCTCACCACCCCCCCCCCAACGGATGAGAGAGATGTGACATGGGAGGGTTTGGCGAAGGAAGGGATGGGTGGGTTGGGTGGGAATCGACACTGGCTTAGAGGGAAGACATCCTTTACAATTGAACGTTTCGAAATTTAGGGATTACAGCGAACAAAATCATAATTCGTGTGACGGCTGCTCATGTTATACCATAGTCTACCGGTTTGGATGAATTATAAGAGCTAGGAAGCAAGACGTTTACTTCGAAATCATGGTAAAAGTATAACTGATTTAATTTGACAAAGATAATGCTGAAAATAGATATAGAATTCACAATTAAATGGGAAAAACAAAACAATCAGATACGCTCGCAAGCTATAGAAAGAGTAGCGTAAAGACAGTATCACTAAGAGCTATATTAAAAATTTTACCCGTAGGTTTTCGTTTGTTGCTTCTTGTCCATGCAAAAGATCCTCCTTCACGTACGCCATCAAAGCTGGTCGGATTCGTTCAAATGGTCTCTCAGAACCTAAAGAGACAAGAAACAGGCACTTACGTAAAAATACAATTTACTCCTTTCAAAAGAAGGACGAATATCAGTGATTGTCCCAATGCACCTATGACAGCGCATCAAAACGCACCACGAGTTCCAAACAATTGTGCTTGAAATAAACAATAGAACCCCGCTAACTCGGTCTCCACCGGTAACTCGAACAAGATCCCTTGACCCCAGCTTTCCAGTCATTAACTATCAGCTAACTCGAGTTCTCGCAACTCAACCAATTTTTGTTTGACTTGTGAGTTCGAGCAAGCAGAGTTCAACTGTAATGACATTCAACTTCAACAAACAGTGACTCTACATGACGACAAAACCAATAAACTCTTCAACTTTAGAAGAAATTAGAATCTTATTTCCCCTTTTGGTATAACCCATGTAAACATAGGAAATGATAACCAACTTGAGAAGCTCTTGATTGCGAAACAAATTCTCTTTGTGATTTCTATTGAAAATGTATAGGAAACAGTAAGGAAAATATACAAACTAATGTTACCTTGTCTTTGAGAGCTAAAATATCTTCTGAATCTATTGTATTGCTCTACAACTTATCTTCCATATAAAATCGCGATGCCAAACGCATTGAGAAGTTACAGCACTTACCCATGACCACGCCCATGACATCCTCAACTGTCATCACGGCACTTAGACGCTGATATAGAGCAGGAACCAGTCCTTGACAAAAGAAAAATAACAGAGAGAATTAAAATAACCTCAAGTGAGCTGTACTTGAAACAAAAAAGAAATTGAATCAAGGAAGTATACAATATGCAGTGTTCTCCTTTAAAGGCAGTAACCGGTGACATCTACCGCCTATAGTACCTCCTAGTACCGTTTAAAATTGCTTGGAATTCTTGAAGATTCAGCGGATAAAAGGACTGCTTTACCGGGTTGAAAATTTGTTTTATTTATTATGCTTAAAATAAGGGAGAACACTGTGTCATAGTCTTACATGTAAGGGAAGCAAGACGGTATCCATGTTCCATGCCAAAAACAAACTCATACAATAACGAGATAGGAACAGCTCACCTTCTTCATCTTGAATGTCCAGTCCACTTTGTCTCATTGTTTCAATTAAGGAATTAATTGTTTGTGTCTGACCTGAAATGCATGAGTAAAAAATTTACTCGTCAAAATAATAACAGATAACCATTGACTGAGAATTACTCACTACAGTATGACATAAATTACGGATTAAATTTTTTGACCAATCACAGTGTAAACTAAAAGAAAACCAAAACAATCCCTGCTAATTCTCAACACTCTCTTGACCACTGCTCTTAACTACATTGTTTGCAGGACAACAGTCCTTTGAATTGTTACACTTGAATTGCTGGCCCATATGTAGAATTGATTTCTGAGGAGGGAAATCTGTGTGTGTAATTCCTAGAGCCAGTGTAAAATATAAGAGGTATTACATGCATACTACAGAACAGCAAGTAATACTGCTACTCATGTTTGAAGTCATCACCTTTTTCCATTAAAAAATATTGCAATGTGATAGCAATGTCGCAGAAAAAAGCACTTTGGCAACTGAATGAGCTACTTAGATAAGTAACTCTTATATGGTCTCTTTAAAAAATGGTGTAAGTGACAATCTGTTAAACCTTTAAATTGCCATACGAGAGTCAAATAACCCCACCCCTCCCTTGCCTCTTTCAGGCAGAGTATCAGTGAAAGTCATTGGAGGGAAAGGGGGAGGAGGCAACATCTTTCCTCTCCCCCCCCCCAGGTAATCACCCAATTGACATTTGACAATTGACTATGGGGGACCCCAAGAGTAATTATTGCCATATGATACCATAACAAACCTTCATTGTAGTTCATCATAGAATCTATGATATCCATCATTGATTGCCTTGAATCTGAACCACCCCTTCGGCCAGACTGATGAAGGTTTATTAATAAAAGATTAATATGGTTGAAAAATCATCATTTTTCTACAGATAATGGTGTTGCAATAAAGCATTTTGCATGCCTCATCTACACACAAGACTCTGCGCAAACAAGTCACATAGAGTTTATGTTAATTTTGTCATCTTTTTGTGGCTATCACTGAAAAATGTAATTAACAAATAGATTCCATGTTGCCGAGTGTGTCAGTGTACCACAATCTGGTGTCTTTTATGATCTATAACTGTACAGACTCATGACAACAACAAATCTATTTGTTTTAACATGATTAAAAAGCAAAATGTTGTGATGGTGATGTCATCAAAGCACTTGTCCTCCAATAAATTGTACCGTAAGTAAGAACCAATCACAATTCCTGCATAATTCAGCTTATCATAGAAAGGAAAATTAAGACTTGCATACATGTAGTATGTCCTTTACTGTCTCAAATAAAGTACAATGTAAACTGAGCACACCCCTTTAGATTCTCATATTTAAGGGGTTGTATTTAATTTCAAAGATGCCATAGTATGAGATGAGTCTAAGACAGATAACAGAGCACATAGTTCAGAGCAACATGTAGAAATCAAAAATTTCATTGTAGTGTAACTCCTTAGCATTAGTTCCAAATGCAACATGTCTGGGGCTTTACTGCCTGGGCAGATGTGCAGGAAAAATTGTTGTTGGCTTGACAGGGATATATATGAGCAAAGCATGGGACCACACAATTTCTTTCAGCTCTATACAATAACCAGTTATCACCAAGCAAAGCAAATAATTATTTCCATTAGTTGAGTAAACAATTATGTCAAACTGCAGAATCTATACCCACATTTGTAAATCAAAATTTTAAATTCAGTCCAGAAAGCTTTATGGCAAATTTTCAATCTAACCCTTACCTTAAGGCAAAGCCCCTTCACTTAATTTTATCCACCTCTATATGGGCATTTACATGTAACTGTTCTTAATTTACAAAACAAGTTCACACAGCAATACTGGGGAGCTTAAGCAACCCATGATGGGGACAACAGGGCAGACATGGGGATCTTACAAATCTAATTTGGAGAACAAAAGAACTACATGTGCATATAATGAAACCTTCCCAACCAGTCTCAGTAACACAACAAAGTTGAGACAACAAATTTTGACTTTCTGGGCACAGGAACAAAAAAAGCACATCAATTATGTTTCCTCTTCTCTCTTCTGAAGAGGTTTGGTAGAATATGACACAATAGACACATCAGGCTATTCCCAAAATCCTTTGAGACAAATATACGTTCACTTTTCAGTTATGTTTCCCCAGAGGTTACCATCATGACTGCTTAAGCTCCCTACAGTAAGGGCATGAACACTGGCAGTTCATGATCAGTACCTGTCTAGGTGGACCTCGGCCTGAGCTGCCGGGAAAAAGTGATGGTAATCCTCTAAAGCCAGTCCTCTGATCATGTGCGATCATTCCTAGAATCCCTTGCAAATCAGCTGGAGATATTGTGCGGTCACGGGCTGAAGATGCAAGGAAATCAATGATTAAATACCAACAATGGGCACAACAGCTGGTTTTGCAATTACGTCATAAAGTTGATTGAGTATATGACCTTATGCAACATAATATAGTTAATAAGGAGGTAAAGTCTTTATTTCATGATGGTAGCCCTTCTGAAGGAGTAAAATTTTTTCTCAGACATTTCATACATACACCTGTACATGTAACATTACAAAAACCTATCTATTTATGAGTTAACAATTGAAAAAAAATTACTATAACTACTTTGTACAAGCACATGTAGTAGAAAAGCCTAATAAAAAACTTCTATAACTTATATTGAAAATTACCATTTACAAGTAAATGGGAAACAAAGGAAACTATCAAAAGTTACATAATGATTCATACTGTGTAAATTTCTTAATTTGCTGTTCAATGGTATTCATTTATTACTAACAAAAATTTTTTTGCAAGCTGTTCAAAAATTCTACACGTATTTGTCCAAGATCAAGTGGCAAGCCATTCCAGATATGATGAGTTAATGCTGCAGCAGTTCTACCCCCTTCGGTTTTCTCTTTTCTATGAAGGCCATTTGAGTACCTAGCATTTTCTTCCAGGTGAACTACTATTTTACACAGATGCAAATTTTTTTAAACAGATGAGCAAACCACTTAAATGTTTTACCAAAAGCGTTAAATGGATGCAAATTTTTTTAAACAAATAAGCAAACCACTTAAACATTTTAGCTAAAGCGTTAAACAGATGCAAATTTTTTTAAACAGATGAGCAAACCGCTTAAACGTTTTACCAAAGGTGTTAAACAGATGCAAATTTTTTTAAACAGATAAGCAAACCACTTAAACGTTTTAGCTAAAGCGTTAAACGGATGAGCAAACCATTTAAACGCTTTCATGAACCATTTAAACGGATTTAAACGGATAGTAAACAGTTTTGCAGTTTAAACAGAAAAGCATCAGTGTCTGTTTTCCCATGGAAGGTCACATTTATTCTCAAGCATTCTTAAGAGTTTTGAAAAAAAAACAAAAAAAAACAAAGAACTGAGTGGATCTAGGATCTGATTGGAAGTACAGTGTAGCTCTCTTTTGTAGCTTTATCACCCTGCTAAGATTGACTTTGGACGATAGTCCAAACAACTTTAAGGTAACCAATTTAAGGTTTGATGTGCTATTATAATAAATGAAATTTCTGTTGCACTATGATTTATCAAAAATACAGCTGTTAATGTGGAATATCAAATCACTATTTCAAGTGTACATTACATGTACATGGTAGGTGCCAAATACAAATACATGTACATCATAACTGAACACAAGATTTTGCAATAACTAGAAAAATCAACTCATCATTGTAACTCAAATGTCAGTAATAGGAAGCATTAAATCAAATCACATGTACAGGTACATGTACCTCTCCTTCGCTCTGGGGGTGTTCTCACTGGTGGCTCACGTGCAGGCGGAGGTTCACTAGGAGGCTTCTTATCACCAGCTGCTCCCCGAGTTTTGGGTTGAGTCTGAGAAGCGCTGGTAGTTGCAGGAGTTGAAGCTGGAGTACTTGTCGCTGCTGTCTCAGGGGCAGTGCTGGCTATTGGCGTCTGAGCTGGAGTGCTTGTCACTGTTGTAGTGGTAGATTGGGTTGACTGTGGTTGACTGGTTTGCTGTGGCTGAGCACGCTGTCCCTGTGGTCCAAAATGAAATGACTGGCAAGGTAAAGATGGGTCAGGATGATTTGAGTTTGGTGTTCCTCCTCCTCCTCCTCCCATACCAGACATAAGATTCATGGACACAGCCCCTGGTAATCCCTGAGGTCTAGCTTGACCCTGTCCAGCTGTTGTACTCTGTGTTCCAGGTGTTGGCACTGGTGTGCTTGTTGCTGTTGCTGCTCCTTGGCCTGGTGCCTGGGATTGATTCTGAGCCACTGACATCCCTGAAGGGACCTGACCACCCTGGGCTGCAGCCATAGCAGCAGCCATGGAAGCTGGCACATTTGACACCAATGCAATGAAGTCATCTACAATAATGCGAGTCCGGACACTGGGCTGTGAAGTCTGAGTTGATGTACTAGTACTGCTGTTAGTTGTGTTGGCAGTAGCAGTGGCACCATTATTTGTGTCAGTACCAACTGATGACCTCTGCTCCCCAAAGGAGCTTGAAAAAGTCTCTCTTGCAGCACCATTATCTGCACTAGCACTCATCCTTGTACCACTTGTGGATGTTGTGGATGGTGTAGACAGACTGTTGACTGGTGCAGTGGTGCCTGGATGTGACACATTTGATATAATGGTGGTCAATGAGATTCCACCTTGAGGATTCACGTGGATCCTCAAATTCTGATTGGTGCCCAATGGTGTCTGCGGGGTACCTGGTGCAGCTTGGCTGGTCTGTGATGTTGTGGAGCTTGCAGCAGGTTGCTATGGGGTTAAAATAAAGAATAAAACATGCTTGTTTGTGATCCGATCAACTGCTGTACAGCTGAGATATACATGTACATTGCAAAGAAAAATGAACTTTGCTAAAACTAACATTAGTCTTTGGTTTAATGTTCATTATGGGGGCATTCAGTATAGATTGAAGGTAAGGACAAGAAACTGAACTCACTTACATGTATGCCACATAAAGAGTACAAAATACAGTTATGATAAGATCTCTATTAAACAATAAAATATGGAATAACTTCCTCTGTTTCCAAGATAGAACCACCAACTGTACAAGAGATTGAAGCAATTTGCTTCCATAATACTATCTTGTAATACAGGATTGATTTTTACAATACGGTATTTCCAAAACAGTAGCTGTAATAGAAAGATTTTCCATCATTCCAATAAAGTTGGAGTTGAAAGTGAAGGGGGGGGGGGTTTGGGGAAAATAAAAAGCCAAATTGGATGAAATCTTTTAACCATTAATTCTGCATCAATTGTATAAAATGAAAATGGGTTAGTGCTCCTTGTACAGCAGTTTTATCCCAAGTTGACTAGAAAGTCATTAGCCCTGACAGTATACTAGACAAGTGTAGCTTACACTTTTAAGTTAACCACACAATCACCATGCAATGAAATTCAATGGACATTCCTAAATACCTGAGCAGGCTGAGCCATAGGATTTGGTATCATCTGAGGTGCACCAACAAAGCTTGACAACATTGGCACTTGTGGAATATGTGGAGATAGTGATGTGAGCACACTTGGCCTTCTTGGTTCAGGACCACGGAAATTGAAAGTAAGATCTGACAGAGCATGGTAAGCATGACTGAGGTTGTGGAATGCTTCAGCCACTCTATCTGGTAAGGTGTCTTCAGAAGCATCTAAGTTCTTAAAAACCAAAATAAATTCTCAGTTAGGAACATCTACATTGGATTTCTACTTGGTATCCTACAACTGAATTTGGTGTCCTACAACTGAGTTGAAAACATAAATTGACCACCATAAAGAGTTTTAGCCATATGTCTCCAACAAAGAGTTAACTTCCTACTTCCTGTAAGTATCAGCTTTACAACCTCTTTACCCAACAAAATAAATTTATAATACCCCCTACTGATGCAGCACTCCAGTTTCCTTAGAATCTAACCCCCTTCATTCAGGATACCATCAGTTTTCTACCTTCCCAGGGGCAAAGTTATATATGCAGCACAACTGCCTGACCCCCAGAACCAATTTACAGACCCGCTTAAGCTTTCACTGTTTGAAATCCACAGTTTCTTAGCAAAAGTTAATTGTTTATGTGCATAACTAACTTCCAAAGAACCTTAATGTTTAAAAAGAATACTGTAGAACTTAAAAATTGAAATAACTGTACCTCTGGAGAGTTGGAGTCTAGAAGAGAAGCATATCTGTCTAATACTGTTTGCATTGAAGTCATGGAGTCCCTTGCATCCCTTAAGACTTCTGCCAAGGCTGCAGGACTGTTTAAAAAAAAAGTTACTGTAGACACACTTGAAGCAAAATTCACAACCTAGATGTTGATTGTGAAGCTACATGTATGCACAGTTGAGAAGTGTACTGAAATTGAAAAATGACTATTTTGGAGAGGTCTTTGTCAGGCACTGGGTTCAGGAGATATCCTTGATAAGGAATCCCAATGACTATTCAAAACTCAGAAGCATAGCAAATGCAACCCATACCTGGAAAGGTTTGAAGTTTGGCTGCCAGTTTCTGTTGAGGATCCTTCAGCTTGATTGGTATTTGTAGTATTTGGTGTTTCTGATGTATCCATAGGAAGAACTCCATCTCCCTAAAATATTTCATGCCATATTTCAATCCTCAAGTCATTTAACTAGCTTGGAGAATCCCAGTCAACAATATATTTCATAGTCTAAACATGATGAGTACTACTGCACCTCAGATCTGTTCAAAGAATTAGATGCAGCTCTCATGAAATGTCTTGCCCTATTAATCCTCTGTGATACATCATTTCCAGGCTGAAAGTAAAATATATTCATGCACTTTAGATACTCTTCCAATGTAACAACACTATAAATACATGTACACCTGTGCAATAATGGACATACATTGTAGTGTTCAACACCACGTTACAGAGACCACACAGATTTTCATGTAACCAGTACCTTACATACAGTAATAACACATTTAATATGAACTTTAGGTGTCATTTATGAGGACATTAAACACTAATACATCCACATACATATATGTTACTACTTTTATGCAAAATTACTGTGCTAACATTAATTTTCTTGTGAAAACATTATCTTTTTAGGCTGTACATTATAAAATATGATGATTAATTAAAAAGAAAAAAAAAACTGGAATAGCGCCAGAACTGTAGGATAAGCAGAGATTTCAATCTTGAGAACCATGCAAAATAAAAAGAGCCTAACTGTATATTCATGCATGTACATGTATCTCTTGCATGTTCTAACAGTTAAGTAATATCTAATATCTTCTGCTCATTAAAACATAAAAATTCCGAGTAACATTTGAATCATGGCTGTTAATACTCATGTTACACATGTCCATGAATGTCTTATTTAGTCTCTGAAGGCTAGAAGCTATAGGTCACTGCAGATTAGCCGTAGTTCCTGAACAAAGACTCCATGTGACTTGATTTGTAAGTTTAAATACAGAGTACTGTGTACACGTACTCTCTAAAAAGAATTTTTAATGAAATAAATTGATTGCATGTTGGCCTTTGCATTTTACCTGAGTTGTGGCCTGAAGGTTGATGTGAACATTCACTGAAGATCCATCATCCTGTAAGGAAAAGTCAACTACTCACACACAACCATCAATTTCAATCTATGTTTATTAATGATCATCAATCATTAACCCTCCCAAGACGTGATTATTAATTCCTCTCCAAAGCAGCTACATGTTTTCTTGTAAATTAGTTATAAGAATTTGGTGTTAGATCAAGTGAACAACTTTTACCACGATAAGTTTAAGTATTCTCATCACACGTTTGCTGGATAATGTAGGGATTTTATAAGGAGAAGTTACATGTTAATCACTTCTGGGACTCAAAGGGTTACAGCATGCAATTTTTATCTCAAATAGAGCCAAGGCTGACTCAAAACAACAATGGCAGCCTTAGTCATAAACAAGCATTCTCACAATAACTGTCCCATAGTTCATAGGCACTTACAGATGATGTGGTACTGATATTTGCTTGGGCAGAATCCACTCCCAGCTGATTGACAAGGCTCTGAACAATTTGCTGAATAAAAAAATAACAAAAATCTGTTTCAAGTCTGGTTAAAATCAATTACTCAGGTAGTAAACAATTTCTCAATATTAGTTTTGGCAGACTATTTATTGCAGTATACAACAAGCTGAAGCAATATTTATTACTACCTATTTCAGGCCTGGACTGTAAGTAAGAAAAACACATTACTTAAATAGTTATCAAAGCACTGATGTTTCCTTCTATAAAGATTGGCCACTTAACCTTCATTCAAAGATGAGCTTCATGGTCAGCAGTAAACAAAGTATTACAAAATTGCAAAAAGAGGTCTTTATCTTTTAACTGAAGCCAAACATTTTATGATTTTAAGTTGCCAAAAAAGCATCCTAGAAAGGATTAAGTATGTTCTATTAGTGCATAGCTATGATACACAACCTAATGGTTGATTAGTATCATCCACAGAAAACTTTGCTTGGTTACCTGAGTAGCTCCTACAACATCAACTGGCATGGAAAATGCTCCCATGACGATGTTAGGGCCGACTCCAAGAGGCAGGCTTCCTGATGAACTGGTAGATGAGCTGCTAGAGCTATTGGGGCCATCTGACAAACACAAAATTATAATGGTATAAAATTCAAATAGTCTGACTGGAAGAATCAAAACTGTTTTGATGTTCATGTTGTAGTTCAGATTAAATTTCAGTAAAAGTGACTCCAAATTAGTTTAATTTGTCTTCCTTGTTGGAATAGATTGCAATGATTCTTACATGCATATATGTACAAAGGAAAAATACTAGTCAAGCTACAACTGCACTTGTAAATTTGAAATAGTAATATTAAACTGAATTAAATTTCAAGCTGCAACATACACATAAACATGCAATTTTCCAAACCTAGAGAACTTGCTCCAAGAGGTGGAGGTTTCCTTTCAACCAGGTGAATTACGCAACCATCAACACCTGTTTGATGAACAATTACCATAATTATCATTACATTCAAGTAAACTGTTCCTAAAGGTACACATTACAGAACATAAGTTGCATGTAGCAGTTTGTTTATGCATTAAGCATATTCCCTAGTTAATTCCACAAACATGGAAAGACAACAGCACAGGTGCAAATGAACAAGGTACCATAGCAAAAACTGAAACTTGTTCAGCTGATTAAAAAACAAACCTCAGTTCATTTTTAAAACCAATGAAATATTATTTTTTTATATGCGTAATTTCACTTGCATGCTTTTTAAGCAAGTAAATAAAGTGTTTAAATTTACTGTACATTGTGGTAATCTTGTGCTTCAGGAATGACTGAAATCAGATGACATATTACATTTACACATTAAGAGTTCAGATACATGTAATCACCTCATATGGTTCCTTGCATGCACATCTGTATAACTGTACATGTAATAAAAAATATAATTACCATATTCTGAAAGCTTCTTATCATCCTGCAATACCTTGCCTTTGAAAATAAGTCTTTGCTTGTCAGAGGGTATATTCTGAGAAACGAATGATACGACACGGTACATTGCAAAACTGTACACTCAAAGAAAACTGCATGATTAAACATAGTATGTACAAATGTTAACCACCATGCACTTTTCAGGAAGAGAAATGAAAACGTCTGATATGGAGCTTCGCAACCGAATGAGGAGACCGGAAACTTATGCAACCTATATTTCAATGATATGCAAAAAATGACTTCCTTGTTTAAGTACTTCTACAGTAACGGAAAAGCAATAATTTTTAGGAACGTTTTCCTCGTCATAGAGAACTTTTTAACTGGAAAATTAAAAATTTGAAGATGGTTTTTAAGTAGCACTCCTTCACACCTATGTTTTCCGTCATCGTGACCAACAACGCTACGCCTTTGCACGAGCTAGGCAGCCATATTGGCTTTAGTGTCATTGCATTTTCAGTTTTCGCTTACCAACATTTCTACCAGCAGCTCGCACACAAGTTACAATAATACTCACCACATCGGAAGCAATTTGATCCTTAAAGTCTTTCACAGAGGACTGTCGAGGAAAAAAAAATGGATAAAATTGAAACGCAATTCGACTTCTTTAAATCATTGAACCTTCGAACTGAATTTAACACAACAACCTAGGCTATAAACAAAGAACTATAGGAGCAAAGTGTAAAAGGAACTCTTGTATGAAAACACAGAAATTCTACAGATAAGAGAAGAAGACAGAGCCACAGAACTGCGGGAAAGAGACGACAAAATGACCAGAACGCTGTGATTCTGTACCGACTACATTAAATCGTCTCACCTCCTCTGAAACAGTGAAAACTTTTGTTTGCGAATCCAGCGTCTTCACGGACACCTGCATCATTTTCAGAAATCCCAGCTACTCCAGAAGAGTAGCTAAGCTTTATAAAGAAAGAGGAGCCGAGAAAAGTTTCGTTAAACGGCTATGTCGCGAAGCTTTCACTTTCAAATAGAGTTCTTAGTCAGAGTTCTTCAAAATGGCCGATAAAGTTCTCGTTTTAAATTCCATCACGATGGGTGGGGTGGGTGAGGCGTAAGCAATAAATTGCGTGGTTACCTAAGCCCAAACAATCGGTAATATGGCGGCCAGTGCGCTTTCAGATTATTTTGCGAATAAATTTTTATTAAAAGCCGCCAAGATCTAGCATTTTATAGGGCAATGCTTTTTAGCAATGTCTTTTATCGGAGACGGAGATCACAAAAAATTATCCGTTCCCGGAGCTGTACCACAGTTGTTGGACGAATCATTAGCCAAGGCTTATTGGACCGAACTTCCTGACAATCTTCTTCTAGACATTTTTTCTTTCCTTTCTCCTAAAGAAGCCTTAAATGCCGGTCAAGTATGCCGCAACTGGTATCGGCTGTCCAAGGACGAGATGCTTTGGAAATCACTGCTCCAAGAAACTTTATTTCCAGACCGCACCAAGAAGATCAAACTGAAACTTCCTAAGTCGGCGTCCTCTTGGTTAAAGGAATTTCAAAGAATCCACTATAAAACGCCTTTCGTGGAAAGTCAGATACTTGAAGAACACACTGATGAAGTCCTTCATGTAACCTTTTCTCATAATGGTCAGTTGTTAGCTTCAAGTTCCAAAGACTGTAGTGTAATACTATGGCGCGTTTCCAGTTGTACATGTGTCAGTATGGCGCAAAAGATTAATTTTCAGGAGCGTAATTGGGAATATGTTCAGTTCTGCGAGTTCAATGCAAGCGATACATTACTTCTTGTATCAGGAGTCAATAAGTTACGGCGTTTAAGCTATACAGGTAAGGGTTGTTTTTATTGAAATTCCAAACAATGTATGCTTTCGTTTTTATATTTTTTTCCTATGATGGCTTGTTGCATAGGAAACCATTTTTTTCCTAACCCCCTCTTCCTTGCTATACTAGAAAGATCATGTGATGAATGCATGTAAACTCTACCCCTTCAGATTCAACCCACAAAAAATTTAACATGTTGGTTTTTCGGTCAATGAAGGGACAGTTGTACTATTTTATACCTGTACTCAGATAAGAAGGAAAATAAAGATTTATTTGTTCTGTACTATAAGATACTAAACCTACATGTACATGTATGAACTTCTCACTGGTTATTTTGATACCCTTTTGATGCCCCAAAAGTAAGCTCTCTAAGAGAATAGACGGCTTGATTAAGTTAATTGTAGGCTAAGTGTCTGTAACCTACATCCTGCGTAGTCAAGGACTTGACTTGAGTCAAGGACTTGATTTTACATCTTCTTTAGTTCTGAGAATTTTATCTTGAATCAAAAAATGTTCCCAAGTTGATATATTATGCATCATTTTTTCTGCTTGACAACGTAATTACATGTATGTTGTTAGGAAAAATTCCCTTTTATTTCTGTCCTTACTGGGAGTAAGATGGATGGTAGGTTTAACCCTTTAACTCCAATACACAATTAATATGCAACTTCTCCCTATGTTATAAATACATTACTGAACAGCAAACACTGGTAATGATCTGCCACCAAATTCTCTTACTGATTTACAAGGAAATGTGTAGCAGTTAGAGGGGAGAATTAACAATGTGATCCTGATGGCGAAAGGGTTTACCAAGGTAATCATTTTGTATCAGAGATTGGGAAATTTTCCATCAGCTACAGGTTGTGTACATGTTGTGTACATAAACACTGTTCACAGAATTCAAGAGTACATTTTGATGCTCTGAACTTTTTGAGATTCACTCCCATGATCTAATTATCTATTCTCTGTACTGTTTTTTCACACATTTCTCATTATTATGGCTTTGAGAATTTGATGCTTTATCAAACTCCAGCCAATAATCAATTTTCTCCTCGCTCCTTGTCACCTATCTGCTTAAAAATGTATTGATATTGAAGGAAGAAATTCCTCTTTAGTACCCTCTGCTACTACATTTCTTAATTTCAATATAAACCCACATGAGGCTGCCTTATAGTATGTATTCTCTTGCAGTGTTACTGAGAGAGTAAAGTGCCTTGCAAAGAGTCTGCAATCTCAGTTTTTATAGGTAATAATTACCATAATTCTGTTTTATTCTTGTAGGTGAAATTTTCATTTGTGAAGTACAGAACTTTTCTGTGATTGCTATAGTGCATGGTATAAACAATGAACCGTATGATGTGTTTGGAGCGTGGCTTACAGAAAGGTGTTACATCTCAGGGACATTTGAATTTATGGAACCTGAAAATGATGGGTCATCAATCTCCGAGCTTTGGGCAAATTATGTGGATGAATCAACAGAAAATCAAAGGAACCTAGCTCAAATTTTGAATCACAATTCAAGCTCTGTGAGGACTGTTCTAGTGGCTCACCCAAATGCTAATGCTCTGCCACACACATATGCTTCTGCAGCAAAGAAGAAAGATGAGGATGTCTGCCTGATATTTACACATGGAACTGTTACCTATGTCCCTCATCAGATAGTTTTTAAGTGGCTGAAATTACCAAAGGGCAGTACAAAAATATTTGAGCAGGGTAAAGGAATTTCTTCTGAGGGGTATGAGCCTTTTACCAGGAAAGAGCACTACATTGAAACAAATGCACATATAATTGGAATGAGCCTATCACCAGACCATCAGTATCTGTACGTGAATTGTCGCATGTGGGAGCAGCCAGCTGGCAATGTTGTCGACGACGCAGCCCAATTTCCTCCAGAAATTTCCAATGATATTACCTTGCAGGTGTACAGCTTGTCCACATATAAACTTGTTGATGTCCACAGTGGCCATAAAGCATTCACTGCAAATAATGGCTGTTTCTTTATTTTTTTGAATGTTGCAGACCAGTTGGTTGCAAGGTAAGTTAAAGAATCTAAAATATAGATCAATTAAGAATTGCAAGATTAGAACAAACCCAAGTGTCCTTTGAGTTTAAGATCATCTGACACAACATACGTATGCCACTAAGCAACAGAGAATTCATTCTTGTTGGAATAATTAAAGGTAAAATGTAGATGTTGCTGATAAAGGGGTTTCACTGGCAACACAATAAAACATACGCCTTTAATGAGCTTAACCAATAATGTATTACCTTCACCATAATTTGCATGGCTTGCTAGCTACTCATGTGATAAACAAAGGATGTCGCACAGTAGGCTGTACTGACAACATACACCTGTAGACTCAAAAACTTAATACACAGCACCATACTTTTCAACAACATCCTTTCATTTCAAAACTTTAACAGCATAATACCACAAACCTACCATGATCTGGCATAAGAGAAAGATTATTATGCATAAACATGGTCATAAAGTAATTAGTGTGGTGCAAGGAAAGAACTCAAACTCCTATATGGAGGTCTTCAAATTTTACTTCAATTCTTGAATTTGAATGTGAAAGACAATAAACACTAGGAAGGGGAGGGAGGGGGTGGGAATGGATCAATTTTGGCTGGATCCCTGTCTGACCTCTCAGAATCCATACCTCATGAGAGTCTGTTCTGTGGCCAATCATAGACCCCATCTTGTCACTTGTTGTCTATGCATCTATCTTACAAAGCATTTTAAGTGGGTCATTATAAAATGAATTGACACATTCTGTTAAACTTTACTTTTCACTTACAACAAAAATGTTCTGGTATGTTTGTCTACTATGAATATTTAAAAACATTACATTTTAAAATCCTTTCTCACCAGAATTTTCCTTCTCCAAAATCCTGAAAATAATAGACCCCATCCAAGCAACTCTCTTGAAAATGTAACTCCCTGGTAGTCGATCCAGTGGCAAAAATGCAACCCCATCCTGCGGCACATCCTCATTGGCCTATTACTGGGAAGTACACCCCCTCCCCCCTGATATAGAGATCACCTAAGTTTTATTACTCTTTATTTTATAGTGGAGCAGAGGACCATTGTGCTCATGTGTGGGACAGACATTTTGGAGCCAAGCTGGCCACTCTGAAGGGACATACTAATGTGGTGAACTGTGTTGCATTTAACCCAGTTAATCAAGAAATGGTGGTCAGTGCAAGTGATGACCACACAATCCGAGTATGGAAGTCACGACATTTGTCTAAGTTGTATGAGGAAGCAGATCTGGAAGAGCAAAGTGTAGAGGTCAGCCCTTTCTATGAAGACATTTTCCGAGAGACAGTTCTTTGAGCAGGATAAATTCACACTGAAAAACATTCAAACCATTACCTAGATCAACAAGCTTTTATTTCTTTTGGCAACGTATAATCACAAGCTGAGGTTTTTTTTAGCCATTGATCTGCACCTAAAGCATGAGCATTGGACATTCTTAAGGCAATAGTAAATAAAAAAAAGTGCCTGAAGAGCCTTTTAACATTTTCTAGGTTACATGGGATACAAGAGGGGAAAAATTGTTGAGAAAACACTGAAAAAACGAGAAATACTTTATAAAGATACTTTAAAGAACACAATTTTTTCCAGGCAGAGAAATGCTCGCTAAGATTTATGATAACCCATCAGCTCTCTTCACAGAATGTGAAATGTTTTTTGTCTTTCTTGTTTTCAAATTGATTACATTTTATTGAAGGAATAAAAGTGCTGATAATGAGAATGCAAGTTATTAATTAAATAAACCTGTAGGATTCAAGTGACATTTATATTTATACGCCTGTTTGCTTTTAAGAATGAAAATAAATAGTTGGTAAACAGTAGGTAAAACATTGCGAGTTTGATGCATCTAGAGGTGTCATTGCCAAATAAAAAAAACAGAAAAAACAAAAAAACCAGGATTTTAAGACTCTTCTTAAAAACAGGATGTTGTTTGAGGCATGTTTGAATCGCGAAAACAGTAACTGGTTTTAAGAGCAATTTTCAATTGGTGATCGAAAGAAACGTGTGTGCTTTATTTTTGTTTTTTCTTTTGTTTTTGGTAAGGGTTTGAGGGTTTCCATCGGTTGCCAGGTACGTGAATGTTCCTTAACCATTCATTTAATCTGATTAAGAAACACTAGATCAAATGCCGCCCTTGGATGAACGCCCGCCCGCCGGATGGAAGCAAAATTACCACTAACGGCTGCCTCGAATAAACCCGCACCATTTCAAGAGAATGCAATAATCAACATCATCCTGCAGTCCCTGGAAATTCATATTGCGAAAAAAAGCGTTACGTTGGAACTTTAAACAGGTTTCTGTTTCACATAATATTTAAAAGTGATTTGTTGTGATCGTTGTTAGTAGTTTGAGAAATGTGACTTTGAGACAAACAACGCACGCGAATCACTGCCGCTCTTGAATTAACACTGCGTTGGAAACGCTTAATATTTAATAAACGCTGTGGCGTTAAATCTAGCTAATACGCGTATGTAAACTGGAGCTATTGAAAACGAGCTTACCCGGAGCTCTCATTTTTGCTGCTATGTTTTCATGATTTGTGTGGGGCCTCCAACATAAGTTAACAAGGTAGAGACAAATCGGTTTTCACCTATAGGTTACTGTTTTACTTTAGGAGTAAATAGTATATCGAAGCATTAATTTTACCACAAGCATCAAATTTACTACAATTTTTAGTTCAACAGTTTGCTAACGTACTAAGAGATTACAATCTCTTGTAACGAACGCGTTTAACAACAAAATTTTATTAAGAACTTCTGATTGATAACTATAGTTACAAATAACTGAAATAAATCAGATCTTTAGAGAAGACACTTTCAGCGAAGTATCCTAATTTTACGGATCAATTTTCCATGATTTTAATTAAGAATGTCAAGTCCAGTTTAATTCAGGAAACGCGATTAAACGCAAACTTTATCGTTCAAAATACAATTTTAAAAAACAAAGAAATGCGAGTATAATGTAAATTGCACGGAGAAACAGAGATTGCTTTAAATTTTGGGAAAGTTGTAAAAACACGCTTCTGTCTCCTATAATACCGACATGATTAATGCATACTTTAAATAGAGATCCATAGATTATAAAGTTTTGAACAAGAAAATGGTATGCGCAGCTGAGTTGAGATTAGCCTTAAAACCACGTAGCCGAGCGAAAATCAATTTGCATTGTGTTACGGTAAATGGCGCCAGTCAGTGGGGATATTCCGTAGTTATGATTCATCTTTGTTACAGTTAACAATAAAATAATCTTTTGACATGTGTACATTGAAAACTGGTTCACTGGTAATTAATCATAACACCAGAAATTAATAGATTTAAGAGCGGTTAAACTTCCACGAGCAGAATCTCTAAATAGAATGATGACAAAAAAGTCATCTATGTTAGAGAACAGAAAAAACTGTGCTCTACTTGAAATTGTCTACGTGATGGCTAACAAATATATGATTACACTTAGAAGAGGCGAAATCTCATCATTTCCCATGAAAGGCACTGTTTAAATGTGTTTTTGCTTCATTATGTAAGCGATACCACGATAATTGCACTATGAGTTCTTACGATCGATTCACAGTTTCTAAGGGAACGAACTGCGTCTTAAAATTCATCGCCCGTGCAAAAGCGTAACACTCGGCGAGTAAGATGTTTCACAACAGCAGATATCGTTTGACGGTTCACCCAACTCGGGTTGTCTGCTCCCTGTGCTCCCTGCCCGGGAATCGCCGCATACCCCTTCGGCCCTATTGTGTTTACCCGGGGGAACTGTGCCCTGATTCCCATTTGGAGTTTCCCATGAATCCTGTGCTGACTTTGCATTCACCCTCGTACAGCCTCGCGGCGGACTCCTTCAATGAAATGCGTGTGTCTTCTCGTCACTTCCAGCCGTCGACCACCGACACAGAACAAGTGCAAATTGCAAGGGAAATCAACAGGGAAGCCAATAATTCCAACAGTGGTAGGCTCAAATTTATTAATTTTAAAAATTAGTTCCTGCCCGTATGTCTAATTTTACGGCATACGCTATCATTAGCAAGTTCAGGCTGAAAGTTACGTCTTTATTAAGAGAGAAGGTTTCGTATACTCAGTCAAAAACCATTTTTTGGCAAAGATATGACTCTTTTTTAAGTTACCTTGAATGAGAGAACAAAAAGGAGTTTCTTTTCTAAGATTTGTTAGCTTATTCCCGCATTACCAATTAAAAGCTTCAAAAGAAAGTGAAAAAAAAAATTTAAAAAAAAACGAGGAAACCAAGGAAACAAAAGGAAAAGATATTATCTTGGGCAATCACGGATTTAATAAGATTTTGAATAAATCAAAAAAATAAAAAATAAAACCTTTACGGGAAAGTTCTCAAAGAAATTTTAAGTTACAAATAAACACATTAAGCTGCGTAATTAAAAAACATTACACGTGTATTTGTGAAGTACAAAATATTCTTTATACAAAAAAATTTGCATTTTCCCTGAGCAATGCTCGAAGTAGCTTTTAAAGCCCTTCTAACTTTTAATTTCAAAGCTAAGAGCACAGATGACAAAAAGCAAGCGCGGGAAAATTGTGTAAGCCAGCTAAACCGGATAGCGACCATGTTTTTTTTTATGACCGGCTGAATACCTATCTCTCACACAGATTGAATGGCGCGGCAGACTAAGTGTTATGCGATCTATTATAAATTTTAAAATGACTAAAACTGTTCTGATCGACAGTGTGACTTGGTTTTATCGTCTAAGTTTATTATATAACTCGCCACCGTAGAGAGATTGTAAAGCTGGTGCAAGGAATGACGATGGGCTAACGCTCGAAACGTCAGCTGTGGCAATTCTTTCCTGTGGCCAATTTATTATCAACTCAGTGGATAAAACCAAATCATCTTGCAATACTCCCGCCCTCCCCTCCCCCACCAACATTACAGCATCGCAGTTTCTTTAGAAATTAAACCCCTTAACTGATTGACAATGTGTCTGTATGTAGGTAGAGAGGGTTTTAACCGACAGCAGCGTTTCAAGAAAAAGCGCCGTAAACGGACCATTTTTACTTGTGAGCAATTGAGTCGACTGGAATCGCAGTTTGCTGACCAGCAATACGTTGTAGGCGCAGAAAGACAGCAGTTAGCGGAGGCGCTCAATCTTTCAGAGACACAGGTAGGCATGAGTTACTCTAGTGTTACAAGGAAACATTGTAACAATGTGTATAGTTCAGGCCACACACATACAAGAGAGAAAAAACTTTCGGTCAAACGGGTCTGTTAAAAGCGCACACACGTTTGTACGTGACTAACTCGAGCATAAAAAATTCTCAGACATCAAAGCTCATTAGAATGCGTGAGTTAGTTAATTGTCTGCCTATTATTTTATTGTAAGTTCTAGGGGCTGTTTAATGTACATACGTAGTCTTACCACATAATCTTGTCGGTGAAAGTGATTGACGTTTCGACAATCTGACGTGGATGATGAAATCTGCTCAGATTGTCGAAACGTCACACATTGCCAGTGACAACAGGCCTTACCGGACCGACTCGACTCACCCAGACTATCAGACGACTCTATCCACTGAACCTCTCAACTCGACTGTACTATTCTATCCACTGAACCTCTTTACGGTGGCAACTAAATTACCTGCTATACTCTCCCACCGACGCAGCACCACAGTTTCTTTAGAAACTTACCCCTTTAATATTTCGAACGCCTCTATGGTGTATCTTTGGTCGTGTTCTTCCTTAGAAAGTCTAACGATAATCCTGCCCTAGTTCTGATGAGTTGCTTTTTTGCCAGGCAAATAACTAAGTGTTGTTTATCTCCATGATAAAACAGATCAAAATCTGGTTCCAGAATCGCCGAATCAAATGGAGGAAGGAGAACAAGCGGCATTTCCCGGATTTCCTTGCCGGCTCTTTCACAGTGGCATGCGAAACTCGATCAGATGAAAAAGGATCCTGGATTGACAAAGTTTAGGTATAAGAGGACTCATTCATCTCGGAGTCTCAGAAGCAAAGACTAATGTACAAATGTTAAAACAAACCGTGACTTGTGATGAAGCAGTGATGGAAAAAGGAGCTATAGACACTTTTAAAACTAGTTAACTTCCAGCAAAGGAATGATATAGGAACAGAGCCAAGGTCTACCTTAGCTGCTTAACTTAGATGATTAGAACATTATAAACATACCATCGTTGGTTAAATCAGGTGCACTTGCTGTTAGTTAAGACTAGCATTAATTTTATCAACGCGAACATTACATATTTTCATATCTTCATAAGATGTGTACGTTTTGTTAACTTGTTTTCATTCAGCTTGTAATTTAGTATTGTAATGGACCATTTTACAGTCGTGTACTCAGTTGCCAAGCCTTTGATTTGCAGTGAGGCTGAAGGTGACCTTGTTGGGATAGAGACCAGTATCTTGTTAGCATGATAATAATATAATTTACATTTGAATGGCCTACGTGTAGCCGCACCCTCTTCCTCGCTTCCGTTTGCCCTTGCGGGGGAGAGTACGGATACACGTAGGCTATTCAAATTTAAATTACTTTGTTATCATGCTAACAAGATACTGGTCTCTATCACAACAAGGTCACCTTCAGCCTCACGGCTACACGTACGCTAACATTTAAAAAGCAGCAAGGTTTGTATCATAACAAGGTCATCCTTAGCCTCACTCCTGTTCAATAGCTTGGAAACTAAGCACCAACTGTAAAATGAACTATTCAGTAATTCAGAATTCAGAAATTTTAAACTCATCCCAGCCACCGTCTCTATTGTCGCTCTCCTAGTTACTATTTTCTCTCGATATCTGACCATGAAAAATCACTCCCGACCGTTAAATTTTTTATCTTTCGCCAATTGGCCCTTTCTTGTATAAATGACTGAACAGTTTTAAAGAATAGGTTTCCGTGAGAGCTTTTGTACGGCTGAAGTTTATGGGCACTAAGTTGTAGAAAGGGTTACTTAATAAAATCTGACATGACAAGAATTTTCACGACCGTCTCCGCTGTCATATTTCAAGCGTGAATTCTTAATGATTTCACGAGCTAATGCTGCGATTAACTGTTCCGCATAGAAAATAAAAGAAGTTACCAGAGGTCACTAATGAAGCAGTTTGTTCAGCGTTTCCATAAAATGCAGAAGTTTACAATCCAACTCAGAAACTTAAATACTGTAATCACCCTTCTTCTCTTGAGAAACAACGGATTCTTCTCAGTTAAATATTGATGTTAACTCGAACATTCCTACTAAAAATAATTGAATTATTTCTACTCAGTGTGATAAGTGATGAAGAGGAAGTTATGCCTTCGTTTTTGTTCTCTGTCAAACAGGACTATATCCACTCTTATCCGTTTTGAAATTGCCGTAAAAACCTGGGAACGGGAACTGTTTACTTTTTCGTGCCCATGGCGCCACCTGATAAACGAACGAGAGAGTCCTGTGACCTAGACTGATAATAGCGACACTTCCTGTTTTTATCTCGGAGACTTCACGGGGAAGAGTTTCACTTTCGATTCTCGCTGCGGTCTCCGTGGAGTTATACATTTCATCTTGGCAAAAAAAGGTTTCATAACGACGTGCAGGTTAGTAAGAAGTTGCCATGCCCAAATTTGTTATAATTATATAATAGTTTGTTCTAGAACGCTTACTCCTTTTTCGTCCGATGAAAGAGAAGTGCTGTATAAAGTATAATGAAAGCGTAACCAGCACACCAACAGTGAACTGTCGTTCATTTAAGGCAAAATCTTACGGAAAGTAGTCAGTATTTTCATGAGAAATGATACAACTTTCGTTTTAGTTAGTCGAGAATCACTGCACTTTAAGGGTACCGAATAAACGTTACATTATAATATGCACACTCATTTACCATGAACACCAGAAAGGGCAACTGCGATCAAATCGTTGCTTATCGTAACAACTTGACAGATAAATTTTCATCATGAAACTGATATTAAGTCCATGGCCAATCTATTCTGTTGTGTTACTATATCGGAATAAAAATAAGGGTTGGCATGTTGCATCACTAGTCTAGAATTACTGATAATTGTAATCGAGGACTAATAGTTGATTCCTTCTCTCGACAGCTATAATCGATCAACTGAGCCTTGCTGAAACTCTGGAGGGCCTGATTAGGTTCTCGATTAAGGTCAGAAGGGATCTGTATTTTACTTTCAAGACTTATTGATTTACAGCTCATTCTTTACAAGTTAAATTCTGTTATTGTTCCATCTAACAAGCAACTTGAACGAATGTATGTTAATTTTCCTCAGTAATGCTTGAGCGAAACTTTTGTTTACATGTACAGAAATTTGAATTGATCTGGCTTCTGATCGTATGTGTGGCGGATTGGTTACAAGCAGTTTTCTTTAGATTTGTATCCCCTTTAGCGGCTTACTTCATGATCTGTAAACAAAATTTTGAAGCAAAATTCACCGCATACATTACAGATTTCTGAGAAGTGACGCTGTAGCATTCCATCCAACTAGCATAGAATTTAGGAACCACTGCAAACTCAAAAACCGAAAAACGTACCAAGTAATGAACATCTTTATACCAAATACAACAACTTCACTGCTAAAAGTGCAATCTTTTTTGGATTACGATTTTTTCTCAAACCGATCGCCAGAGTATTTAATTACCAGTGTATCACAAACTTCACGAGGAGCTCAACGGGGTCAATCCGAGAGTAAATCGTCGAATAGTTATTTTTCATGACACCGTCTATGTTTAGCCCTATGGATGACTTTGCGGAAGTCTGTGTCCTACAAATTTCAGTATCTAAATAAAAATAACGATTGAGCATCAGTTTTGGTAACCCAAAATGAAGGGATAACTGAAGAGAGAATTGTTTAAATGCTTTTCGTGACAGTTAAATTCTTACTTCTCCTTAAGACAATCTAGATGTACATTGTAGATATTAAGGATGTTGGGAATTTTTTTTTCCGAATAGCTCTCATGCACTCGCCATTCGCTATCTATTGGTCCTCTTTAAACCGGGAAAATGCTGCTAGCTGTTCTGATTCATGTTTGAAAGACTTAAATTTAGCTTGACCCCTTGAGATGGTCAGCTGATGAATCATTCATAACAAAGGCATAGTTTATGCTTTCGTTAACGTTAGTTCGTTCTTTTCTTAGAAGATGAAGGGAAAGTTTAATGACTGCAGTTGTATCATTTAATGAAGCCATCCACGGGGAAATCTATCACTAGGTTTATTTGTATGTCTGTTTGTTTTTTTGCTCGCACGACTATCCCTACAGGTTCCTTTTGCCTCGTATTAAGTACCATAGAGCATGTATTTGTCATACAAAAGTCGTTTGGATATGTTGCGATTGTTCTGACGCACTTCCCAGAAGGATAGAAATCGGAGATGCTTTACTTGGACATGATAAAACATATTATAATAAAGTTTCCATATGAAGCGGGTTCTGATTGTCTAAAACAGCGGGGTTTATCAGAGTGCAGATGCACGGAGTAATCATGTCACGCCATCGACCAATTTGTACATTGGCCTGCCAATTCCCTGACTTCTCTCTTTTTTTTTCTTTTTGACCCAGAAAGCGAACCTTGAAAACAATATCTTAAACTTCAAATGATACATAACAACCTGTGGGTAACAACACAATTTACACGTAGCTAGAAAGTGAAATTTCGGAACAAGTAGTCACCGATGAAAACACCGTGCCCGGTGGCGAATGGAAGTAGCGACAGAAGACACAAAAATAAGTTTGGAAACATGCCAAGCGCCGAAATTGAGCAAATTGTAACGAGGAAAAGAAGGAAAACACCAAAATGAGCGCGAAATGGACTATCCAAGTTTTTTTTAAAGCTAATTTTGACGCTGTAATGAAACTCAAACACAGTCAGCTAACTCTCGTATAGTGTAGGAATGGATCAAAACTGAAGTCTCAAAAAGTTAAACAAATCAGAGCGTCGGAGTGACTGCGATCACGCTGTGGCCCAACGTGCAAGTTCCTTTGACTTCGACTTCGTCTCGTTTTCCCCTACACCTATTTCCTACTTTAGCCGCTTCCTCTTTGCTTTCAACAGAACAGAGCACAGAGTCTCCTCTATGTGTTAATTATTTTCATTCTCGTTCATAGAGAAACACGGTTTGGTTCTGCCATGGAAACTGTAGATCGGTTACTGGAATCCTTGAGAATTTCCCAAGAAAATGGCCATAAAGAAGAGGAAGAGAAATCCTGCATTGATTTAGGTAACATTTATCTTGATTTAAAACAACATGAGAAAGCTGTGGAGTTTTATGAAAAAGCCTTTTCGATCTGCAACGAAACGGGACACAAAGATGGAGAAAGACTTGTTTGCAGTAAGATTGGAATTGTCTACGCTGCTCTTGAAAAGCATGAGAAATCTCGTGAGTACTTAGAAAAAGCCCTTACAATCTGTAAGGAATCTGGACATGAGAAAGAAGAATGCGAGCTTCATAGTAATCTTGGTGACGTGTACTATGCCCTCGGTTTGCATGAAAAATCAATTGAGCACCTTGAAAATGCTCTTGCGATAAGTAAAAAAACTGGTAGCACTAAATTGGAAGCCAAATTGTACAAAAAGCTGGGTAACACGCATTTCGCTAGTAGTCAGTATGAAGAGTCCATCTCCCATTTCCAGAAAAGTCTGGAAATTCGACAAGCACTCAAAGACAGAGGTGGAGAGGGGCGCCTTTACAATCTTCTAGGTTACGTTCATTGTGCCCTTAGCCAGTATGAGAAATCTATGGAATACTTTGAGAAAGCTCTCGTGATCAATGAGGAGGTCGAGGATAAGAGAAGAAATGGAAACATTCACATCAACCTTGGAGATGTCTATCATGCTCTTGGCCAATATAAAAAGTCAGTCGAGTATTTACGAAAAGGTCTTCAATTGAGCAAGGAGGCCCAAAGCAAACAAGGAGAAGGAAAGGCTTACAGCAGTCTCGGAAAAGTGTATCACGTCCTTGGTGAATACGATAAAGTGATTGAGTGCTCAACAAAAAGCCTTGAGATTAGTTTAGAAGTGGGAAACAGATATGTAGAATGTGCATCCCTCAGTAATATGGCTGGAGTATATCATGTTCGAGCCCAATACGATAAATGTCTCGAATACTATAAGAGGGCCTTAGAGATCTATCAATCTCTTGGAGATAAACACGGGCAAGGGACGATTAACACTAATCTTGGCACTCTGTATTACTCTTTAAGCAAGTATGAGCTATCCGTCACATACTACGAAACGGCAATTAAGATCAGCAAAGACATAAGAGACAGACAAGGAGAAGCGCGAGCCTACCTTAACCTCGGCGGAGTACAGGAGGCTATTGCCAATTATCCAGAATCTCTAAAATCATTACAGAGATCTCTCGAAATCAGTCAAGATATCGGGGACCAACAAGTCGAAGGGGCGGCTTACAGCACCATGGGTGGTGTATATAATTCTCTGGGTCAGTTACTAGAGTCGATCGAATGTCAAGAGAAAGCCGTGAAAATCTATGAAGCGATTGGAGAAAAGGAAGGACTGGGAGAGTCGTATAACAAGCTTGGTAGCGTGTACAGTGACCGTGGTCGGTTCCAGAAGGCACTGGAATGCTACGAGAAAGGCCTTGAGATAAGGAAAGCTATTGGAAACAAGCAAGGAGAGGCTGCATCGTACAACAATTTTGGCAGTGTCTACTACGAACTTCGACAGCTGGAGAAGGCAATCGAGAGTCACGAGAAGGCATCGCTAATTAGAAGAGAGATTCGAGACAAACGAGGGGAAGGTGTATCTTGCAACAACCTGGGCACTGTATACAACGATTTAGGCCAATATGAGAAGGCGATTGCTTATTTCAGTAAAAGTCAAGAAATAAGTTTAGAAATTGGAGATAGGCCAACGGAAAGAGTTTCTTACAATAACATGGGCAACTCGTATCTAGCAAAGGGCCAATATGATGAGTCAATGGATTGTCAAAAGAAAGCACTCGACATCAGCATCGCCATTGGTGATAAACCTGGAGAAGCTGCGTCCTACAGTAATCTGAGCTCTGTGTGCTATGCTCTTCGAAAACACGACAAGGCGGCCGAGTATCAAGAAAAAGCATTAGCAATAAGAGAGGCCATTGGTGATAAACGTGGAGAGGCTAATTCCTGCATCAATCTCGGCAATCTTTATGTCGCTCTCGGCCAATATGAAATAAGCATCAAGTATTTTCTAAAAGCCATAGAAGCCAGCGAAGCAACAAATCAAAAGCAACAGCAAGGAATATTGTACAGCAGTCTAGGTCGTGCATATGACGCACTTGGGCAGAAAGAACAGTTCAAAGAATGCCTCATGAAAGCCATTGAAATCAGTAAGGAGATTGGAGACACAGAAAGAGAAAGCATGTCCTACAACATCTTGGGAACCAAGTGCTATGCCCTGCACCAGTACGGCGAAGCCCTCAGCTATTTTGAGCAGAGTCTCAGGGTAATGAAAGTTCTCGATAATAAAGAAAGGGAAAAAACAACATATCACAACTTGGCTACCGTGCACGAGGCTCTTGGCCAGATTCCAGACGCCATTCAGTATCACGAAAAGGAACTCAACATTATCAAAACACACTTTGGCAAGAAGTTGGAAGAGGCGTCATGTAGCAAACTCAGCAGTCTTTATAAGGCCCTTGGTCAGTACGAGATGTCGATTAGTTACGGGGAGAAAGCCCTGGAAATCAGTAAAGTTCTCGGCGACAAACTAAGAATTGGGAAAGCGTATGAGTTACTTGGAACTGCCCATCATTCTATCCGTCAATACGAAAAATCCATCGAGTACAGGAAAAAGGCAATTGAGGTTAGTCAAACTATAAGTGCTAGAAAGGCAGAGGCAAGATCTCACAGCCAACTTGGGAATGTTTATTACGACCTTGGATTCTTCAAAAAAGCAATTGAAAGTCATAAAAAGAGTCTTGAAATCCGAAAGGAAATAAAGGACAGACATGGAGAAGCAACCTCACACAACAACTTAGGGACTGCATACTGTGCACTTAATCAGCTTCAGGAAGCCATTGAATCTTGCCAATTAAGCCTTCAAATCAGCGAAGAAATCGGGGATAAAGTTGGAGAAATAACAGCTTGCAACAACCTTGGTAGTGTGTACAATCTTCTTTACCATCATCATGACAAAATGATTAAATATCAGGAAAGGGCACTCGCAGTCAGCAAATCCATAAAGGACAAACAAGGTGAGGGAACGTCCTACAGCAACCTTGCCATTGCGTACCATGCCATTGGTGAACTTGAGAAGTCAGTCGAGTACGAAGTGAAAGCATTGGCGATCAACGATGAGATTGGTGATAAACTACGCTCAAGCATTTCCTACAACAACCTTGGCAGAATCTATTACATTTTTGGAAAGGACAAGGAATCAATCGATTGTTTCAAAAAAGGGCTCGACATCAAGAGAGAATTAAACGACAGAGAAGGACAACGATGTTGTCATAGCAGCCTTAGCCTCTTGCTCAGTAACCTCGGCGAGTATGAAAAGGCAATTGAACATCAGCAAGAAGCTCTTAAGATCTGCGTGGCAACTGGTAATAGAGAAGGGGAAATACTATCTAATGAATCCCTCAGCACTATATATTACTTGTTTGGCCAGTTCGACCAATCAGTCCTATACCAGGAAAAAGTGCAGGAGTTGAGCAAAGCGGCCGGAGATCGAAAGAAAGAAGGAACAGCTTTCAGCAATTTAGGAACCATCTACCATGCTCAGAAGAAATTGGGGGAAGCGGCTGAGTATCAAGAAATTTCCCTAGCCATCTTCGAGGAAATTGGCGATAAAGACGGAGTAACCTTATCGTGCAACAATCTTGGTGGCATTTACTGTGATCTTGGTCAACATCAGAAGTCCATACTGTATCACCAAAGAGCTTTAGAGCTCTGTAAAGACATCAGCGCCAGTAAAGGACAACTGCGGTGCTACAAAAACCTTGGTACAGCATACAATCTTACGGGCGAAAGGGAAAAGGCCGTTGGGTATTACACGAAAGGTCTGGAGTTAAGCAGTAAAATGGGGGACAAGAAAGAACAAAGGACACTCTACCAGAAGCTATACACCTTATCTGATGCACTGGGTAGAAAGGATGAAGCTGATAAGTACCAACAGAAAGCAGAACAAATCAAGGAGGAGTTTGGAGAAAGACCAGAAGAAAGTGAATCTGAAGAAATTATCGCACAGTGTGTGTATTATGTTTTCGACCTTTATGAAAAGTCCATTGAAAATCAAGAGAAGTGTGGAATGATTATTGCCCACAGATACGAGGACCATAGTCCTGAAATTGAAACGAAGGCGTCAATTAGGCAACACGAAAGAGAAATGGAGATTGGGATAGCAACCGGCGACAAACCAGGAGAGGAAAGTGCTTATAATTCCCTCGCAGGCACTTACCTGAATCTTGGACAATATGTTAAGTCCATTGTGTATTTTGAAAAAGCACTGAAGCTAAGCAAAGCAACTGGGAGAAGAGGGGCCGAGGCAAAGATTTATAATGGCCTTGGAGTTGTGTACCAAACCCTTTGTCAGCATGAGAGGGCAAAAACATATCACGAAGAAGCGTTGAAAATCCAGAACGAAATTCAAGACAAGAGTGGAGAAGATTCATCTTACACAAACCTAGCAGGTATATACCGTGACCTTGGTCAGTACAAAGAAGCCACAGAATATCAAAAAAAGTCGCTCAGCATCTGTATCCAAAGCCACGACAGAGAAGGGGAGGCCTCATCATACAATAACCTCGGTAGTATAGCCAATGCCCGTGGCCAACATGACGTCTCCTTGGATTACCACAAGAAAGCTCTTAAAATCAGGACAGAGATTAAAGATAAAAAAGGGGAGGGAATCACCTATGTCAACCTTGGAAACGTTTACTTCGCACTTGGGCAGTATGAGGAATCTATCAGATACCTAGAGATGGGACTTCAAATCATTAAAGAAACTGGGCTTAAGGACAAAGAACACTTAATCCTTTACAGTCTAGGAGTCAGTCATTTTCATCAGGATAGCTTCACGAAAGCATCAGACTACTTCCTTGAAAGCATAAAAGGCCACGAAAGCATCAGAGAATTTCTCAAAGATGAATACAAGCTCTCATTAGACGAGCAGCGAATTTCGTTTTATAAAGGACTTCCCTTGTTATTACTCAACCTTGGAAAAAAGGGGGATGCCCTTTGTGCAGCAGAAAAAGGACGAGCTCGTGCACTTGTTGATCTGATGTCAGTCAATTTTGGCATACAAGAAGTCGAGAACACAAGTGAATTTACTTTGAGTTCGATTTCAAGGCTCGTGGAGAGCCAGCAAGTTAATTTCCTCTTCATGAGTGTCATAACCAGACACGTCTATCTCTGGGTCATAGACAAGGACGGGAAGATAAGCGTCAATGCCAGTATGAAAGAACCAGAGCTTGATACTCCCTCTTTAGATGATTTGGTACCAATTCCTTTGAAAGGAGGGGTGGTTGATGCCCCCGCTTTGAAAGATTTGGTGTCAAAGACATTAACATTCTTACCTGCAGACGACGAAGAAGAATACGAAGATCGGTCTTTTGCCGCATTCTATGAAGAGGAATCATCGACGACAGAGGAGGAACAAAGCGATGAGGGCGACCAGTATTACCTTCGTGGTAAAGGGGAAGAAGAAAGAGATATTAACTTAATGAAACTGTACGACCTGTTAATTGGGCCTATCCTCAAATTTATCAATGGTCCAGAGATTGTCATCATCCCTGAGGGAAATATGTTTTTGATCCCCTTTGCAGCCTTGAAAGATTCCGATGGAAAGTGCTTGTCAGAAACTAAGCGCATTCGGCTTATTCCTTCTCTGACATCCCTTCTGGTCATTCAAGACTCACCTAAAGAATACCATGCCCAAACTGGAACGTTGATCGTGGCTGATCCAGTTGTTCAAGGTGTAGAGTTTGAAGGAAAGGTTGGAAATTTAAAACCTCTTCCGAATGCCAGAACAGAAGCTGATATGATATCCCGTTACGTGACGGCACCAATATTAAAGCTTATTGGAGAGCAAGCTACTAAAGAGGAGGTCTTAAAAAGGATCCAGGATGTAAGTTTGGTGCACATCGCCGCTCATGGAGACGCAGAAAGAGGAGAAATTGCTCTGACGCCAAATAAGCGCACAGATGAGATTGCCAGAATGGAAGACTACTTGCTAACGATGGAGGATATAGCAAAAGTGGGAATAAGGGCCAAACTAGTGGTATTGAGTTGCTGCAATACTGGACGTGGCAAGGTCCTGACAGCAGAGGGAGTTGTCGGGATATCACGAGCCTTTCTTGGATCCGGTGCCAGATCGGTTCTGATGACCCTGTGGCCTGTGGACGACGCCGCCACTAAGGCATTTATGAATGTGTTCTATAGAAGTTTGATGAGGGACAATAAAAGTGCAAGCGAGGCACTTCATTTGTCTGCAGAGAAGTTGAGAAAATCGAGCCTCTACAACCACTTTAGACATTGGGCTGCATTTGCACTCCTTGGTGATGATGTCAAGTTTGACTGACGGAGGGAACTCTTGTAAGTAATTACTGAATAACCAATAAAGTGAGCTAATGTGGCAGAGACTGAATCAAACTAAATCAGATTAAGTCAATTTGAGTAGTCTAATATTCATAGAAATCTTATGAAAATATACGACACATGCTCTAACCTTTTATTCACCACTGAATATAATGACGATCTTGTATTTATTCCACTTTTTACACAGATGCTTCCTCTCCTGACACAGAGGAGCCGTCTGACAGACCGATGAAACTTGAGAAGAACTGATTCAAATCTTAGGACATTTCGAATTCTTGACTTTCCTAAAAAAAAGGATAGTTTCTTGGATCAGGAGACAATAGGTAGTCATAATTCAAGTAGTAAATAAGCAAATTAACCCTTGACCCCTAAGAATAAGACGCATCTTATTTCTCCTTACAATATCACCCCTAAATCACACTTATAGTTCATGAGAATAAAGGAAATGATCATCAACTAAAGCTCTTGCTTGTTAGAAAAATTCTCCTCGTCGGCACCTTAGGAAATATATGAAAACAGTATGGAGAATATGGCTGCTGATGTTAGGGTGTATAAGGTTGACTTATCTCATCTTACATGATACTTGAAGCATTAAAATAAAAAGTATTTAAGTAAAAAATCAACATTTTGATACAGGAACTCAGTCCGCACGTAAAATTGAGATTATATATGTAGTTACTGGTGTAATCAAAAGGAGGCTGCTTCATTTGGAGAAAATTTAAAATGTTAACATAAGCGCGGAAACTTTTAAGATGTTATTCCTTTGACGACCAATTTAACACCTGTCTCGTGTTTTGAGAAGGACAATCTCAAAGATGTTATTATGAAATGGAACTACTGCTACAGTTCATTCTCAAATAAATACAAACTCGTTGAGCTACTTCTAAGCTTGAGTAAAGTATTTGGTCTAATCTATTGAAATGTTATCAAAATACGTGTTTAGTCAAGAAATATAAAGCAATGGTCAGCCTTCTGCAGATGCAAGTATAACAAAGAAACAAAAATTTTGCGCATTTTCCTCGGTAAGTTGTATCGTAAACACAAAGTTGCGCTGAAGTATTCTTTTCGACCTGTGCGAGGAGAAAAAATTCAATAAAGCGTGATTTGTTTTGATTACCCGCTATAACTGATTAAAATTTTGGAAAATCCAATTTAGAGGTTGTTTTGTTGAACTATCAGTATTGTTTCGGTTCATCAGCTTGTACCTGTTGCGAGAAGCCGTTACCAATCGATTTCAGATCACAACTTAGATAGCGTTCAAACTGTTACCTGTTAAAGTGTTTTATATGGTTGTTGCACATCGGTGGTGTTATGTAAGCAATTAACCTTGTTGAAATGTATTGGATAATTCATTAAAAGTTAGACTTTGATAACGTAACCTAATTCTTTTGAGTTGTCGTTTAGGCTTAAATGTAACTCAGTGTAAGTTGATGATTAAAATCTAGAGAGAGCTCTCGTTAAACTTGAGACTGTATTCTTTGTGACGTTCAAGGATACTACACTCTACGTTAAAAAAAGTCCTGGTCTTTTTGCTCTGAGGTGTCCCTTGACTATTTTGCTGTCACAGATTCCGAAACCTCTAAGAGCCGACAAATCTGTCGCAGCAGCGTGGTTTTCTCCGCAGTTAGTTGTTATTTGGAACAAACTTCTACGGCCTTACGGTCACTCCTTGTGCGAATACTTTTCAACTTAAAGTTATTTATAAAATTCGTCGTAAGAGTATAACATCTGCCGTCGTTGGTGGGTGTTGTGAGAAATCTTTTAAACACTTAAGTGACGACATAAGTCACTTGAAGAGAGTGAAAAAACAGTTTATTCCTGCTGTGTAAAATATTACACGATACTGTTTATGTGAAAACACGAATTCATGGTCTGATTAATTATTTATCCATATTGGCGTTGTTTATAATGAGACCCCGCATGCTTTTCTAAGAGAGACAAAATATTTATTTTCGAGAGTCGCCTTTAGAGAGGTCGCACATGCAAACAGGAGGAGCCCGTTGTAAAACATGCTACGCTAGTCTTTGTCATTAGCATGACTTTTTCTCGTAGCCCTTTAACTCCCAAGATCTGATTGTTAATTCTCCCTTCTAGCTGCTACAAATATTCTCGTAAATTAGTTATGAGAACTTGGTGCTAGATCAAGATAGCAGCTTCTACCTGTAAGTTTGAATATTCTCATTACCTGTCTGCTGAATAACGGGAGTTAAAGGGTTGAGGTAGCATCCGTTAGATTGATTTTCTGTTTATATTTTCATCACAGAAGCTGTCAAGGTTTCCATGATCACGAGGTGATGAAATATTAATTGTAGAGATTTAAAGGTATAGTGAACAAGAACAATTCTTGTGTCAGGAACAGAGAAATACGAAATAAATTGCTTTGAGATACTAAAGTGCAAGAGAAGAATTTAAAATTATACCTGTTAGAATGCGAGCACGCTCTTCTTTCGCTTTGGCAGCTGCTTTCTTTGGGGCTTGGAAGGCATGGATACTTTTAATTCCAGTTTCAACTCAAGGTTAGTAACTGCGGTTTATATATCCAATGCTTCCAAATAATTATTTTAACTATAATTAAAAACATATTTAAAAAAAACCCATGAAAAAGGCAAAAAATACGCCCAATTCATGCATATACTTTTTCTCTCGATCATAGGCCAAAGACAGCTTTTCGTTTTTCGTTGAACATATCGACACATTCGGGTACAATCAGGTTTATTCTTTGTCTTGTAACAAGCAAAAAACGTAAGGCTTCTAAGCAAAACCTGCTTTCCACAACAAAATTATACCTTTACAAGATTTAAGATACTCACCTCAAGAAATTTGGGAAGTGATTCCAGTTAAGCCGGATTGTATGTCTTTTAATCAATTTTAAAAAAAGAGTTAAAGCAGTTTCTCCTTTGTAACCAAATATAAGTATCAGAAATAAATAGGTTAGTTTCTGCAACATTACACTATTTCTAAGTTACGTTAAGTGAATATATTCTACTCGATAATCCTCAATAATTTTATCTTGGTAGTGGCCATCTCCAAGGCTTTTTCTTCTTTCCCGCATCACTACACACTTTTTTTTTTTATTTAAAGTACTTTTGCATTTCTTATGTTTTTTTCTGATTATCTACTTTTGTTAATTAGGTAGAATTTATGTAACTGAGTTAATTTAAATTATAATAATATACATGGAAAAATGATTCAGGTCTGATTGGTTCAGATAAATGCAGTCTTCAGGTAACTCAGTGCAGAAGAGGGTTAATTCAGTGCAGAAGAGGGTTAATTTAGTGCAAAGAAAGTAAAAAATCAGACATTCTGATTGGTCAATAATCAAAGAAACTCACAGATAACAGGTAATTTAGTGTTAACAACTGGGTTGAAAACGTAAATTAGCCACCGTAAAGGATAAAAAAGCTGACGTTTCGAGCGTTAGCCCTTCGTCAATCGCTCTGACGAAGGGCTAACGCTCGAAACGTCAGCTTTTTTACCCTTTACGGTGGCTAATTTACGTTTTCAACCCAGTTGTTAACACTAAATTACCTGCTATACTCTCCCACCGACGCAGCACCACAGTTTCTTTAGAAACTTACCCCTAAACTCACAGATAGCCAATCAAATGCGAGCCTTGGATGTCACAACAAAATTGGAAAATTGGAAAATTTGCGAGCGAAACAATGGCTGGCGTTTTAAGTGGGTTTTCTTTCGCCATCGCAGCTGAAAAACAGCTCAAACAACAAAAACACTGTAAAAAGCACTGCTCTTTGGTTGTCGGTTTGGAAAAAGTGGTGTGTAGAGAAGGTAATTGCCAAGGAAATCGAAAATTACGAGCTGACCCAGCTTAACACTTTGCTCGAGCGATCCATAGCCGAAATTAAAAACAAACATGGTTAAACCTCGGAAACGACGATTCCATTTCATCGGAAGTGATTCGGACACAGACTGAACAATTCCTTGAACTGTTTAGCCGGACTTTAAACTTTTTTGCGCCTTAAAGATGCGAAGATATCATTGCATATTATTGTTTTGATCGTACGCGGTTGGTTTGACCGAACAGACGGTTTGAATAAATTATTTTATAACATAGCTAGTAAATTTGCCTAATCAAATTCAATTGTGCGAGCGTGCTTCATATTCCTATTGTGCACGCCCATGACGTCAACAAACAAATCCCTCGCGAAAAAAAATTTTCCTTCGGGTTGAAAATGTTATAAAACAATTGGTTTATACATCAGCTGTGCGTTCATCGAGATATGAAGCACTTGGAGAGCACTCAAGGAGCTAGAGTTGCTCTCGGCTACGCCTCGAGCAACTCTTACGCATCTTTCGTGTTCTCCAAACTTCCCGCGTGCTTCATATCTCGATGAACGCACGCTGACGTATGAACTAATTGTTAATTATAACATAGCAAGCAGAGCCGCGCAATCAAATTCAGTATACGCAAGCGTGCTCAAAATCCCGATGGTGCACGCTGATAGCGTGAGCAAATCGCTTCACCAGAAATTTTTTTTTTTCGCGCGAGCGGCCATTGTTAGTGCGGGGAAAAATAATATATTTCGCGACAGTAATGGATACAAACAGAGACTCGGCCCACCAGTCCCAAAACGAAGACAATTTTCCGACCTTTTCCCTTGGACTAGAGTTCTTAAATGAGGGAGAAAAAGAGAAAAACAACGAAAAAGGAGACTCTACGAACAATCACTTCTGATATTGTTGTCCGTTTTTTGCGTCGGATTTGATGCACAATTCCACCGGTTATGTTATAAAACAATGAGTTATAAAACTCAAGAAGCTAGAGTTGCCCTCGGCTATTGCCTCGGGCAACTCTTACGCTTCTTTCGTGCTCTCCAAACTTCCCACGTGTTCCATAACTCAATAGTGCACGCGAAAGCATGAACCAATTGTTAATTTGCATTTGATGCGCGCGCTTTGCTTATGTTTAATTATGATACGCATCTCGAATTTTTCCATGTATATTATTAACGCGTAATCACATGATTTTTCTCGTGCAATTTTGGAATAAACAAGCACTTGTTAATTTTTTCAAAGACCACAATTTTGTTTGTCTTTAAAAAAAATTAATCGTGCTTATTGATTTCAAATTGCACTCGAAATCATGTGATTACCTATACAAAAAAAAAATTGGACGGCGTCTTTCTAGCTGCTCGGTTGAACACGGTCGATGATGCCGAAAGTACAATTAAGTCTATTACCTAATTCTAGTTATATTACCTCAACCAGAGCATTGTCGAGTACTATTCTTCGAGGCTGCAAGTTTTTCAGACAAAGTGTTAAACAAAAGTATCATCAAAAACTTGACCGTAAAGGACGAACAGTTGTGTCAGTTGAGGTGTTTTGTTGAGGAAACCTGCAAATCCTACAACCTTGGTCCGCCAGACAGTGGAGGAGAAGGAAAACGAGTCTGTGAACTGAGCAGTTCCCATCATGTCTTGCATCCAGATTACCTTGTGTCGAAGTCTGGATTTACCTACCGTCCATCAGAGGTGGGAAACATATAAATTGTTACTTAATAATGGTAATTGCACTGAGTGAAGTGCAATTTGGGCTGAAACCATACGCGTGATTTGAAATCACAAGTATGATTTCAGACCAAAATTGCACGACACGAGGTTCAATTACCACTTTATTACATCCATTTTGAAATCGGCCAAATACAGGACTTGGTCAGTTCAAATATTTTTTTGATGAAGTACTGAGCCGGTCTGAAATTCAATTCATGTCCATTTTTTGGGGAGAAAAAGTAAGAGTTAAGAAACAAAAGTTGCAAAATTTGCCACATGATACTCCTTGTCTTTCATTTTCCTGCGATTTGATCGGTTACTTTAAACGAGCCTTAAAATCTAACTGGTTGTTTTGTTTTTAGTGTAGCCTCCTCATTGACTGAGAAAAAGATGCGATTTAAAGCAAAAAATGGTGCGATTTGTGAATAAATCGCATCAATTAGAGCCAATCAGATTACAGGGACCACCAGTGATTTCAAAATGGGTGTAATAAACACACTAATTTGATTATTATAGAGAAGAAATTCGGTAAACACATTGATTCCATATACCAGAAAAACGGAAATCTAGTAAAAGCTATTGGAACAACGTACTCATTTGGAATATTGTTGAGTGAAGGAACACGGCGATGATATTTGACGATGGAAGTGTTGAAACGAATAGACATTCCGAAAATAAATTGGCATTCACAGTTGTATAGAAATTTGTCAAATAACTTAAATATCAGGAATATGGGATGTTTTTTGCTGGTGGAGCAGATGACACATGGCTATTGTGTGTATTCAACGAAAACTGTCTTTTAAAAGTTGTATCAGCTTCAGATTGAAAATTAGCTATAAATGTAGTGATCGGTAAAAATTTGTCGTAAACCTTCCGTGTTTTTCCTTTCGACAGAACCTGTGTGGAATTCCTTGTCCAGAGAAGCAATCTTGTTTCTTAGTACACAACAATGGTTTTACATGTTTGTGTCCTGAGCTAGAAGATTCAGAAAAGACATGCACTGAAGGTTGTTTTTAAATCTCTGCAAATTTATTCCAAAAACTAATCGCATGATTGCATTCTCACACCGCACTGGTTAATCTTCGACTAAATTTCATTAATATCATCAAAAATAAAAATCTATCATAGTTTTAAGTGCGCATGAGTGTCGAGAGCGTACGGTGAGGAAATCAGTAGTATAGGGTGTCAAATTTTGGGCTCGATCACCGAGTCAAAAGCTATGGTAGTCACGAGGAAATAAAATAAGATGGCAAATTATGGGCTCGGTTGATGAATCAAGAACGATATTTACCATCTTTGTACCTATTGTAGTTTCAGACGTGGACGAGTGTGCAGCTAATACACATGACTGTGCCGCTGATGCGGATTGTATCAATACTGATGGTTCATTCGTCTGTTCATGTCAAGTGGGATATACTGGAGATGGTAAATTATGCCAAGGTACAAAAATGACTTAGAACATACTCTTTTCATTTCATTCTACATTTGTCATATTTTTCTGTGCCTGCGTGGTATAAGGTGTCAAATATTGGGTTCGGTCACCGAGTCAAAAGCTATGGTAGTCACGAGGAAATAAAATAAGATGGCAAATTATGGGCTCGGTTGATGAATCAAGAACAATATTTACCATCTTTGTACCTATTGCAGTTTCGGACGTGGACGAGTGTGCAGCTAATACACATGACTGTGCCGCTGATGCGGATTGTATCAATACTGATGGTTCATTCGTCTGTTCATGTCAAGTGGGATATACTGGGGATGGTAAATTATGCCAAGGTACAAAAATGACTTAGAACATACTCTTTTCATTTCATTCTACATTTGTCATATTTTTCTGTGCCTGCGTGGTATAAGGTGTCAAATATTGGGTTCGGTCACCGAGTCAAAAGCTATGGTAGTCACGAGGAAATAAAATAAGATGGCAAATTATGGGCTCGGTTGATGAATCAAGAACAATATTTACCATCTTTGTACCTACTGTAGTTTCAGACGTGGATGAGTGTGCAGCTAATACACATGACTGCTCCGCTGATGCAGATTGTATCAATACTGATGGCTCATTCATCTGTTCATGTCAAGTGGGATATATTGGAGATGGAAAATTATGCCAAGGTACAAAAATGACTTAGAACATTATCTTTTCATTTCATTCTATATTTGACATATTTTTCTGTGCCTGCATGGCACAAGTTTTTGATTCTTTTGCAGGTTTTCCTTTCCGTTTAAGGCTCAATGGGATTGAAGAACCTCTCCGGTAACAAAGAGATTTGAATTATTTTCATTTCACGCTCTCCAATCGCTATTCTTACATTAATTAAGTAATATTATTATATAGATACTGATAAAATACCAGGATTTTTCCTTTTACTAAAAAAATCATATCGCGCGCAGTGAAGATACTATTTTTATCTTTCACGTGTGAGGATATTGGTGTCGCCATGGTTACTAAAATGATTAAAAAAATGTGTGAACACAAGATAAATAATTCGTTTGTTTTCTGACAGTTTAAGTGGAGCAGCCAGCATCGCTGTTTCAGAGGATAATATTACAGCACTGTACTTGGATGGCAGTCCGCTGACCTATGCTGTAATGCCAGCCATTCCCATCCTTACCACAGGTTTCGGCATATCCGTGTGGATTAAACTGCTTAAGTATCCAAATAGTTTTCAACCTATCTACGGTGACTGGTCGTCGAATGCATCATTTGCCCTCTCAGTTAATGAAGATGGTAGATTGTGTACAGAGGCAAAAAGACAAGCTCCTGCTACAGGAAATGTTTTCTCTATATGTGGAAAGTAAGTCCTTAACATAATATAGAAGAGACATTTTCATTTGAAGGTAGAAATGAATTCAAAGGAGTCCAAATTTCCAAATTTTTGAGGATATTAAATTGGACTGTCTTAGGCGTCCCACGCAATCTGAGAAACTAGCAAAATTACCAGCCACCCGCTTCCTGAACAGAAGCAGGAAGATCTACTGGTGTGAGGCAATTTGAGGGGACGTCGTGTCAGGTGAGATCGGTGATCCACTTGGCACTTAAATAAACTTTTCTGGATGTTAATATGGTGTTGTGTAAAGCCAAGAGCCATAGAGTATTCTAAGAGTAATTGCCCACCTACCCCTTCCTTAACCCAACAACAGTCAATTGATAACAAACTAGGGTGAATGTTGGGTTAAGGGAGGGGTAGGTGGGCAGTTGCCCAGGCACTGATATTGATCCAGATATTTTAGCTATCGTAACAGCACGACCTACATTAACGCTTATTTTTCTGTCAGCTTGCATGATATTCCATTGAACAAGTGGACTCACGTAGGAATGTCTTGGAGAAAAACCCTCGGTAAACTTCTATTGTTCATAAATGGAGAGACTTTCGAGGACTATGTCCATGAAAATCCAGTCCTTTCTTTCAAGAATTCAGGGCGTTTACTGCACGACATTGGCTTCAGGGAGGACACTGGTAACACAATACAAGCATACATGAGTGATTTTGTAATTATAGATAGAGAAAAAAATGGGAAAAATTTTGTAGAGGAATTCTTCGAAAGCCACCCACTCAGCAAGTTTGCCTAAGCCAAAGCTTAGGAAATATAAATTGTTCATGGACCTGAAAAAAAATTAATCTCTTCTTTGGAGATCACATGACGGAAGCATTTTAATCACATGTTGGAAATACACGAGCCTGTTCTGACCCTCCAAGCACGAGTCTTTCTTGAGTGACCACTTCTGCATATCCCGACCAAGGATATATCAGTCATCCCTTTAAATAAGTGGACTTCTTGACGAAGAAAAATGGAGACACTTTCTGGCAAACCGACGTGAACTTATGATCTGAAATTTAGGCCGTAGGAGTTCTAAGTTATTAGTAAGTGTATGTTATATGCTTAATCAACATGACATCTGCATGTGACCTGAAACAGACTTTTGCAACCTTCCCTTGGGGATTAAGCCACGTATTTTACGTCACATTTACGGCATAATTCTTTGGATTTTGATCTGTTGTATAAATACGCCAAACTTATTTGCTTCTAAGACAGAGCGTTGTCCAATGAAGACTGTGATTCGAACCTTGAATCTTAAAGATCGCAAAATCAGCTCTCCCTTTTGTCTTCAAAACATTTAACTTAATTTTGACTCTCTGAATTTGGTGTTAAATCAACCAACATCCTCATGTCATATTATACTAAGAACTATTGAAAATGATAAACATCAGACGACATATTTCTAATGACACGGCTGACTAGCTAAGAGCTTCGCAAATAAAGAAGTTATTCATATATAGGTGTTCCTGTTGTGAAAATACACCGGGGTGGGACAGATAGTTTACTGCTTGTGTTGAACGGCTACAACTCATTTCAAATGCGACAGAATTTGTTTATCTTTCAACTTTAGTAGTTTATTGTCAAATTATCAACTTTTGATGGTGCGGCTGCAGTTCTGCTTTGATTTTTCATTCTACATTATCTGTGCGGAGTTCCTTTCCCGCAGAAGCAGTTTTGTTACTCAGTCGACGATGAAAGTTTTTCACGTCTGTGTCCACAGCATGTTGTTTCAGGACTAAATATACATGTGCTGGAAGAGGTTTTTCGATCGGTTGCAGATTCCCAATATATAAGTATATTTGTATTCATAGCTTCCTCTATGTCCGTGTTCCTTTTTTAATTAGTTCAAACAACCACTGCATTGATGATGATACACTGGATCAATTGGCCCCCCACAGTTTCAAAATAAATCCCTTAATGTAAGAACTGTACGTGGGTAATTTGTGCGTTCAGCAACATCATTTATAATTCAGGGCCCGGTTGTTCAAAGGGCTGATAACGCTATCCATCGGATAAATCGCTATCCAGCGGATAAGAGTTAACAAAACGTATTGCGCTATCCGCCAGATAGAGATTTATACAGTGGATAGCGTTATCCAATTTTCGAACAACCGGAGCCAGATCTGCAGGCGTGCTCCTCAAAATAACAGAACAAAGAGTAGTTTTCGCATCTACATGTTTGTGTGTCCATTATTGAATTCAGGTTTCACAAAATTGGAGTCAGTTAGGCAGTTACTTCATAATTAATTCATCGCTTCCAACTAATAAAGTCTGCACTTCAGTATTACGCCTCTTTAAAAAGGAAATTCCCACGCTGCTTCTTGGAAACTGCAAATATCCTAGATTAGAGGTCCGGGAAAAAATCACTCCGCACAATCCAAAACAACCACTTTCGCCTTAAAAAACGTAAAAAGCTACTCTTACAAAGTTTTGATTTCTACTGTATATCTGCTTTGTGGTCTTTCGAGATACATCACAGCTTTAACCCAAGGTTTATGACAACAATGGGAATTAGAGACGGCTAGTTTTCACTTTTAAAAAACCTTCCTTTACTAAATAAAGTCTATCGTTTGTGATCCTAAACTGGTATGCATTTCAAACATATTTTACGTAATCCTATCGTGATCCAGCGATGCTTGGCAACCTTACAAAAATTATTGGTAGTCAGGGATTGTTCAAGTTAAACAACTTGGAGTAATTTTTAAACTCTTATAAAAAGAAGTCTAGGGAAGGAACAAAACAATGGTATGATATTTAAAGGAAAATACTCTCGTCTCATTTTGGAACGCTTCAGTTAGAGAAAAAAGTTAGCAAATATGGCAAAAAAATGTCAACTTGGATCTGGAAGTGTTTAGACTTACACGACAACAACATCTACATATTAAATTTTAAGGACAACTATTGGTATTATTTTCACCCTAACTCAATTACTGGTCTCATAATATAATTTAAATAATTTTTGTTTAAGGGGCACTGCGAGGTTCGAATGGTTTCAGGATGGTTTACGAGTTCTTTACATGAACAGAAGGGTAAAAACGTACGCCGAGACACTAGCTATCGCAATCTGCAACACAAATCTAACGGTTTCTGCGCGGATCAAACCATGTTAGCCAAAAACATGCCAACTATTTACACAGATTAATCAGACCCAAACCCAGTTTCAGTTACACAAGAAGAGTTGTAGACAGTGCCGACGATGTCTTTCCGATCTGCACGAAGTAAGCCTGTTATGTAATTGGTTATAACAGATACGTTAGTCCCATTTCAGACTACAAACCTTTCAGCAAACCAGAGAACATGTGAAACGCGTGGTTTGAGTCTGTCGCCTAACGGCCTGATTAACCAATCATTTTGATGGCCACATTATTGTGATATTACTAACGTTACTGCTACTGCTACTGCTATTATCACTGTTGTTTCTGCCACTACCTACTCTTTTACTAATTCAGTAATTGGCACATTGGGCTCTGAAGGGAGGCATTGAGTCCTCTGCATTTAGGCGTCTGCCCAGGTTCAAAAAAATTATTTGCAGACCTTGATGCTGTAAGGAGAAAGTAGATGCTGGTCACTCTCAGGGATCAAAAGGTTTAGAGGGGTAGAAAATCAGTGTTCATGGTGCCAGTTGATCTCAATGAGAAGATACTAGCCTCAATGTAGTACAGCATATCTGTTTTAAGATAAAAATGTTTCATTTTTACTTTTTATTTGTTACGAGTGAACTCTAATTGATAATTTGTATGAAAGTCCACGCCTGCAAAGGATCATGGATAATTACAAATCCAGTTAAACATGACAAGAACGTTATATTTTGCTAAAAACCAATAAGTTTAGTGACTATAAGTGTAGTTATTTTTAAGCATGCTACAGGAATGGGTATGGTGATTGTGCTTCTCATCTATATATAAGCACTATCTGTATTCACTAGAGTTATCATAATACTTTAGGTACACTTTCAGCACCACGAACGGCAAGGATTCAGTTTCAGTGCAAATTCAATTACAAACAAATTTAAAGAAAGAAAATAATTTGAAACGTATTCATCTCAAGACCTCACAAACCTTTCACTATTTAATAATTACGAATAGCTGTTTCAGTTTTTTTTTTTCACGTAATTCAATAAATCTATACACTAGTTCTTCAATTTTTTTGATACACAAGATTAGAACACAATTTCACCAGGGGAGAAACACTTGAGTTATGCGTGATTTAAAGAGTTTTTTGAGAAAGGAAACATATTTGAAACACTCTTGATTAAATCAGCTTATAAGGGATTGAAAAACAAAGTTGCTGCAACTAGCTTACGATGTTAACAGTTTAGGTTAGTCACCCTTTCGATGAAGAAGGCTAAAAAATTCCGTAAAAAATTAAACAATAAATATCTATGGTTCAATCTTCGCAAGGGATACTTACCTCAAAATACCCACTGAAAGCAATAAAAGAAAACGTTCATCGTCTCTGCATTGCTCTTTTTTTCTTTTTTTCGATCCTCACTTAAGAGTCAGGCTCTTTGAAAAAATCCCCGCTGGTAGGAAAAACTGCCGTCACAACGCAGACTAAATGTCCGTTCGAGGCAGTGTGTATTTAATTAAAACACTTTCATATTAGATACTGATAGGGATGTCGTACACAACTCTCAACCGCGATCTTGACACGATCTTAATGTTTATTTAAACATGTTTAAACAAGTTGTCTTTAAATCACTCCATGGTAACTATCTAAAAAAGGTGAGAGAGCCAACCCTGTTCCCAAGAGCCCTGTTCGTTGAAAAGGCCCTGGGAAAAGTTTTGAGTCATAGCATGCTTTAAACAAAAAAAAAAAAGCGAGAAACACGATGAATATATGACGAAGATGACAACTTAGGGTTCCCCTAGCTCCCTCCCCAATTGCTGTCGACTTTTCCACTCCACCCCCCAGTTGTACGAGGGTCTGAATATGGTTGATTGACAACTGACAAATGGCCAAAATTTTAACTGACAACTGACAAATCGCTGAAAATCTAACTGACAGCTGATAAACGGCGGAAATTTTAATTGACAAATGACATTTGTACCCCCTCATCCAGACTCTTGTACTCCTGCTGCGTTAAATATCACTCAGGTAGGGATGAAAAGTGGCTGATACGGTTTATCTATTTAATATTTTTTCTTTGAAGTATCTTACAACTTCCGAAGTCTTCAAGGTTTCTCGACCTGTGTAATCTTTTTTAAGATGCTTCGCTGTTCGCCGCTCAACAGTATGCAACATTTTTGGATTTCTGAAAGCACGCATGAGCATTCGTACTTGATCGGCATGGCCCAGAAACGAGCCTGAATGCAAAAGAAGATATCAGATTCTGAAAATAACAGCTGACTGCGTTTTGCAGTCAGTTTAAACTACGTACAACTACGTATTTCACATAGGAAAATAATCTACGAGCAATTTACAGTCTCCAACTTTTCACAATCTATCACGGCTGCAGGAGAACTTTCCCTGTTGTCTGCCTTCCTTCTAACATGTCGTGGGCCTTTTTCACATCAGACAAGGGAACCACTGTGATTCCGCCGCTAAATTTGAGTTTTCCTTCAGTCAACCAAGTGAAAAGCTCTGTGGCTCTTTGGCTGTATTCAGCTGGATCCTCCACAAAGTGGAAATTGACACCATATGTGACGTAAAAGGAACCTTTGGCAAGCACGCCGGTATCGAGAGGCTCAGGGCGACCTGACGCTCCACCGAATAAAACAACGGTTCCTCGACGTGCCAGACAACCGAAATCTGGGTTTAAAAAGGAAGGCCACATACATTTTAAATTTTAAGTCACAAGTCATTCTCTTAAATTTTGCCCGAGAATCAAACCGGCTGAAGGACCAGTCAGTATTAATTTGCTTGGTGGGTGGGGGGGGGGGAAGGAATTCAAGGAGGACACATGGTGTTCAGGGGGAACAGAGTGGGGATCAGTCACCACCGACAGAGTATAAAGGAGAGACTATAGAAAATTAACTGCCAATTAACTATTAGTGAGGGGAAGATCATAGGAATATTACACAACCTTAGACAGGGGGAGGGGTCAGGTACACTCTACTGTGACACAACCAAAGTCCTCCAACCCCCCCTCCCCAAGTGATAAATAATGACTGATTGATGATCAATTACTATCAAACTACACCTGGATAACCAACCTTCACCTTGAACTTGCAAAGTTTCATTAAGCTTTGTGTTGTTTAAGTCCAGAAAAAATACACAGTCACTACTTTCTGGCATTTTAAATTCATTTCACTGATAAAAGGAGTAGCATTGACTAAAAATTATTTTTACTCTCTAGTTAAGCAATGCATCTGTTACAATGGTGATTTTTCTCATATTATGAACTGTAAATGTTGATCCTCTTTTGGAGTAGGACCCATCTACTTTTCCTGAAAAATTAGCCCTGACAGCCTTGGGAAACCATGACATGTTTCGTGAATTCACATTCCCACTATTTTGCATAATTTTCAATTTCATATTCTGTTTATTAACCATGCTTGTTCCATAATGATGGTTGGATATCAGACCCCTTCTTTTACATTTCCATGGACCAAAGCAATGTTCAATAGAGCTAGAGCAATTATCCAGTGATCATCGAAAAATATTTGGGATTGCTTTTGGTTTACTTTGTTCTGCCATTAGTCCAGAAACTCATGCCACTATCTCAACCAATCAGACTCAAAACTAAAACCAATCACGACTTGGTCTCCCATGTTTTCCTGCCCTTTAGGTAGTTAGCTGGTTTTTATTTGAGTTCTCATTAGCTCCTTGTGATATTTTTTCCCATGTTATGATTGGCTGTTTTGATAACTTTGGTTTTCACTTTATGGCACTCAATTGAAAAGTGCTTGATCTAACACTGAGTCACAAACATATCAATGTACTGCTTGCCATGCTTGCACCTCAATTCAAATGGAGCTAAGAATAAGCTGGATAAGTGGGATTTTACCTAATTTCATATGGTATACAGTTCCCTCATACAATTACTTACTCTTGAGGAATGTTGTCTTTCCAACACCATCATAAATAACATTCACCCCTTTTCCATCGGTGATCCTGTTGACTTCTTCGACAAAATCTTTCTGTGAGTAAAGAATGACCTCATCGGCACCAGCCTCCCTCGCTTTTGATGCTTTGGCCTCAGTGCTGGTTGTTCCAATCACAAAAGCTCCTAAAAATCAGCTCAAAAAGTTTAATGGGGAAAGTAGAAGACAAAAGATGAAGAAGAAGTTATTTGATTGCTTTCCCCATTTATCATATTTACTTTAATTTCAACAAAAATGTTTGTTGCCCTAAACAAACTTGGAACAATCTGACTTAAGACAGCCTGTACCTGTATTCTTTGCGATCTGAGTAATCAGGCTTCCAACTCCACCAGCAGCTGCATGAACCAAAACTTTGTCTCCAGCTTTGATTGGATAAGAAGAACATGCAAATGCATGTGCAGTGAACCCCTGCCATAAGGTACTGGCAGCTTGCTCCATGGTAAGCTGATCAGGCACTTTAACAGCATACTTGGCTCCAACTTTGCTGTACTGTGAATAGGCATCTTAAAACAAGAAAGATAGTTATGGTGAATATCAGTCTAAACAAAGGTGACTCGAGTATGCTAATAATAAGAGGTTACATCACACAACAGTTGGTGTAAACAATGGCAAAAAGGATTTTTTTTGGAGGTAACAAGTCAACTTTGTACATATACCCCCAACACCCCTCCCTCTCCTATAGTAGAGATCAAGATAAAAGAGATCAGTAAGAAGGAATTAGCCATACTACTAATGACTTTCAGAGAGAAAGCTGGTAATTATATTCCTGGACAATAACTATGAGGCTGGAAGGTTGGAGGGCAGGCAAAGGTCAATTGAAATGTTAGATGTGAAAAGTGTTTACAAGTGGCCCTTATAATTACTTACTTGAGCCAATAAATCCAAATGCAACCCTGTCTCCTACAGAGAGGCCCTGAACACCAGAACCCAGTTTCTCTACTGTCCCTGCTCCTTCAAATCCCAAGATTCCTCCAGGTTGTACTAGTTTCATGATTCCTTGTCTGACATAAGTATCAATGAAGTTTAAACCAGCAAAATGATTCTTAACTAGGACCTGTTGAAGCAAAAGAGGTTGGGTGAATTTCTCCATTGCAATCCTCTGAAGTGAAACAATCAATATCATTATTGTAAAACTCCTTTCAGGGTTTACTAGGGCAGGATAGTAACACATATGTGAAATGATAAAATCCATGATAAAGCACATAGATTTATGGATCAGTGCTTCCTATCTGTTACACAGTTCACAAGTGTTTAACACCTAGGTATGTCTACCGATCAATAGTAATGTTGCTCAACTGACTGTAGGGATGCAAACCCTCCCATTAATCAAGGATGTACCATATCTGGCTAATTTAATCACCCCATACGAGTTGATTATAGCAGAGGTGTTTAACGTCACTTTTAAGATTGAAATGCTGTTTAACACTCCCTTGCAAACGTTGACTTGACCAGAACACAATTTCACGTACCATTCCCGTGTTACCTCTTTCTGTGCAGGTTATGAGGTAGAAGCAAAGACAATACGGTAAAATTTCCGCACAGCCCCATAATATTGTAAAACAAATCTGTTTTCCCAATTGTAATTTATTGTTTTGTCATTGTTTACTCTATCCAAGAACTGAATGTATAATTCAGTATAGGACTGAGCGGGAATTTTACCGACAATACAAATACGTACACAAGCGAAATCATCGTTCCTCAGTTCTAACAAACACCACTCTATTACTTAGGGCCTTAAAAGTCCCTGTCTACTCGAAAAAAAAAGAAAAAAGGACTTTTAAAGCATCTCTAAGAAATAGCAGGAATTTTAAACGGTTCCTACGAGAGCATCTGCCAACAATTTTGGCTAAAGTAAACAATGGCATCGAGTCACGAACCTCATCAGGTCCTGGTTCTGGAATTGGCACATCTTCGTAGCTAAGTTTACTAGAATTACCGTACTCATGTATCACAACTGCCTTCATGGAAGTCGACAAGCTGGCCATCAAGGACAAGTGAGTTTTTCTTACTTGTCTTAATGAAGAAACTGAGATCCGTCTGAAAGCGAGACAGATCGACATGCTACCCAGTTATAGCATGATACAAAGTAATAGTTACAACATCTGTCACGCTATCTAGTAACAGTCACACTATCTTTCGATGTGAGCTTCATAGTTCTAAGTTAGACTCCATTTAGCTCCACTGGCTCTACGTTATATGCTCTTTGAGTAAAACGCGAAGTTATTGGCTATTGGGTAAACCTAGTCGGTGTTCATATGCCGTAAAAAGGGTCCAAAACTCGAGCGTGACGCTACACCTGGTACTACAGTCGTCTTGACCAGCGTTCAGTCCAACTCGCATCGCATACTTCAAATATCACAACAACACTGTTTTGCCTTGTTTTGAACGTCCAACACATGACTATTTGCGGTTTTTAAATCTGTTTTATTTGGAAGTGTCTATGTCAAGAATATGGCACATCCTGCGTATGGAAAAAAGCTTACAGATCGTATTAATTTTGGAATAGCACTCGAAGGAGTACCGGACAATTTGGCACCATTCGTTCATGATTCCACAAGAAAGTAAGTACGCCATAATTTTTTAGTGTTGTCGTCTTTAGTCGAACCGTAAGAGATTTTGCAGTTGTTTTCCATTAATTCCTCCATCTCATTTACAGACGCCAAGGAATCGAAGAAGCTTTAAAACAAGCTGATGGATCGAGTGAAACAGTTGTGAACACTCTGAGGGAATATGTTGTTATGAACACCACAATAAAAAGCATACTACAGAAAGTGAGCATATTTATTTAATGATCATATATTTTATACACCTGTTTTCGAAAACGTTGCAATTTGAAGAAAATATATGATATGCATACACCTTTTGTTTTCTCATCAAAAAGTGTCTCTTTTTGATAAGAATATAAAAGATATATAAATATATATATATATAATTAAATATATATATATTTCATGTATATTTTTAAATTGCAACGTTTTTGAAAACATCTATATATAAACATTTAAATTATACATAACTAACTGCAAACAGTACTGTTTCAGCCTTCTGGGCCTCATCCGTGTAGTGCTGATGCTAAGAAGGAGGTGTAAGCACTAAGCTACCCCGAATGATCCCACAATTATGGTGTCATCCAAGCCATTAAAAAATTATATATATATATATATATATTTTTTTTTTTTTAAATTTTATTTCTATTCTTTGTCATAGTCATATTTTATGATGCTTCACCTCCCAAATTATCATTTGGAAGCTAAAATCTGATGTGCATGAATTTTCCTTTTTCCATTGTAGGTCAAAAGTTTCTCTCGACTCAGGTTAGTAGAAAGCATGTAAACACTTTCTACCCAATGAAACATACAGGATGGAAGAAGCTTCAATTGTGTGATGAAATATTCAAGTGAAAATTCTTTTTTTTTTTTCATCTTGAAAATTTCTGGAAAGCCCACAATAATTTTTTGAATGGTCTTGAAAAGGAAACATGACAATATGTGATGCAAACCTCAATCCTCTGATAATGAAAGATTAAGAAAAAATTTCATAGTAAAAAGAAGCTAGATTAAAACATAATGTTTTGGCTACAACATGTCACCATTATCAAATATAAAATTATTTTAAGTTTAGTGGCGTTAAATAAAGAAAGGAAAGTATGAAACTAAATTAGAATGAAAATGAGATGGAGTAAAACAAAAGAATATGCATAATTAAATGAACAGTTGCACTGGAATGGAATCTTTTTGAGTGTTCAGAGTCTGTCTCTTTCTCTATAATATCCATTAGCCTCAATCCTCAAAGTTTTTGAGAATTGAGGATTAGGAATTGGGAAACAAGGACTGATTATTAGTTCAGAGGGACTCTCCACTAATGTTAGAGCAGCTCTGTATGCTCCAACTTTGAAAGTGGTGCTGTGACTTCCCTTTTCATACCCTCACAGAGACTATGACTGGAGCAAGCTATGGTTAAGTTACAAAACAACTGACCAAAAATGAAGTAAGCTCACCCTCAACCCTTTAACTCCCAGAAGTGACTATATAACATGTAACTTCTCCCTATAATCTCCATAAGTTATCCAGCAGACAAATTAGTAGAATTCTCAATTAGCAGGTACAAGTTTCTCTTTATCTAATACCAAATTCTTAGGAGTTATAGTCAATGTGTTAATTAAGCCACTTCATTTCCCAAAGTGCTAAATAATTTTAATTATTATAAATTCAACTCACTATCTCTTTTTTGATTGACTGAAAATGTACAATAAATTTTCGAAAGCAGTAGCCTTTGGCATCAGCTGATAACCCCTATCTTGACCTTTATTATCCTGGATATCACAAGAACATCATCCAATAATTGTTTATGATTCATGCCCATATAGATTTAAGTGGTCTAACATTATGGATGATGATGAAAAAACTGTATCCAGTAATGTAGATGAAGATATGGCATCCATGATGTTAGCAGCCGGAATATGGCACATAGAGCATGCTCATCTCGTAAGTAATACTTTTGTGAAAATTCTTGATGCTGAGGAGATTGAAATTTGATATTCAAGTAAACTAACTTTATTTTTTCCATCCTTTACCTTATGCAGGTCAATGGGAGCATTACAAATGAAGATGAAGATGAAGAGAAAATGAAAGTAAGAAAAAAGCTTGTGCATTTTCTCATGTGAAACTTTCATGTACATTGGCTAATGTTGCACTCATATTACATCCTATACTTCATCTCAGCAAAGCCTGAATTCCCTAAAGACAGCAGCAAGTATATTTGAGACTGCAAAATCCTGGGCAAGTCTGATCCAAGGAAGCAAAGATCTTACTGGTCAGTTTTTAACCACTTTTTTGCCATTATGAACCCTTTAACACCAAGTACAACACTGACATTACCAGGATAAATTTAGACATTGGTATAACTATTAATTTCTGATTTTGCTCTACAGTTCCAATACTGAGTGCATTATATCTTCAGTCACTTGCTGAGGGACAGGTAAAGCTACCCTGTACTCCAAAAAACACATTGCATGTTGGAAAATATTTTTAAATGATTAGAGTTATTCACAAGTGTTTAAATTTTGGTCAAGGCTATGTTAAAAACTTGTTGTAAAGATAGATTCATTTGTGGAATGATGACATTAAACACCCTTTATATAATAAGCCCAGTTATGCACACGTTTTGATTGGTTCTCACTTATGATCTATTGGAGGACAGACGTATAGATGACATCATTATTAAAACTTTTTTAAATTCTTTATTATATAAAACAAATAGATTCCAAGTTGGCGTGCGTCTGTTCAGTAATAGATCACAGAGGACGTCAAAATGTGGTAAGAACATCAGTGACACACTCGGCTGCGCCTCGTGTGCCACTTTTTTGTTCTTACCACATTTTGACGTCATCTGTGATCTATTACTGAACAGATGCATGGCAACTTGGAATCTATTTGTTAAATAGTCAACAGGAAAATTTAGGCCCAATGAAATAAGAGGAGGCTAACTTTTAGCATTAACCCATTAACTCCCAAGATCTCATTAGTAATTCTCCTTATTGTCTGCCATACAGTTCTTGTGAAGTTAGTATGGAGAATTTGTTATTGGATCATTTTGTAATCCCCTGACAGATATTTTTTCTTCATTCTTATCACTTGTCTGCTTGATACTGTATTGATATTGCAAGGAGAAATTGTCAATTGGTCACTCATGAGACTGTTGAAGGGTTAATAGTTTGCAAGGAGATTGCACTGGTTTACTGGTAGTTATAATGACAATGCTTTTAAAAAGCTGACTTTTTAAGACTGATCCTGTGAAAATTATAGCAGAGGCAGTGGTTTGTGTTTCTTATAGAAAATTATCTGATTTAGTGGTACATCAGATGAAAGTACGTTTATTTGGTCATCAAGTAACATCTCTCTAAGCCTTTTCATATCCAATAATGATGTAATTATTGAATGATTATTTGAAGAAAAACTATAAACTTTCCTTATTGATGTTTTAAAAAGACTGTCACCATCAGAAGAGCTGTCAGTAAAGACCACAAGGCTTCCCTCATCAGTGAACTCTGTCATGATGTATCACAGAAGTATACTGCTGCAGCTGGAGAAGTTGATGTGAGTTCCCAATTTTCTTCCACTCAGTAATTCAGTTGATAGCAAAGACTATTTACTGAGGCATACATATTTAGGTAACTGGTAACATCATGTAGAGTTCACAGTCAAATCAAAATGCTAGATTTTCATCTCTTGTCCTTAGATGTTCTGACCAACAAAAGAATGGAACATGTTCAATAATGATTATTTAGTTACATATTAGTTTACTACGATTTTACCTTAACTTGATACCCTGACTGAGTGGTTTGATTTTGAACCTGGATCTTTAGTAGCACTGACTTAATATTGTGGCTGAGTTATCCTCAGCCATCTTTGTGGCAAACAGCATTAATTCTGTCCACCCAAGAGTATAGTTGTAAATACAATGCTCTGAACTTTGTTTGACCTGTATACTGAGTTTGACCTGTACATTGAGTAATGCTACTTGGTTCAAGTTTATTCTCACCACATTTATGTGTTTAAAGGAAACCTAGCCTTACAAACCAGCAATTCTAAACCATTTGGTCCTAAAGTTTCTCTTGCAGTCTTAAGATTCTTGCACTAATTTCTCACTGTTATGAAATTTGAGATGGTTAAACTATTTTTAAGACATCTGCAACCAGGACAAAGATTAGCCAGGATGAGTTAATTATCCATTCTTCATTTCTGCAATACTTATTTAGAGATTGAAGTACTACTGCACTGTATGTTGAAAGAATTAGATGTAAGAAATAAAAACATTTGCTCATGGCTTCTACTCTTACTACATTTTTCATTAGGCTTCACATCATGAGGGACAAAAATGGTCGACATACTTAAGGTTTCAAGGTACTGAACCATGACTATTTTTCATGTATTTTGCGCATTTAAATTTTGTCTAAGCGTCAATTTTCATAACAGTTTGGTTTGGTGGAATGATTACTTAACTTCAGTATTGTATTACAAGGATGGATCAGAGTTGGGTAAAGAGGCCATCAGTTTTCCCTCCTTATTTGTGGGAATTCCTTTTTTTGTCTTATAATGTACATTTTTATGAGTGTGTTGTTTGTAAGGAGTGAGGCAGTGTTCTAACAACAATATTTATGCTGCTGTTTCTCAATTCTTTTGATCCTTTTTTGAAACTGACATATTGACGAACACCATCACTCTAACATCATTCTAACAGGTGAGACATACATGGCATTGGCAAGATGTTACCAGGGTGTTCATCTGTTGGAGACTGAAGAAAAGTAAGTGATCTCTATTTATGAACTGTATGTAATCATCTGCACTGTAGCTCACTTAGGAAAGTGTATAACAAAGTGCCAAAATTCCTCCAAAAGAGAGAATTTTTATTTATTTGTCATGCATTCAATACAGAGAAGAATTTAATTTCCCAATGGGTTTCAAAACTCAGAGATTCAGATTGCAGGATGCACTACCATACAGATACAGTGTTATTATCAAAGCCATATAACAGGTCCAGTTCTGTGTCAGAGCATCATGACACCAAAATCCAAAGGTCTTAGGTTGGAAACCTTGTAGATTACTCAAAGTCTATAGCATTCAAGGCTCATGCCAAGCATATAAGGTCTTTTTTATCCATCGTTCTTGGCCCTATTGTTACTGCTGTCCTTAACTCTGTGTCTTGGTTGTTTTACGTGACACTGTTTTGACTCCTTTAAATTGACTTTCAGGTGTGGCGACTCTATTGTGGTGTTAGGTGAGGGATTCAAACACTTAAGTCAAGCCACTCATCTTTCTAAAGTAAGTACACCACTTACCCATATGGATTGTTTTTTTTTTTTTTAATCATATTATACATCTTTGTTTAAGTGCCTTCCATTTACATTCTGAAAAGAAAATAACGATACCGGAGTGGTTAATGTGAAGCAAATCCTTTATCACCTGGAAACTGGCTCAGAATAATTTAAGTTTGCAGCAGTATAAAAGCATCCCATTCGGGGCAACATTCATAGGGATAGTTGCTCCGTGCTGTATAATCAAGGTGAAGCAGTGTAGACCAGATACTCCTCATAGACTGACCGCATTGACAACTGTTACTATCATAATACAACAGACTAAAAAATAAATAGTTTAAGAATTCAAAGAATGAATGAAAGATACAAGCCTGCCATAATCCTTATACTTTTCAGGAGTTGAAAATAATGACTATATACCAGTTAAGTTCTTTATAATTTTGGTTGTACCCTTTACCTTTGATTTATCGATATCCATGGTGATGGGATAAGTTCCTCGTTTTAGAATTTGATGTATGATTTTTTTTTCTTGTTCCTTTGTAGGAATATGATAAAATTAAACCAAAGACCAAACTTCACTTGGCTGAATCTGCACAATTTGAAAAGTAAAGTACATCAAATAATTTTTTTCTTCATTGTTTGTTTCTGCATACATGAAGAATGGGGTTACATCTTCATGTGCTTTTATTATCAAAAATGAATACATCTTTTTTCAATGTCCTTGCAATTAATAAACGAAAAAAAATCATGTCATGCTATACACTGATGTCTTCGGGCCTTTCTGCACTGGTGAAAAAGTTGTTCATTAGGGCAAATTTTCGGTCATCACCAACATTCTACAAATGCAGATGGTTTGTCGCGACTTGACAAATTTTGGCCGAAGTGGACAAATCTATAAACGTACCGCCGACAAATTTCCTCCCGGTTTAATAAACAAATCCATGCTAAAATTGTCTATCATTTGTCGGAAAATCTACGACCAGTGAGTAATTGAACTAAAATCAGTTTATTATGAAACTCGGGGATTCTAAAACTTTACAATGACTGAAGATGAATCGTGGAAATTGGAGTTGAAATCCTTTGGTAAACTGTGCAGGTAAACTTTGAAATTTTTAATGCGGCTGCAACAGAGAAAACAAAGATTTGTCATGACAAAATTCGTCCTTTTAATGGTCGGGACAATTTAGTTTTGCCGCCAGTGTGGAAAGGTCGATAATCAAATTTGTCTTTGCTTCTAGGGTAAAAAAGGTGTTAAATGAAAAGAAAGCAAAGAGTGATAGAGAAAATAACTTGATATATCACCAGAAATTGCCTGAGGTATGAAAGACTTGTGGAGTATAGTATGTATTTTGTTTAGCCTCCATACTATGTCTATCTAAGCAATCTGTTTGTAAAAAAGAATGCGAGGGGACAGAGAGGGACAATCAGTGCTTCGGCAAGGACATGTCGGTTCCATAAGTCAGTTTTAGACTTAGTGAAAACGTTTCTTCAGACGTTCTCTTTGAGAATTCTCGCTCAAGATTCACTGTTTTTCTTCTGTTCTGAAGGCGTTTCCATCGACAGAAGAAATGTTCAAACTGTCTGTCATCATGTCGATTTGAAATCAACTGGAATCACCAATCCTAATAAGGACGTCTCGAAAAACAGAATTCTGCTCGAGAGAATGTCTATAGTTAACTTAAACAGAATTAATACATCCGTGGACTGGACCAGCAGCCTCCCTTTCCGTTCCCGCTTAAATTATTTTCTTACGATCGCAGAAGTTTTGTCATGCAAGGGAAAATGTAATATATAGCTTTAGCTGAGCCCAAATGCAGAACTCTGGATTTTATTTTCAGTTGTTGTCTTTTCACGTCTGATCACTGAAGCTCTGCCGTGTTCGGGTGACTCTCAAAATCTTTCGTGCTGTGACCTTTGCTCCTCCTTAAATTTACCAAAACAAAGTTTAAAAAAACTGTATTAACATTGTAAAATAACATTTAGAGGACATCGCCCTTTTTGAGATTTGAGATACCGGAAGCTTTATTCGAAGTCAGCACATTCTTAAAATGTAAAAAGATTGGAGGTCTTATTTCGCTTCGCCTGTACCACGCAATAAATCCAGATTACTTCAGCCTAAGTCCTCTACGTTTAATGTTCCAAATTTCAAAATTTATTTGAGTTATGCATGGACATTGGTCTTTACGCGCTATCAAAATTTTGGTCGTCGAGAAGAGCTTCCATATTTTCTTAAATATGGTATCTCCGCTCCGCTCGTGCGAAGCTCCGCTCGTGCGAAGCTCCGCTCGTGCGAAGCTCAGAGCATTACACTTAGGTGTCACCCAAATGTATCCATGACATTTTACTAACAGATGACTGACATTATTGATTTTCTTCGTTCCCATATTCGCATCAGGAATGCCCACCTCCCTTGGATCCTAAATGCGTGGTCCACGTGACTGCTCTTGAACTACCATCTGGAGAGGATCACACTCTGTAAGTACCATATTTCTGTTGTTCTCATGAACTGTACCATGCACGCTTCTAAAATTAAATCGAATTTCTAAGCATTTCAAGGTACTCAAAACTGGACTCATCGCTTCTTCAGTTTTAGAGAATGCCCTGTGTACCAATAATACTTTCCTGCTGTAGGCACTGATTGCTGTTGCAAACAATTCGCTTTTATCGCTCTGCTTTCTACAGAACCGTCTTGGAGACCTCAGACGTAGCTCAATCCGAAGGAGAAGTGGAGGCGGGCGCGTTGGATGCAGGTACAAGCTGACAACATCGATTAGCATCGTTAAACTGATCGCGTTTTTCACTCCTTAGGTAGAAATTTTATGTATTGTATTAAATCGCTGATTTCGTGGTTGAGCGTCTTTTTTTTAATCTAAGTTAAAGTGATTATTTTAGATTAAGAGACGCAGTTTAGTATCCACAAGGACGCAATCCCCTCTTCCCATTCCCAAACGAACGAAAGAGGGTTTTTTTCGGTTTTCTCCAAAAGACGGAGAAAGAGAATCCTTGGGAACGAAGCTACTAAGAAACGAGTTCCATCCACTCCACCTGTAGACCAGTTTGCAAGCCTTCGATATTCCTGGTCAGGGGTGTTTTATTATATGGAACAGGCTCGGAGCGAGGTCAGCTCATGCAGGGAGATGTGGATTTTCGTCAGAGTCAATTTTTTTCTCAAAAACTCGTGAAAAAAAGAATGAGTCAGAGAAAAATGGACTGAGTTTATTGCGTCTTCCTAAAGTGCGAACTTTCAATCTTTGTTTTTAGAATTTGAGTTTCGTCGCAACGTATTCGGTTTACTTTATAAAAAGTTCGCTGTGATCTGCGTTCATATTTACTTTTATTAGAACATTATTTCAAGAATAAAGACGGACTTAAAATCCGGTTAAGAAACCACCGGGAAAAAAGGTACAAATAGCGAAATTAATTCCTTATATTGAGTTTGTAAAGAAAAAAAAATCGCGAGCTATTAATCAGTCGATGTATTTTTTTTTCATCGAATAATATAGGCAATACTTCAATGTCGTTGCACGTGGGTTCGATGAACAAAACGTTAAAAACAATCCTGAAAGGATTCTATTAAAAACGCCGGTTTTAACTGTTTCGAAGAGTTGAGGCACCTTTAGTTCACCAGCTTTCAAGTACTCAAGTACCAAACAGTGCAACCTTTTTAACAGTAGATTAGCGTCTTCTATGTAATACTTCACTTCTGTCTGACCGACTGATGAACCTGGCTTTGCGAACTCGGTAATAATCGTAGTGGACTATGAAAAGAGAGGCTTGTACCCTACACCTTTACGAATAAACTTCTCTCTGGGGTGTGAACCCAACTTTCAATCCACTGGCGTTTAAGTCCTTGTCTTGATCGTAAGGAAGGAAATCCATTCACAATGATGTTTTTGAATACTTTTTAATTCGTAAGTCGTCGACAGTCTTGAGAATTCAGTTTAATTTAGCGGAAACAGAAAATTTCTTTTTAGGTTAAGTACAAGTTTTAAGCTGTAAGAACAGCACTTTACGTGATTATGGAAGTAAAAGCTTTAGAGTTTATTTACAAGAAGTAGGAGGATATGTAAATACTTGAAGAAATGGTCAGTCATTAGCATACGAATCAACAGGTGGATTTTCCTTTGTCGAATTCATAAATAAGAATAATAATTTTAATTTTCCGTCTGTTTGCTTTTAAGAAGGACTGGACAAATAGCAATTAATTTCCTTTTAATCCAGGATGTCCATTTCGTACAACTTTGACTCTGTAATGTTGAAATATCAGGGTAATATTTCAATAAACATCGTTTTTTATGTTGATGTTAATTTGGGTCCAATTTAATGTCTCTGATGATGTCTGGAAAGCGTCCCTTGCTGCTAAAGGAATTGTTACCTTGGTCTTAACTTCTTTTTATATGTAAAATAGTCTTTTAGGAGTTTATCTTTTGTTTCAGTTTCTCGCCTCCATGATAGGAGAAACAAAGAGGCAAACTGTTGTCGATCAGTTTTGGCTGAGTTTTAACAACATTTATTCGCAAACTGACTTATCGTTTCCCAACGAGGGATTTATTCGAGTATTCCACGACTCTAAGTAGTATAACGTTATAATCTTACAACAAATTAATGTATTTTAAACATTTGGTTATTTAAGTTGACAATTTCTCAGCTGTGAGGGTTTCCGAAGAGTTAGAGTTTCCTTGACATCGTGGAGAAGGGTAAATCGTTGCCAATACGAAATTTCGCCATCTTTCGAGCGATTCCGCTATATCAAAATAACCTTGCTTTGGAAGAAAAGGTAACTTCTAATGTAGATCCTCAGGAAAGACTATTTTACGCAAACGGAAGGTAATTTTTTTAAGTTCTTCGAATATGGACTCCATTTATATTTCAGTTGTCGATAGCATGGCCATTTACTGAATGTACAGCGAAAGTTTGGTTCAGTTTTGACATCTCGCCTTACACAGCCGAATTGTACACGCCTGTTCGGAGTCATTCATAGTTGTAGTATTGAACAATGCTGGAATAAACGATAGATTCCTTCTGGTACAGTGTGGTCAAATTAAAACCAAACAGTTCACGATATGCTATTTACCAACTTTACGTTATGCATGAACACATTTGTGAATTTTCTTTTCTCCGGAAAATGTTTTTCTTTCGAAACACTGAATAAGGAAAATTCTGGACACTGAACGAAAATTTCGATTTCAATAGGATGCTTTTGACAACCTGATCAACTGATTACTTAAAAATTTCATTGTTTTATGTTTCATTGTAAGAAAATTACCTCGTATCTATTCTAATCAGGGCCCACTATTTGTCTTGGGAACTCAGTTTGTGTTTTAAAATTTAGAAAAACGAGTGAAAAGCCCACTGATGAAACCAAACGAAAATTGACCGCGTATTGCGAGGCTTCAATTTTAAATTCTGTCATTTATACGAGGAAGTGGATGACTCAAAGGCTAAATGCCATAAAGAATTTACCTCTTTCATTTGCTTTCGATCTTCGCCACCATTAAAAGGAAAATATCTAAGGGTAAGGAAAGTTGTTTAAAATTACTCCAAACATTTTTGCTTGGACGTGTTTTATTGTGATTATTATTATTATTATTTTTACGGAGAGGAAATTCATCGATTCCGGTTTACTGTTCAAAGTAAACGTAAGAGAATATACGTGTTAGTCAGCCCTCGCAAACTAAACCCAATTAGAATATCTTCCTATGTACGAAACAAATTGATATTTACGTAGGTTTTGCCCAATAACATATAAGGTTTTTGAATACGGAAAAATAGTTCAGCGCAATTCGATAAAAATATATCTTTTGTGGTTCACTCTTTCCTTTTTTTATCGCAATTCTAATTGATTCTGAGCTATGGGCAAAAGGGTCATTGTCATTATTAACAAGAACAAATAGAAAGTCTTTCCCTTACACTTTTTATCCAGTGTAAGTAGTCTTTTTGCATGTCGGTTAATCGTCAAATTATCTCCGCTTTTCCTTCAACAAATGTTGTTATCGAATATTTTTTAACGACATGTGGCCGGAAAAGGACATGAAAACTTGATTGAAAATTATGCATTGACGTGGCTCGCCGTATTTAATGGGCATTCCCATCTGTTCGTTAAAGAGTCCATCAACTATTGTCTTTGACGCCCAAATGGTTTTGTAGTGACTCGTTCGATTTTCGTTTACTCTGACGAAAATTGAACCACACCGGCATGTTTTTCTTTGCTAAAGCGAAAGAAGATTCGTCCTCGCCCGAGTCCTTGAGTGGTAAACCGCCGCCACTGCGAAGGCATGATACTTTTGGGAGTGCCGAATTGTTTGAAGCTTGGGCAAAAGATTCATTTATCAACCAAAGCACAATTGACATTTTGATAAAAACGCATCAAATTGATTGCTTGCCCGCGGTTCTGGCTTTGAAGAAAGATGACTATTCACAGTTAAATTTACCAGTTGGTCAACGAAGACTTCTCGAGAGTGCGGTCGAGAAACTCCGCCAAGAGTATGAACTGGTTCAACCGCCGACCCCAAAAGCAAAGATTAATCTTGAAATGCCGGTTTATAAATCGATGCTGGAGATAGGGGAACCAGCAGAAGAAGAGAAAACTGGTCAATACGAGGAAAACCAATTATCCCGTAGGCCACAGTCCACGGGGCATTCTACTGAAAGGATATATGGAAAAACACGAAGCTACGTTGAGTCTGGTACTGAAAAAAGCGACAGCGGACCGGAGAAGAAAGCTCTACTGGTTTCTGAACAGGGTAAAATTTTGTCGCAGACGACACCAAAGTCAGCACAGAAGAGAAAAGGTTAAGGATACTTTTTTGATGTTTTACTAAATATTTATTAATAATTTATTGATAGATGGTTGATTTCATCTAACTTGGCCCTTTGATATCTAGTCAAGTAATTTCTCCATCGCTGTTAATTTGTTGAATCTTCCCGCATGAAGACGCATCTTTCACCGAGTATGGTAATTTGTGTTTTTAATATAAATAATTTGTTCCAGATTAATTTGATCTCCTTTTTCTTTTCCTACCTGAGTTGGTCTTCTAAATCGATACAGAGTTTTTCTCCTCGGTTCGGCAGAGAATCCAGAATACTGTTATTTGTTGGTTTTTGAAAATACAATATTCAATGCGTTGTCTGAAGAACACGTGTTTCTTTGCTTTTAAACGACTTTTAAAATAATGTAATCAAGTGTAAGCCAAAGAGACTTTACACTTGCAAATGTTCCTACAATGCACACGAGTGGTCAGACAAGTGCGAAAAAACGCGATTTTGTTTACCCTTAGGGCGTTAAACGAAAATTAGCATTTCGTTCGAAACTTTCAGGAAAAGACAAAAAGAGCCAGGAGACTTAAATCTGCAAAAAAGAAAACAGAAATCAACTTACGGACTGATTTAACTTCATTAACTGAATATCGCTATCACTGTTTGTAAATATTTTAGCGCATAATGTTGGTTTGGGCAAGAGGTTGAGAAATGGGAATTATTTTGAAGAGCAAATGGAAAAGTCGAGGATATCCTGGTCTTGATTATTTGAAAGGTCGACGCAACTCTCTTGGACGGGTAGAAAACATTTACGATGGCGTTTTGTTGGTCTTAGACATCGATGGATCGTTGTTTTTACGGATTATTTCTGAAGCAGTAAATTAGAAAGGCGATGACATCATGTTGGTAAATACCTCATTCATTTCGTGGTTATCCGGTGAAATTAAAATTTAAACAAAATAAATTAAGCAATTCTTTTTAAAGTGATAAGAGACAAAATGGGATCAAAAGACGAAGAAAGAGATTTGCATAGCGTACAGTAGTGAGAACATGGTTTGTTAAGCATTCCAAGGCCACATCTAAATCCAGGTTATACCCCGTTTTTGTGTCTTCCATAAAAAATAAAAAAAAACATCCAAAAAAGAAACGCATCAACGCGCACATAAACTTTCATTGGTTGACTTACTTGAGTCGCATGCACAACGATGAGCATACGAAATCGCGAGAACAACAGGGAGAGGAAAACATCTTGGCACGCTCTAGCTAGTATTTTTTTTTTTAATCTTCCCTTTTCCCAAATTTCAACGAAGCCTGGTGTCAACAAATGCTCACTGATTTCAGGTAACATTGTTTGTGGGGAAGGAGGAAGGGGGGGGGACTTTCAACTGACTTAATAGAGATGAATTACATGATTTCTGTTTGTTATGTTACATGGAGGGTTGTTGACCACCTAGTGAGGGGAGGCGTGCCAACTAGTTTTCCCACCTTATTGTAGTTTCAATAATGGGCACTCTGCCTCTCGAGGGGGGAGGGGACGGAAGAACAAACACGTAAAGCGAAACGCAGCCTTTTTCCATACAATGTTTTGCGCATCCTTAATTTACATGATTTTATAAACGATACCATGCGTACATTGGAAAACTGGCTGTTAGGCTCAGCTGTATAGAAAATTCCACGTTAGAACTGCTTCTCATTATTTCTGCCATGTTGATTTTTGCGCATAGCAACTCTTAATCGTTCATCTTGTCGGCAGTTTTTGCTTACATCTGCGTCGTTTAGCCCTTCCAAATCAAAGGCTACGTGTGCTTTTCTTGAGATGGAAGAGGTGAGAAAAGGTGTTGACAGTAACACGTGGTTTTAACATATTCAAGAATTGCCTTCGACCCAGGAATAAATTTTCGTTGATCTAAGTACTTTTTTCTTTGTGTATACATGTGTACAGGTATCTTCAGATGACTCTGATAGTGACAAAAAGCAACGAGAGGTTATCTTCAGCTAATTCCTTTAAAAAACAAAGAAAGGATGCCACCTTTGTAAAATTTCGTACCGAAAAACCAATCCGAGGTGACTGGGAAGGCCTAAAAAAATGTAGAGGGGTAACATCTGTTCCTCCTGGTGTCTTCTTTGTCTCCTAAAAGCTCAATCAGATTACACATGAAAATACCGTGGCCGGTTGAGTTACAATAGTTTCGTCTTTTTACTGAAATTCGTAACTGCCATACTGATTTGGATACTATTGAACCCGATGGACTGTTTAAACTGTAAGTAGCTGTGTCAATTTGTCGTAGGTTCTTTTTGTTTTTCGTGACTCTGATTACGCTGCTATTACTCGATGAATTCCTGAGAATCAAACTTACTTGTCGTCGTGATACTTTTTTGCCTCGGCCGAACGCCATCAATGTGTAATCAAACATCATTTTCTCGTAAAATGAAGCGGTAATTGAATATGCGAATCAGTCTTGGCGCCTACGCGACGGATCTCTTATTCGATCGATCTTCACTACTTAGCGTGACAGCGTAAAAAAAATTGCTACTTCTGAATGCGAGAAGTCTTTTGTTGATGAATGTGATGTCAAAGACGCTTTGGAGATGGAAAGTAACGCGGTTCATTTCCCCAGTGACAACCTGGAATCAGTTCCCCAAATTTTACGTTAAAGACGATTGACTGAAGTCTTAAGTCTTAAGAATATTGTTCATAGACAACATCTTGGTAAACAATAACATTTTCTGTTAGAACTTGCTGTGACTTCTCAATTCAAGTTCAAGGGGTCTTTTTGCAGTTGGATCCACAAAAGGGACCGGTTGCTATTTTTTGCCAGGGGGGGAGGAATATTTTGTGTTTGTCATGATAAAATTTACCTGATCCCCCTATAAGGCTCTGTACTATTCTTATGATCCCGTCTCTCATCCCCCCCTCTCTATACTCTGATAGCGGTGACTGACCCCCCCCTCCGTTTTCCCTGAAAGCCATGTGATCCCTCAACATCATCCAACACCCCACCCGCGAGGCGATAAATACTGACAAGTTTCTAAAGAAAGAGCATGCACATAAAAGCGTTTTATATTTGTTTAATTCTCTGTTAGATGGTAAATCGTCTCCGAGACAATCGCAAGAAAAAACAGCCACAAGTAATTACACAGAAGATAGCAAAGATGATGACGATATGAACTCGCCATGCGCATGTCAGAGATGGCTTTTTACCACCTTACTCATGCCAGTATTTGCTGTTTTATCAGTTATTGGATTCGTTCTTGTTGTTTTACTCATGCCGTGTAAGTACTGTTGCAACTCTTTTACAAACTTACTTATGGATATTGAAAAATTTGGCTGAGGATGGACGGTATTCTTAGAGATGTGGTCGTCGAGACATGACGTCTGTCAGGAGCTCCTACGTTGGATTGATTTCCTTATTGACCCTAACATCAGTATGCATATTCTCCAAACTGTTCTCTATTCATTTCCCATAACACTGCTAAGATCATTTTTGTTACAGATTAAGGACCTCTTCAATTGGTGATCATGTCCTTTATTCTCATTACCGTAATGTTTGATTCAGTAGTGATTCTGTGAGGAGAAATTAGATGTAAGTCACAGTTAGGGGTCAAAGGGATAAAAGGTGCGAAACCTGTGGTGACAGCCTCCCGACGATGTCTACGCTATCTCTTAATTGGGCAGGGCTCCAATCAAAACGATAACTTCAGTGGAAAGACCCAACAAAAAGTGTTTTCAGACGGAGGGTTTTCAGAGGATCCGGGGCCCGGGGCCCGGGGCCCGGGGCCCGGGTTCGCCCCCACTCTCCCCCTTCAGATATGTGGGTGTTCTTACGACTTTTCTGAAACCAAAAATTCTTCCAACAACATGATCGCACAGTGCAACTCAACTTGAAGTATTAAAAATTTCCTCATCTTGATACATATCGTAATCAGTAATGTCTATTTCGGCTCTAATGTAAAAAAATCTGTATTTTCTGAATCAAAGCTTAGACCCCCTCGTCAAAAGGGGATTACCCCTTGATTCTTGGATCCGACCCTGGTTTAGTTAAAAGATATGCCAACGCGTGCGACAGGTCTATTTCAGACCTGCTGCATTCGATTCATTTTATATCACTTCCCTCCCCCTCCCCAACACACAACCTTATTGAATTCCACTGAGTGACTTTCATTTCTCTTGCTTTCACTAAATATTTTTTTCTTTCCACAGTTCGTTTATGTTGTCCTCAAGGTGGAGTTTACACCAATGTTGTAACATTTATATTTGAAGTATTTATAATGGCTCCCTGTCTCGCATGCAAGTGGGCAAGAGGTAAAAGAACACCGCAAGCTAACTCTGCCTCGAAAAAGCCTCGCTATGGTGGAACAGATGATTTGGAGCTTGGCGACAAATGACGAACGCTGCAGTACGATTTCTGTGAAATTAAACTACGAACATGTCTAATTTTCGCTTCCTGCAAATTTTTTTCAGGCCGCAATACCAAGGGGAGGGTTCTGAAGGAGAAAATTAATCCTTTACACCCTAACATCAGTATGCATATTCTCCAATCTTTTTTTTTGTCGTTTTCTAAGGTGATGACAAGGAGAATTTGTTTAACAATCAAGGACTTCTTTGGTTGATCACCATTTCTTTTATTATTGTGATCTTTATGTTTGATATAGGGCTGATTTTGTACGGAGAAATCAGATGCAAGTTACCCATAGGAGTAAAAGGGTTAGTGGAGGCGTGGGACTTGTCCACTCTAAGTGAGGAAAATGGGATGGGTAGCTCTTCTTTTTCTTTACTACGGTACTTGAGATGGAGAATGCTTTCTCATGCGCTAGTGTCCTTTGCAACTGAATTACCCCTCTGCAATGCAAGTCAAGTCAGATAAAAGATCTTATGGGGTATTTTATTTCACCAAATTGTGCCTTGCCACTGAAACAATCAGAACGGGTCGTCATTAATATTTTTAACCTACTCTGTGCCACAGCATTGTTTACGGAGGTTCTTAAATCAGAGTTGGGTGACACGAAGGGCACCCAGCACTTCCGGAAGCACGTCCTTAATCGACAAACATAAAATACATGAAGTGAGCAAGTTACCAATAAGTCTGCCCGCCATCAGCCCTTCCCTTCTGGCCTGAAATCTATTTAGTAATGAAACTAACACAGAAACAGTACCCTTCCTGGGTGTGCAGAGGGGATTGGGGTGAAGTGACAACTAACAAAAATGTCCCCTTCGCACCGTGTGCTAAAATGGTTGAATAAAGTGAAACAATTGCTCTGAAAAACTTTGAAGAAACGCCAAGGAAACCGGCTAGGTAATCCCGTACCAGGTACTTGACGAGCTAACTGAAGCAGAGTAGTGTGTTACAGTGACAGGGCATGGCCCAAGGGACCCTTTCCTCTACCAAGAAAGATTTGTTCTCATTGCTCCTTCATTAACACTATTAAAGAGGATCTTTGCGGAGGCGAGAGAGAGAAAGGGTTAATCACTTGCTTAAATGTAATTGTAGTGTTCAGCTTACACAAATTGTTGCACTTTTTAAGTTAACGCGGGTCGCAAGTCGCGCGCGCGGTAGGCCAATGCACACTCAGCTAACGTGTGATCTCCAGTTGTCACTGCTCACCAACGAAACGCTCACAAGAAAAACCCAACAAACAAACAACCTGAGCTGCAAATTCGCGCTTCTTCTGTAGGTCATATGATGTCAATGAGTAGAAAAATATTGTTACATGATGCCTCACTTCCTTTTCACATTTAAAATCCTTTAGCAAGAGGCTGCATTATTTTGAAAATCCACCTTAAGAAAATCAAATACATATGTTAATCCGAGAGACGGGACATATCCGTATCAAGACCCAAAAATATTTTTGAATACAAGGTAAATTTTCGTTTTTTATTTATTAAAAATTAAACTGGTACTTATGTTATTAAGTTACGTCTGAAGACTCAGATTGAGTTGTATATAGAATTTTTAAGATTCAGAAAGAATATGTAAAGATTATGAATTTAAAATTGCATATTGTCTTGTTGAGTGAACTCTGTAACCCCCAAGATCTCTTTAGTAATTCTCCTTACTGTCTACTGTACGATTCTTATGATGTGCATTTGGAGAATTTGGCATTGGATGAAATGACAATTCCCGAATTGTTATTGCAATGATTTTTTAAGGAGAAATTCTGCCGCGGTCCTTCATGGGAATCAGAGTGTCGATAAAGTTGCACTCCACTGGGTCACTGAGCTTTTAATATAATTTGACCCGTTTATTTCCTATCCTCTTATTGCGTTTCAATGAGAGTTCACAAAAAATAAACTGTTCGCTTCAAGTTCACAAAAAAAGAACCATCCCGTAATGAAGAGGTTGATCCCATCAGAGAATCCACGTTTAGAGAGTTGAAAGTTTGGATTTGTCTTATTTGAATCATTCTTTGTTGAAAGTGTAATAACCATGTTTGGTTGCAATGTGAAAAAAAAAACAAACAAAAAGACATTTTTCACACCTTTTTTATCATGCAAACTACAGTTGTATAAACTCTCTGCTGCCTTAAACAAAAGAATGGGTTAAAACGGCTCAATTGCGAAAAGTAGACAGTTAAGTGGTAAATAAAGGAATATTACTTGGTGGAATTGCCCACATGTAAACCTACGTTCCAAGCAAGAAAACTGCATGACACCCATCCTGTTCACACCCATCCCCATTTACCAGCAAAAGCTTAGACTTCTTACAATAGCATCTGGTCTTTGTAGTAAAGTTACAAGTATAATGACAAGTGACATTCACATATCCTACTCTGTACATCTTTATTTTATCAAAAGAAAGAGGAGAGCTGGATTGAGCAACGCATTCAAGGAGTTACAAGCACACCAAGAAACATCTGCAAGTAAACTTTGAAAACAATTGCCTACAACAGACATTTAGCAAAGTCATTTTCTAGTCAGAAAGGCATTACAATATAGCATTGTTCTTCAATGATGTAACAACTTTCCCCTGTAGCCCTGAGCTTTCCTTCAAGAGGTATGAGAAAATGTCTAAGTGCTGATTTTCTTTGTATTGTGCTATCAAGATTTTACAAGTTAAACATTATTCTATCATCTTGAGGGACAAATGCAGCCCATTGTGTACAAAAGCATGAAAAGCATTACAACACTGGTCTTGCTGATACGATTTCCTTGATGGTTGTCATGCATGCAGGGAACACTTTGTGACAATTCCATTGTGATGAACACCAATAGGTTTAGCAATTCAGTTTGAATATTCAGAATTGGCAGTGTACTGGGAGCAAAATAAACTTATGGGAAACAAGAGGAAAAGAAACGTACACAGAGAACTATTAATTTTAAAAAGAATGAAACAGCTAGCTGTGTTTGGTTTGGTTGTCTACAGCACTTCTGAACAACTTTTTGTATTATGGAACCCAATTTTTTAACAACAGGCAAAAATATGTTGGCTTTGCTAATTTAACTCTTTCACTTTCAAAATCTGTCTTTACTATCTGCCATACATTACTTTGGATATTATTTCTTAGAATTAGAATTAGGATATTATTGTTAACCCCATGTTGATTAATTTTAAATTTTCAACACTTGCTTCATGAACCATGTGTTGTTATTGTCATGGCATCCTGAGTCAATGTAAAAGAGTTAAATACCTGTACATGTATGACAAACAGTTTCTTTAAATGGGAATTTAAGTAAAAATCATCTTTCCACCCTGCTGTAATTTCACCCTTGTGCCATAACTAGTACTGAACCATTGTAGATTTCCTTACACAAAACATGAATATCTTTCATCAAAAGTAGTGTGTTACAGCATCTTCTTTGCTAATGGAAATGATAAGATGATATTGCCAATGAGGACAACCATTCCTCATCATTTCCCTTTTGCTACAATATAAGTATTTATACCACATCTGATATCTACATGTACATGTTAGACTTAACCAATGTTGTGTACCATTTATCGAAAATAAGTCATGTTTGCGTCTGTATCCAATGGAGGAAATTCATTCACCTTGTTCTCTGATTAAAATATTTAGGAGGTTAGGAGGTTAGCAGGCACATTTATCCTGATTTGCCTGCTGATCTGTGTGCAGTGAGTTTGCTGGCCTGCCTGCCAGTGGTTTGTGCTGCACTCCTGACTCTGCTGCATTAAGATCCAAACTAGTAAAAGCAGATGAATAGAGGGGGTGAGTTTCTAAAGAAACTGTGGTGCTGCAACAATGAGAGGTATTACAGGATAATTTGGTTTTATCAAATGAGTTGATGATGTAAATTGGTTACAATAAACAGTTTTTAAAGCTGTCCTTTCAAACATTAGTCCTTCTCCATTTGCTCTGACAATGGGCTAATGCTCAAAACATCAGCTGTAGAGACTCTCCACAGTGGCCAATTTACATTATCAACTCAGTTGATGTACATGTACATGTAACCAAATAACCTGGTAAAAAGCAGACCAAGCATTATCAAATGGAATACACAATAATTTTATAATGATTACATGTCCTGGCTTTTTCTCAAATAACATTAGTGCAGAAGGAAAGCTTCCTTCCAAAAGAAAAAGTTTATTAAGGGGACTTTCCCCCACATTCCTTCATATCAGCATGTACTCCTAGATAATTTAATTACACTGCAGCCATACAATGTGAATTTTGTTTGAGTGAGTCAATGTTCTCACAGTGCAGCTCAAAGACAAGGGAACATAATATACAGGTACCATATGCACCTATGAGTGTTTTAATTCCAGGCAAAACTCTCCTGTCCATATAATAAACAACACTATAACAGAGTGAAATACTGTAACAGGTGTAACAATAACCTCAGACATACCTTCCATCCTGAATATTTTGGTAAATTTTCTTTGCTGTATCAAGGAAGGCATCCTCTACATTTTCACCCCTAAAGAATGAAAACCAAAACTTGTTCATAACCAAAGAATGCAAAGTTGTCAGTACTGTGGAGGAGTGGCATAAACATGGGATAGTAGTGCACATTTGTACTTTTTAAATAATACTTATAACTATGGCCCTTACGTTTTTGCACTTGCTTCACAATACAGAAGTCCTACAAGGATAGAGAAAAATAATATGGTTACAATTGAGATGAATTTTACATGAGCAAAACTACTCCAGGCAGTGTTTATTGTACCTGTTGATTCATTTTACACTCCTAGGAGTGACTAATGAGTAATTTCTCTTTATAACATCTATGCATCATCTGGCAGAGGTCTAGTTAAAATAAAAACATCAACTAGCCAACACTAATTGATTTGACACCACAAGTCATATAAATTGTATGGCAGGCATTTAGAAAGCAAACGTGGTAATAACAGGGTTAAAATGGCTCACCATTCTCCTCAGCAAATTGTTTGGCTTCTTCATAAGTCACATCTCTCTATTGTGATAAGAACATTCAAGAAACAATGACAAACTGACTGCAAGTTTCACCAATACTATGCACACAAATGCACATGAACAGCTGTACATGTCTGTTGAGGTCAATTCTTACAGAAGGAGAAATGGCCAGTATCAAAACACAGAAAGATAGACTAACCCCTGATTGATTTGATATCAAATATCTGTACTGACCTGAGCATCTAAGTCTGACTTGTTCCCAATAAGAAATATCACCTAAAGGTAATTAACAAAAAACTGTAAAAAAAGGAAACAACTTCATGCACTACAAAAAAGAAATTTAATACAATTCGTAGCAACTAGAAATTACTGTTTTCATTGTGAACATTTTTCACTTCTGGTTTCATCCACCCTTATAAATCACAAATTTATATTGAGCTACTACATGATACTATTTTCTGTTTTCCTATTTAGCTTTCAGTTCCTTTATTATCTTTTTAATTCATTCCAGCACTCTTTCCAATCTCTGATCAAAAACAGTTGAGTGCATGTAACCTGGTTGAAGAGTAAAGAGCAAGTTTTCATGTCACTGTGTGAGTGACAAACTGCTGTGCATCTTATTGGAAACCCTGCTATTACTTGTAGTAACTTACTGTGTTTGGGTTTGTTAAATTTCTTGCATCTGTGAGCCAGCTACTTAGATGATTGTAAGTACTTCTCCTATGAAAGTTGAACAAACCAACAAACATTTATTTAATTACCATGATAAATCTTTTTTAAGTACCAGAGGTAACTGGTTGTTATCATTGCAAATATTACCAAACCAAGACTGTTTTATGTGAATCAAATTTCCCATCTTTGTTTTCTGGTCAGTGTTTACTAGACCTACTGTATGCTCCCTTGCCCAGTCACCATCAGTTCACAATAATTGTGGGAACAGGAACCCTCTACAACAGTCTTAACCAACTCACCACATATCATGGTCTAACATTTACAGAAAACATTATATGACATACCAAAACATTACTCCAAAGAAAAAATATACAGGTGTACATGTACATGCTCATTTTCCACAAGGAAATCTATTCTTACCTTGTAATATCATACACCATGAGGGCACCAGCTGCACCTCGGTAATAACTTCTTGTTACAGCTCTGAAAAATTTATTATTGCCCATTTAAATAACATAAGTTGTAATGGCTACTGGTAAGCACACATTCTTTGGCTCAAAGAAAGCCATTTCTAAGATGGATCAGTGCTATGTCTTAAAAAGAAAGAAAAGTGTGTGTATTTTGATGAGGAGAAGATGAGGAGAAGATGAAGTTTAACCCCTTGAACTCCCAGATTTTATCATTAATTCTCGTTACTGCCTAACATGCAATTCTTACAACATTAGCTCTGAGAATTTGGTATTGGATTAACTAAAAATCCCCCGACTGACATTTTTCCTCAATCTCATTGCCTGTCTGCATGACAATATATTGGCATCGTATAGAGAAATTCTGTCTTGGTCACTCGTGGGTATTAAAGGTAAAGGCAAAACACACCTAAATCTCTCTTGTCCAGCTGTATCCCAAATTTGAAGTTTGATCTTCTGGCCTGATACTTCAATTATCCTTGTTCCAAACTCTACACCAATGGTGTGTGGGCAGTCTGCCATAACTATCAGAAGCAAACAATACTTGTGTTAACTTACATCTACACACTTGCATAATTTAAGGTTCAGCTTAGGTACATGTACATTGTTATCAGAACCCATAAGAAACTGTCTCCAATTTTTATTTAGCCTTTTCACTCCCATGATCTAAAATTTGATTCTTCACATTGTCTGTTATATATTTCCTATATTGTTACCTCTAACAAGTTAATAAATTTTGACTAACTGCTCAGCAAGTAATGAATAAACATTAAAACTACAACTAACCCTTTAACTCCCAAGATCTCATTAGCAATTCTCCTTACTGTCTGCCAAATAATTCTTTTGTTGTTATTTTGGAGAATTTGGTATTGGATTAACTGATAATCCCCTAATTGATATTTTTCTTTATTCTCATCACTTGTCTGCTTGATGTTGGTTTGAAATAGTAAGGAGAAATTCAGTCTTGGTCACTCATGGGAGTTAAAGGGTCAAAAACTGTACATGTACTGCTAAAGTTATATGGTTGATGAAATATGAATGAATGTCATTGCTTTCAGAGTGTGCACAAAAAAAATTATTAGAGACTTTCAAAATGAAACTAAAATGTATAATTACATTTCTTTTCTGTAAATTGATGAAGTAGACAGGATTTGCCTACACCCATATCTCCTACAAAAAAAACCACTATATTTCAGTATAAGCCCTCAACATGCACCTGTATCTCATTTTACTACTTTTTGTTTAATACAAACTTTTCATATATAACAGGTGTCATGGATCCTACTGAACAGAAACTTTTATCTCAAAATACAGAATTGCAAATAAGTTTACTCCTATATAAGCCAGTATTATTTGTGAAAATATTAATTTGCTTAAAAATTCTAGGTTGTAGAAGATTTGCTCTTGAGGATCAAGTATCAGGTATAGCGTTTTGAGAATCAAGTTTAGGAGTACTGTCAACTTACACCTAAACCACATTGTAGCATGAACTTTGGGGAAAATTTTTCACTAAATATTAATATGGTAAGATAAAAGATACTGTAGATAAAAAAAAAGACAGAAGAGGGAAGGGACTGGCTATAAAAGTGGCTAAATTTTGAAATTTCGTATATCAAGAAAAGGTTATTAGTGCTGACAGGGCAGATAAAGACTAACTGAACTATAAAATGAACAACCTTTCAAATGATCGAAGTGTATATGGCCACTTATGCATGTCGAAACATTCCTCCTTAAAATTAATCTTCATCACGAAAGTGAAGTCACCTATAGAATTCTTAAACTAATTTTCCGAACAATAAATCAGCAACTACAGAGTGGAAAACTAACTACAAAATAAACGACCACGTAAAAAGACAACAAGAAAATTGGTTCCTTCTAAAGTTAGAAGGCTTGGCTTACCGATAATTATGTACTTGAATATGTAGGAGTAGTTGTAAGGTCCCGTTGCTGCCATGATCGGGAAGCTAAAATGCAAAAGAAGAATTTTCAAAAGGCTTCATTCGAGGAAAGAGTGCACTCTTTATGAATGACCCCCAAAGACGGAAATATGATGAAGTGCACCTTCAAAAGGAAATATTACGAGAATTTTCTTCAACCTACGATTCATGTACGGCTCTAGTTTCTACATGTAATATAGGACATAATTAGCAGATTTATCGCGATAAGAATTCAATTTTGTTGCTGAAATAATAACTGAAGACACACCAGAGGATTTCGTCAAAGCTAGCACGTGAAAATGTGCGGTCAATAAAGAGCAAGGAGAAGCTTGATGTTACCCACCCCCTTGAGAAAAGAACAGCTCTGCGTTGCACCACAAGAAGGTCACTGGGGCTCAATAAAGAACAGAGGATACACAAACCGTTCAAACTACTGCTCCCTTTAAGAATCCTTACCTCGCCAATTAATGAAAATACAAAAGCAAAATCCGGAAGATGAAGATGAGAAATATGGCGGATCCCGTGATTCGAAAATACCCCGATGAGCTAAAAGCACTCTGGGTACTCTAGATCGGAAACTTCTCGTGAATACCGAGGCTTCATCGACGAAAACGAACATAATTCGACTCAAAATTAAAAATAAGCGGTAGCAAAGCTGCATTAGTTATCAACAATGGTGGGTGAAAGTAGAGAGCGCTTATTGTGGGTGATAGCGAAGCACATCTGTCGAGTACATGGAAGATGAGTTCGGTTTGGAAGCGTTTGCAACGTGTAGGGAAAAAGGCGTCAAAGTTCCAGTTCACAGCTTCATATCAGTCTTTGACTGTTGAATGTGTTCGAGGTGGAAAATGGTAAGAACCAGATTCAAAACCTTTCGCCGGTCCATCGTACGTATGTTTATGTCCACATTTTAATATACGCCCCAACGTGACTATCCATGTTAATCCCAGAAAATAACTCATCACTACATGTTAAAATTGCCATGTTTTCACGTTCACCATGGTATCAACAGTTTTACTGAAACGTTCATCAGGATAGAAAAAAAATCGAAGCACCCGAGGGTGTATATACATCACAATTCCTTCCGTTTTTGAAAAGAAAATGAAACGAGCTTTCACGTGATTTTCAGTCTCTCTTGTCGTTGTCTTTGTTTCCTAGAAAATCATTCTTTTTCTTGGCTTTTAATCGTCGAATTTGATATTTGTATCAATATTTTTTTCTTTCGTCGTGGCATGCATGTAGTGCTCCTACGTGATTTGCAACGCGAGAAACCTCAGACATGCATGGGTCTCCGAGTTGAATTCAGTTAAACATAAGAAAATAAAAGCAAATTAAGAGCTAGAAAAAATTATGTGCTTTCGACGAAACAACAAAGAATTCATTTTCGTTAATTTTCACCTGAACAAAAAAATTATGACCATTTTGTATTGTTTGACCTAAACTATGTTTATATATGAGAAAGCAATTATTCAAGTGTTGAGTCAATACCATTCACTCATTTGTCAATGGAGTGCAAATTGTAGACACTAATGAATATCTGAAAGTGGATTTCATTATTTAATGTTAATTATTATGAACTTTGGAAACCCTGACCAAAAAATAGCTATAAATAGTTTGATCTTCAAGGTGGAAGGTTAATGTTCATATACACAAGATTCTGCTTATTTATTTTGATTTTGAAGCCGCTGATATTTAACCTTTTGGACTCTGAGGAATTTTGTAAGCCACTTAGAGAAATACATGAATCATCCATGGTTTTAATTTAGATGGTGCCCTTCCTGTTCTTGAGACAAACTGTACATCACTATAACCAGAAACAAAGGAACAGGAATTTGCACATCAATGATAAAATTAAACCTTAACATATTGATTGCAAGTTTTCAATTTTTTAAGAAAATCATCATGATTATTATTATTGCCACATGTAATTAAAAATTAAAATTATCTTAGTTTAATGTTATAAAGCATGAGTCTTCTCAATCTAACCTCTTTAAAAATTGTTATAGGCAGCCAAACAAACTTGTTATTGTGTGGACAAGAAGAAAAAGAAGAAAACTTTCCAAGGTGAATTTTTCTTTGAATACTTTAATTTTTGAAAATAATGTTGCATTTGCTCTGTAATTGGGACTTTCACCAACAATTGAACTGCATACAGTCTAGTGTCTTTGTGATGGATACTATTGAAAGCAAATGCAGTCAAACCTGTATTAAGGGGCACTGTATTGACCCTTTAAATCCTGAGATCTGATTTTTGATTCTCCCTTTTAGCTAGAAATTACATGATAATAAGTTAAGAGAATTTGGTGTGAGATCAAGATAACTTCCACCTGATAAGTTTGAGTGTTCTCATCACCTGTTTACTGAATACGATATGGATATTATAGGGAGAAGTTACATGTTAATCACTTCAGGGAGTTATTTAGGGTTAAGCAGTCACCCTGTATTAAGTGGTCAGTTGTCATAGTCTTGAAATTTGTTCTCCCTTAGTATTTTCTATTTCACCTGTATTCAGCAATCACCTCTATCAAGCAGTCACGATGATTGTTAAGACAATTCTTGTCCCATTGTTGTTAACTGATCACATTCAAGAATTTGTTACAAATTTGATTAAGATGCCATTCTTATGGTTGGACAATGATTAATCTAAGATGAAACTGAATAATAAGACGTTGACTTTACTTGATTATTTAAACTGTGCAGCCAATGTCATGGCAACCAGGAATCAGCAACCCTTTCCGAGGGATCATTGTTTGGCCAGAGCCAGAACCTGTTGAAATCAACGTTACTCTTTACAAGGTACATGTTAGGTAGTTTTTAGCTAAAGATACATGTACATGTTATTCTGCTAATCGAAAATCAGATGGTTCAGTCAAGGTTTTTGTAATATGTATTACTGTATACTCTTGGGCTAGGCTGGGCCAGGTCTGATACTTATCCTGTATTAGTTACATGAAAGTACCATGATACATGGAAAACAGGGCTTATTTCCAGTGCAGGGGGGCTGAAGAGTCAGTGCTGATGTAGGAACCCTCTGTATGGGTGTGGGGCATATTTTCCAAGAAAGTATTTTGTATGTTATTTTTGCTGATAGTAGAGGGGCTCAAGTGTGTAATTACCATACGTACATGTAGTTTGCTAGTCATTCTGAAACAGCTAAAAATTGAATTTCTGTTTAATGCACAATCAACAACATACAAAAACCCAATGTATCTTAAAACTACAGTGTAAACCTTGTATTTGTGCCACTTTTTCTTAAATCAAGGACCCCAAACCAGATAGTGAGTTTGAGGACAAGGAGTGGACTTTTGTCATTGAAGATGTAAGTTTTGAATATGAATAGTAATTATTGTCAGTAACTAGATAACATTCAGCTGGTTATAGTGTGTTCAGGTTTCATAGCATAATTGCATTCCATACTTCAGTAACTTAGCTTTACTCAATGTAACTAAGGAGATACCAAGCAGAATGCTAAATTACTTTTATTATTACTCCTAAAAGTCAAACTTTTGTCTTTACTTTGTCTTTTTTTTATCTATTTTTTTTCTCCCACCACAGGAAGCCCAGAATGGAAGAAGAAAGCCCATAGCTACAGGTGCTATCAACATGGTTGATTATGCCAGTGTGGAAAGCCACACCTTTGATGTCACACTTACCCTGAAAGTTGCCAGTAAGAAGTTAGTGTCAGCTTCCCTTGAATTGAACCTGACCTGTGTATTGATCAAGGAGGGGATGGCTACGTAAGTAACAACATGAAAAGACTGAGAGTGTTATGATTGTGCTAGAAAACAGGGTAACTGGTCAAATCGCCTGAGAGTCATCTTACTCGAAGTCACATCACCCAAAACCTGAGTTATGTTGCCTGAAATTTTAGTTATGTTGCCCAGAAAAAAAAGTCAAGTTGCCTTAAGAAACAAATACTAAATATATCAGAATTTCTGACCATAAATAGGCAATAAAGTCAACAATGCTTCATTTTGTTGTTAGAAACGGACAACACTTACCTTTATTGTTAGAAATGAATAACACTTTTAGAATCGTTACTGAAACATATTTAAATTCCGACCATACAATCAATTTCTTTGTAGTCAAAGTCTTCATGGTGGTGTTACAAACCATGAAACATTTTCTCAAGCTTACAAGATGTCAGTGAGTAAGAAATGATTACATGCCAAAGGAAAAAGACTTCATTTTGTTGTTGGAAATGAACAACATTTCCCTTTGTTGTTAGGAACAAACAATGCTTTTAGAATCTTCGTGGTGTAGTCAGAAACAAAGAGCACTTTAGTGATAAAAATTTGTCAACTTTATTGCCTATTTACAGTCTGAAATTCTGATCTTTTCAGTATTTGTTTCTTTGGGTGTCTTGACCTTTTTTTTTCTGGGCAACATAACTATAATTTCAGGCAACATAACTATAATTTCAGGCAACATGACTCAGGTTTCAAGCAACTTGACTGTAAACCAAAAATAGTATGCAAGAAAAAGATTTTAACTTAATGGAAGAAGTATATTGAGACAAAGGCCAAAAGATGATTGCTATTTGGATGATAAATTCTGATAAAACTATATTAGCAGCATTGTAGCAAAATGTATCTGGAAATGAATCGGATTAGAATTTACATGTATCAAGTGTAGATGATTCCTGTTGAGGAAAAAGGGGTGTGTGGTTGTGGGCTACAAGGCTGACTTTAACATGATGATGGTTGTGTAGATTGGTTATGGCTCTAATTTCAATGTGCTCTAAATACTATGGACAAGCACATGAGGCAATTATCAAATAACTGCCTTCTTTGACTGTAAGTTCAGTAGAAGAGGATTCAAAGGATTCTTTAAGACAGTAGTTTCTTTATGCACAATTTTGATTATTAGTCTGTATGTACATGTATGTGTGCTGGTGTATGCAAGTTGGTGTGTATGAGTTTGTCAGTTGGGGAGTTGACTGTAATTCCTTGGGTCACATTAGGATGATTAATTGTTAAAACTGTACCTAATTCTAAATTTGGACATACAGGTGTTGTTAAGTGGCGTTCCTAAAATTACCTGTTTTTTTACCTGCCTGCTGTTTTGTGAGACTCAGAGCCTTCCTTCAAAACTCAAAATCCCTTATAAAGAAAGTAGAGTTATTAAATATAAATAGTTTGTAAGATTTCTGCTGTAATTGCTACCTAAAGTTGTTCTTTTTTTTTTAATTTTTATTTTGGCAATAGTGATGATGATATGATCAGTATTGGTAGTATGATGAGCTTGAATGACTCCTATTACTTTGATGATAATGATGATGACATGGAAATGGCACCATCCCCAAGATTTCATAGACGAAACATGTCACAGGGCAATATGAAAGTACAAGGTACCATTACTAAAATAACAAAGTGTTGATTTACAGAATGATTCTTTAACAATTATTTGCTGAGTGCAAAGTGAATATTGTTGAATAACCCCTAAGATGAAGTCAAGGGGATTACTTGACAATATTTGCTGAGCCTGAGGCAAATGATTGTTTTAGCATAATTGTGCAGGTGCTTTTGAATTTCTTGTAAATTAATTTTGTTGTTGAAACTGTTCACAAGAATTTAATAATAATAATAATAATAATAATAATAATAATAATAATAATAATAATAATAATAATAAGCTTTATTTCAACTGATAAGACTAATCAGCAATCTAATAGATTGGCTGGTATGAACTAGTGATCAGCATGATAAATAGTATCAATCAAAATCAAAGGACAAACCCTATAAAGAACTAAAGTATGAATTAAAATAAAATAAAATATATAGAAAAGCTAATACTTATTTTAAACTACATAAATGATTAGATTTATCGTGTCCTAAAATAAAGTAAATAAAGTAAATTAAATAAAGTAATAAAGTAAATTTGATGGGTTTATTTAATTCAATCAGCAAAAACTACATATCATTTTTTCAAAAAGTGCTAGCTTCTTTTGTGCTCTTCTTGATTGAGTTTTCTTCTATCACATTTATCACTTCCCCTGTAGCATTGATGGCAGGCAGCTATTTTGAAATTTAGTGCCCCAGCTTTAGTCACCTTATGCTTGGTGATTATGGTGAGATATGATGCAATCCTCAACCAACTCTATAATCACTGTCAGGACATTCCTTTAAATTGCCTCAAAATTTCAATGTGACATGCACTTATTGGTCAAAGGCAAATGGCAAAAGTGAACTCTGATTAAGGTTTAAAGGATATAAATTCTTCAGCACTGCAGATGAGGAAAATCAGCACAAAAAGCAATCTCATATTCACAGTTTAATGCAGATATTTTAAGGATTAAAAGATGCAGAAACATACCTAATCATCCTGTTCATCAGATATTTTAACTTAAGATTAACATACCTTATCTCCTGTTCATCAAAAACAAGATTCTTTGGAAGTCAATCTATTGCCATATTAGAATAAAAACAACATTTGGAGGGAAAAAAACAATACCAATTTGTTTGTTTCTCACAAACAATGAATTCTCTTCCAAAAGCTGTAACCAGCCTGCAAGAGACAGAATTTGCCAGAAGCAGATCACCAACAGCATCTCCAGTCCTTGGCAAGAAACGTGGCAGAATAAGATCCAAATCATCTTTGGGAGAAAATCCTAAGACTCTAGTTAATGACCTTCTGAAAGCAGAAGGCATGAAAAGGTGAGAGGAAAAGAATGATGAAGTCAAGGTACTCCTCTTCTACATGCATGGTCGTATATTACATGTATGCCCTTTAGAACACCTTTTTTGCCCTAGACTAAAAATCAAATGTTTGATTTAAGGTCAAGCACTGACTCAGATGCATCTGCAGACACTTCTGATGGTGGCCAGGTAATGTTGAATCCCCTCATCATCTTGTACACAAGTATTCAAGACTGAGCCCAGTCCATGCTGTAAACAACAAGTGTGACTGTCCCATGGTGACAGATAATCAAAGTGCATTATTTGAGTATCACATGTGTACATATGCATATTTTTTGTACCTTCCAGTCTTTTATTACATACATCATGCACGTCTTTGCTAATTAATATGATGAGACGTGTGTGAGTGTGTGTGTAACATGATAGCTTTTTCCAGTATATAAGTTTTCCTTTCACGATTTGTCACTTCTTCAGACACAAAAGTTCTTTCTTTTACACAGCAATGTAACACAAAGGATTCTTTTGGCATCAAATATGAAAGACATATCACACGCGCATGTATATGCGTATATACGCACGTGTATATGTATATGTATGCGCAACTCTGTGTGCATATGTGCTTATACAATTTGTGTGTGCACTCAACGCATATCTGATCAGTACTGTATGTACATTTATTTCAGGATACTAAGGACAAGAGTAAGATGGAATCTGAGCTGATAAGTAAGTGGTGCATTGTCCCCTGATCACTTCAACAACTTTTAACTCCCTTCCTGGCTCAACAATACATAAGAGGTCACCTTGGCAACCAAGCCGCAACCCACCTCTAGGCACTTGTCAACACAACATTAATAAACCAATGTGTGGAATGATGTGTGGGGGGAAGAGAGGAAAACAAAGCAAGCAAAGTAGGAAAGCAAACTTGACACGAGCATAAGGCAATGCCCGTGTAAACCACCCTTGACCTCCCCCTCCCTTAATTTCCCTTCCCCCCCTCACCCCTCCCCTTACTCGACCCCCCCACCCATGATCCCCCTTCCCTTCACCCCTTCCCCTGACCCCTCTTTCCTTGACCCCCCCCTCCTTCCCTTGACCTCCCCTTCCTTCCAAAGTTTAGTCCCGTTCTCTTTCTTTTCCAATAAGAGTACTTTACCGATGAACCACTCCTGATGGGAAGTCCGGCTGGTGGGTCATTGTGGGATTCACTGAAAGCTTTATCATTTGCGTAATGTATATTAGCTGTGATGAAAATGTAGTTATTTGTCTTGTAGAATGGGCACGAACATGTACTAAAGGCTACCGTGGAGTGAAAGTTAAGGATATGACAACCAGTTGGAGAGACGGACTTGCATTTTGTGCAATTCTACACAGCTTCCATCCGGATAAAATGTGAGTGGTGATTATCGTGCATCTTCGTACCTGAATGTGCTTCTTAATACATGTTACTTCAGAGTACACAATGGTTTTCTTTTGCTTGGAGTATTTGTGATACATCTGCTGTTTTTTTATTGCTTTTCTGTAGTGACTTTTCCTCACTTGATGCAACGAACATTAAAGAAAACAACAAGTTGGTAAGGACTTGTTTTTGATATTTCACCATATTAGTAGCATGCTATTTTGTAGGTTTCGCTAGTTGTAACGTGGTGTTGTTAAGGTGAGCGGTTATCTTAGTTAAAACACTGTAGAATTATCTGACTGATCGTGCAGTTTGAGCCGAAGGATGAGGGTTGTCGTAAAAAGGACTGTTATCGGTAGTAGTTATGAATATTTTGCCAACTTGAGGAGTTCTCTCTTTTAAACGATCAAACTGCAGGATCGGCCATTAAAGCCATTTACACGTCTTTACGAAATAGCATGTTAGAATGAACATTTCAACCCCGATTTTTGGAGCTGATTTTTAAACTTTATAAATTTTATAATTATCTCTCTTGACTTTTTTTATCGGCTGACCGCTCAACTTCACTAATCTTTGCACAATTAATTCATCTCATATTTATTTTTTTTTTCCAATCATTTAGGCTTTTACTGCTTTTGAGAAGCTGGGTATTCCACGTCTTCTGGACCCCACCCAGATGATGTTCACAACCGTTCCGGACAAGCTATCTGTGATGACATATGTTTATCAAATCAAGAATCACTTCAGTCGGACGCGACAACCGCTCCCTCCGAGCCCACTCAGTCTAGAGACGTCACCCAGACCGCGAAAATTACCCGTCCCACCACAAATGACGGTTACCTCCACAGAGGAACCAACAGAACAGGATGATGCTGCTGTAGAAGACAATGATAGCGGTGGAGACAGCGAGGTGGCCGCCTCCAAGGACAGCAAGGAAGAGAGCAACCCATTTTTGGACGATCAGAAGGGGGACGATGAAGCTGCCACGTCCGATTTGTCGACGAATCCTTCTGCCAGCAGTTCAAGTGAAGTTAACGGGAGCGAAACAATTAGCAAGCAAAACATTGAGACGGCTTCTTCGGATGCAAGCGTAGATAGGAAAAATTCCGCGGAGGAGAATGAAGACAAGAAGAAAGATATTCTTGTAACAAGTGATGTGAAACCACCTCCTAAACCCCCAAGAATTTATCAGACTGATACCAAAGACGATACGAGTTTGAAGACTGACGATAATGAAAATAAGAAGGAAAATACTGAATCAAAGCCGTATAATCCTTTCGATGAGGACGATAGCGAAGATGTAAAGGAAAATAACAAAACCGATCCAAGTACAAAATCCACGAATCCCAGCAAAGGTTACAACCCTTTTGACGATGACGACGATGATGTTGCAGCTGATAGCTCTACAGAGAAGGACAGCAAGCCAGGTTATAATCCATTTGACGATGATGACAATGAAGAAGACGCAACAGAAACTAATAAAAACGCCAAGAAGAAAACATCCGGTGTAATTAAAAGACAAGTGTCTTATCCCCATTATTATAATCCGTTCGAAGAAGGCGCTGACGATAAGTCGAATGCTACTGATGAAGGCTCACAAAGAACTAAACCCAAAGAAAAGAAAGAGACTAAGGACACTGTGTTAAACTCGACAACAAAGAGTTATAATCCTTTTGAAGATGATGATAATGATGATGAAAGTTTGAATGATAACAAGACTGCCGTGCAAGGTAATTCAACAAGAAAGTCTAGCACGGAAAGGAAAACCAACGTGAACAGAGTTGCCCAGTCTGGGACGAGTTCTCCGTCTGCTGCGCTTAAACCGGCGGTAAGGACATTAACCCTACACAGCCTAACATCTACATGCATATTCTCCTCACTGTTCTCTACACATTTCTTATGATACCACAAGGAAAATTTGTGTAGCAATCAAGGGTGATCGTTGTTGGTGATCATTTCTTTCTTCTCGTGACGTTAATGTTTGATTTAGGGGTGACAATGTAAGGAGAAATGAAGTTCTAGTCATTTTTACGGGTGGAAGAGTTAGAGAGGTGAGGGGCCATGCTTACAGTAACGGCATTGTTTAAATTATGTAAAATAGTCGCATGTGTTGAGGACTGGAGAAAGTTTTCTATTTTCCTCTTGGATCTACTTAGAATTAATGGAGATGTTAACAAAACATCAGTGAAGAGGTCTGTAATCAATTAATTGCTTTCAGTTTCAACCCTCTACCTCCCATGACTGACCCAGACAGAATTCCTCCTTACAACATCAGTTCAATAACAAGCAGATTAGTGATGAGAATAAGAAAAATATCAATCAGAGGATTATTACCCAATTAAAATCACAAGACAGTAAGGAGAATCACTCATGAGATCTTGGGAGTGAAAGGTTTTAATCAATGTATTTCTGTATTGCAGGAGACAAGTGCAAAGAAAAGGCGTGCCCCACCCCCACCGGCAGTACGTTCATCTGATGATCCCTGGACAGCGAGACTTCCCACAGAGGTTACTCCCGCTGTGAGTGTTGAGTTGTTATTAATATAAAGGAAAGTGTAGACTATGTAATATGAGCTTGAGGACCACTCCATGAACTGTTACTCTTGGTTTCGAACAATCTTTAATTGAAAAACTGAAATAGGAAGAAAGAAAGAAGTTTTCTCATTAGGGTGAACATTAACAGATCTTAGGTCATCAGTTAAATCGCCATATTTTGTGTACACGTCCTTAAGTGAGAGTTTAGATAAGATCACGATAAATGAGTGACTATTAATCTAACCATTTCTTTCAGAGACAACGTCGGTCGCGGCCGACAGAAACAAGCGGTGAACAGCAAACATCTCCTAATGCATCCCCCGCGAAAAGGGCTCCAAAGAGGGCCGCCCCTGCTCCTCCGAGGCGACCACCTCTCATCCCCTCTTTTGATGAATGGAAAAGTGAGCAAACGGACGGAGGCGCTGCTGGTGATAATGAAAGACCAGCAGTTTCTAGCACAGGAGACACACATGAGAAATCTGAAAGCAGTGGTGGGGCATCTCCAAAAGCAGCACCCAAAAATTCCACCGCCGACGCAGCTAATCAGGCGGATATAAAACTTCTTGCGCGCCAAGTACTGATGGACGCGCGGAAGAAGGCTGGCGCTAGCGGTGCGTTACCTAGGGAACGAGTGGCAGAAATCGCCAAAGCTTCTAAAGGGCCAACCGCTGATAAAGCAACCGCTAACTCAGATGAGCGCGAAGGTGGTCCACAAGGGAAGGAAATGGTAACAAGATGGCTTATGAATGGCTGTTTTTGGTGATAGCTTGGTGTCGGGCTTGGTTCATTATGTTTGCCACGTTACCAGTGGTTAATTGGCATAATTCTTTGCTGTTTTTGTTGTTTACTTTGTATTAAATGAAAAACCAAATAGCTACTTTTTCTCTCTCTTGTCAAGCTGTAATTTATTTCCTTTTAAGTTAGCCCTGCTAATTTAATGTTCTAAGGTTAAACCCTCCAGCTGATATGTTAGATCATTCTCAACACCTGTTTGCTATACATTGTATTAATTTTTTTTTCAAGGAGATGCTGTATGTTAATCACTTTAGAAAGTTAAGAGTAAAACCTAATTCTTATCTGTCATTGCAAGGTTGATGACGAGGAGGCTTTGAGAAAAAAGGAGAATCTGAGACAAAGAAAGGTTTGTCGATCTATTGATTCGTGAGCTGAAGTCAAAAGAAAACTTTAAAAAAAATGATTAACTTCACCGGAGGTCACTCCTTGATGAAATTGTAAACGCTTGGAAGTTTAACTCCTCTAGAGCTCTGACTCTTCCTTGATTTCGTTTCTCTATTTCGTTATTTACCCTTCATTCGAGAGTTATAAAAGGAAAATTTTTAATGGTTTATAACAGACTGTGTATAAAGCCATAGTATTTCGCTTGATTGCAGGAGGAGCTTTTAAGACGAAAAAAGGCCACAGAGAAAGCACAAAAAATGGTCCAAAATGCCGTTGATAAAGAGAGGGCACAAAAACAGCCTTCTTCACCGCAACAAACGATAAGTGAACAAACAAATCAGGAAAGTAGCACTGGGGGAATCAATACTGACAGCACTAGTGGCGATCAGAAGACGGCTGGGAACAAGAACTTACAACACCGTCCGCTGAAACTGAAGGATAAAGAAAATGATGAGAACAGACGAAAATTATCACCGCCTCCCAAGAATGAATTTAAAGAAAGCGACGAACTGCAGCGAATTAGACAAGTTTTGAATCAAGGAAAGAAGGACAGAAAATCTAGTAATTCTGATAATTCTGGTCAAGACAAAAACTCTTTGCGTGCACAAAGTCCCAAGCCTTCGCAGGAAGGATCAAGAAAAATTTCGCACGGTAAACCATCCAAACATAGTGCGGTGAATGGGGTGAAAAATATTCCTGATCCTACGGCGCCTCCGCGCCCCAAAGCACGTGGAGCCAACGCAGGTCTGCATGCTTATGTTAAGAGTAGAAAAATGAACTTTGAGGCTTTTGAGGTGCCATCGGATCAAGCGCAGCAAGGTGACAAGCAAGAAAATATAGGGACACAACAAGGTGAGAGAATGAACCCCAGTTCAAGTGATTGCTGATATTAGCAGAATAGCTTCACTCGTTGTAGAAAAGTGTAATTCTCGTTATTTTTTTGTGTCTAAAGTAATAAGGGATGGTAGCAGATATGAAAGTTTTTCCTTTGTTGTTCGTCCATGGTTATTAACCCTTACACCCAAATATAAATATTCATTTTCTCCTCACTTTTCCCTTTACATTACCCATGGCACTGACAAGGAGAATTTGTTTTACAATCAGGTGCTTAAATTGTGGATTATTTTCTTTTTTCTCATGACCTTACTTTGTTTCAGGGATGATAATGGAAAGAGAAATTAGATTTCAAACCCTTTTACATAAAGGTTAAAGGGTTAATTCGTTTTTCGATGACCGACCGAGCTTGAACTGTGCATATTTCTTTTGCTTTCTCTTTTCCTTATCATCGAGGTACGATTAACATTTTACTGGCGGAATATCTTTAACTCTCGTAGTACCCACTTGGGTAAGATAGATTTATTTTTCTTTCTTTCCAAGGTGTTCAAGATAATGATACAAAAGACGATTCGTCCAAGGTAACTCAGAGCCATACAGTAGAGAAATTTTTCATTTAGAGTTGAAAGTTATCCAGAATTACTTTGGTTTTACTTTTATCGCTCAGTGATTCGTTGGTTCAGGAAACCCGCGCCGCTTTCGAAACTAATCGAATTCAAAACTTAAAAAAATTGCAGCATGATCGCTCGCATTTTCCCGTGCTTCGAGGGATTTGTGTGATTTTACTCTGGGCTCTGATTGGCTCTGTGATATTTCCCTTTGTTCGGATTGGCTGATGTGATTACTTTGGTGTTGGTTAAACGACACCATAATCGAAAAGTGTTCTATATTCCAATTCACAGAATTCTTTCTTTGGGTTTTTTGTTGGAATTTGCTTAACTGTTTGCTGGACCCAATTGTTATCATTATTTAAGGATGTGTCTTTCATTACTGCCTTTTTTTCCGTTACGGACATACATAACTTTTAGTTGTATTTCTTCTTTAGGATGAAGTCGCCATAATAGATGATGAAGGACGGGAATCAGGGGAACCCTCACAGGTGTGTTTTCGTCGTCTTCTGTCTGTTAAAATTTATTATGTCTGAAAAATCGAAATTAACCTTTAGAGTCTAACTTTCAAGATCTGGCAAATAGATCTACTCTTCCCGGCTTGCTGGCTTATAAAATAGACAGCAAATTTTGGTCTTATTTCAAATGGGGATTGTTTTTCTTTCCCTTTTTTTGAGTATGATTTTGGTGGGAAACAAAAGAAAGTGTCTGTGCAAATTTTTTCGCGCAGCATACACTGTATTTAAAAAAGAGCTTTGTCATGATGTGAGTAACAACAAGGCGATCAGAGTTAAACCAGGCACTCTTAACTGATATTGTAGGATCTTCAAGACGCGTCTGACTACGTCCGCGAAGAACTGGAAATGCTCGAAGAACAACAAAAAGCTTTGGACAAAGTTGGAGAAAAACTGGAAATTGAGCTTCGTCGGGCGATGCAGACTAAAGGTAATATAAAGCGTTGTATGCGTTGTGTTTACCTCTCTATCTGTTACTCAATTAGCACGAAGAAGAGTTTCTGTAAATCAGTGAAATGAAGACTTAAGCTTACCGTTAACACTGTGATAAGCACCCCGTATAGTTCGTCAAGTTTAAAATAAGTCCCCACCCACCCCTCTCTTGTAAGCCTCCAGTTTGGTAAGGCAATCAGAACGTAATCAAACCTGTTTGCTCAGTGCCAGTTAAATGAAACAAAGTGAAAGAGGGCTCCAGTCAAAAGATGATTGAAAATACAGGGATTCTTATGAGCCAGGGGAACGGAACAAGAGCTCGCATAGCGTTAGTCAGGCATGTTCTCTGGAATATATTATACAGGTTGTGAAGATGAACGAGAAAAACTTATGCAGGAATGGTTCTTACTGGTTAACAAGAAAAACGAGCTGGTCAGAAGACAAGGTGAACTGAATTTACTGTAAGTACATTACATTTTATTTATTTAACTTCAAGTTATAGACATGCCCAATGTGCACTCTGGTTAAACTCTACAATTTTCGCAAGGACCGTTCAAAGCCTTAAAGCGACGAATGCGAGTCGCCGGAGGGACAAATTACGCCTTCCAGGCACATATTCTCATAGTTTGCTTCATACTTGATATCCGCTGTCTTTCGGCTTTCAGTTTTTTGTGTCATTGTTTTAAGCGCCAAGTGGTGAAGCTTTTTCGTGCGTTATTGGTGACCATTGGTTCGAGACAGGGCGCATGACGACAAAGTATCGAAAACTAATATCAGAATGATACGAGCAGCCAATCAGAAAAAAGGACAAAAATCATCAGGAGCCTATTAGAACTCAACGCTAACGCATGTAACCAGCATAAAGCGCGGGAAACCGCGCAAGACCCAGGAGTGATTGAATTTACTTATCACTTGTTGGTTGAGAGTGATGTGAAAGTTTTACGTAATTCAATAACACCAGTACGGTCCCAATCATTTGAAGCTTTTTAGAATGAGTGAGGTTATATGAAGTTGTTTTGTTATGTCTCCCTAACAATAGGAAGAACGAAGAGGACCTGGAAAGGAGTAAGGACATGCTACAACGAGAACTGCGAGCCATTTTGGAATTGGAAGGTAACTGCAAGAATAATTTTTGGAAGACATATGCAGCCTGTGAACTTGTTTTGCATTGTAAATTTACACGGATTGAACTGTTTGCTTCTTAGATTGGCAAAAGACCGAGGAGCAAAAAGATCGTGAAGCAAAATTAATTGATCAGCTGGTGTCAGTTGTCAACAAGAGGGATCAGTTGGTGCAGTTTGAAGACTCGCAGCTTTATCAGTGAGTATATGTTGGGATTTGCATAAAGTTGAGTCACCTACCTAACGCTTGCGGACCGGGTGGGCTTACGGTTACCGAGAAGTCTGGGTTCGAGACCTAGCCGAGTCATTGTGAGGTGTTCTTAGGTCTACGAGTCCACAGCAACCACATGGTTCCACTACCTTGGCAGTAATTAAAAAAAGATCGATAGCCTCAAATCCTTCACTTACTGAAACGCTATTTCGCAAACTCAAACAGACTATGTCTGAGGAGCACCTAGCGTACATGTTGAAATTCCTTCAAACCAACAAGTACACAAAATGCATTTTTCTGAACGAAGTACAACAGCGGGCAGCTAAATTTCAGCAGTTATGCAAACTGTGGTATGTATGAGATACTTCATGCCTTGTTGAAGGAGAGTTTGTTGCGAAAGTTTTACGCTTAAACTAGGGAGACTACCGCGCAGATTTGTGTGTAGCATACATGTAGCTGAATGCTTCCTATTACAAGAACGGCAGGCTGTATAGCTGGGGAGACTATACGCAACTGCCTTGTGCACGCTATAACGATGATAAACGTTTTGAATTGATTATAATTCAGTGCGTTTCTTTGTTGCAATTCTTCGCAGGGCTGAGCAGGATGCACTCCATGTGCAAAAAGTGATTGCTAGTGCCAGGCTTTCAAAGGACAAGAATGAATGTGTTCTCCAGTAGGAATAAATCATGTTTATTTCAGTTTCCTTGGCTTATGAAACGTGATTTCAATCATCCCCCAAAGTGGCGTGAGAAAGGTGTATTAAAGAGAACAACAGAACAAATCCTGTAAAAATTTACTCGAGTTAGGTCGAGATCTTAAAGGTTATCCCCAAGTATCTGGTACTGTAATTGTGAAAAGCTACCCGAGCCGTTTGTCTGGTTGTTATTTACACGTAAATATTTAAATGGAAAGCGAAACAGCTAATCAAAGACAATGAAGATGTATAGTTAATGGTTTGAAGCCGGTGGTAACATGTGATAGTGAAGTCTGATCGTCCGTGTGGGTGTAGTCCTGAGGAGGACTGTTGTCGGTAGTGATGACTGACATTTCGACAACCTGAGCGGAAGTGATCACCAGAGTCAAGGGAATAGTCATTGTCAGTTGAACAACAATTATTCACTACAATCTGACAACAACTCTTTACTTGACTCCAATAATGACTTCCAATGACGCAGAGGTTGTAGGATCACACTGATCACACTGAAGATATGTTTATAGATACTAATAACGAGAGTTTTGAAATGGTGACATCTCGGGCGGGTCTTTTGCTGCAAAACAGTTCAAAGAAGGCAGTTAGCCGGAAGGTGTAGTACTCAGGCAGAATTACTGCTTCAAAGGTTAACTGCTCTTTTCTTGTTTTTTGTTCGGTTACACTACACCTGCTTGCTTAATATTGAATGGTTGTGTCAGTGATTGCTGCACTTTTGTGTCAAAATTGTTTTTTCCTCAAAATTTGTGTAAGATGAATATATTGCCGAAGACGGCGTTAAATTTAGCTTAAATTTTCCAGTATTATTTTTATAGCACCATTATTTAGAAAATTTTCTATCTGTTTCTAAAAATGAATATTGCGTTGCAAAATTTTGACACCTCAGGCTTCAAAGGCACTCGGGAGTAATATTGACCCTTAAACCCCAAAGAGTTAATAGCATCTAAGTTTTCCTTACATAACCACTGAATCTTTCTTAAATGTCATGAGAATAAATCTAGTGGTCGCTAACTTAAGTAGCTTTTGATTTTTAAAATAATTCTCTTTGTCATTACCATGCGAATTGTGTAGAAAACAGTTTGGAGTATTTATATAGTAATGTTAGACTGTAAAGGGTTAAATCAAGGAAGTGCAGTTAAAGAACTGATGGTTTCAACAACTAAGAATGGTCATCTTCTAGGATAAATATTATTTTTGTGAAATAATTTAAAATTAAGTAAGTAAATATTGGTTGAACATCCTATTCCTTCCCATTAATCTTTATTCCAATTGAAAGGGAAAAAAGAAAAGAAAATTGAGACATAATTTAACGACGTAACCTTCTCCGTTGTCCTTCTATCTTATTCTTTAACTTGTCCTCTCGTGTTCTCTATTGGAACCAAGAGCGTTTTGAAATTTCATTATTTTATTTTTGAAATGCTATTCCCAGAGTGCACGACGAATAAAAACGGAAGTGGTTCTATCAGACAAAAAGCTCTTATGAATTAGGGTGGGCAATTAGATATATATGAGATGGTTATAGCCATCTCTGCCTTACGATCCTCGTTGGCTATCTCTCACCTCCTATCCACCGTTTGCTCGCAGAATATTGTGAAATATAAACTTCAGACACTCCGATGATTTGTGTGACCGTAACTACATGAGAAAATGTGTTGCGTGACAAGAAGTATTGCCTTCGCTAAATCCATCTAAGCAAGATTAAAAATATAGAGAATTTCTTTGGGCCCCATTGAACATCAGCAGATGTGCATCTAGACTAAATAGCGAACAATATATTAAGCACGAGCAGAAACCAAGAACAGAAAAACGATTAAAGCGAGAGGAAAAACGGGCCATGTTATCTCCAAAAGTTGGTTCACAATCTCTTTTCGTTCTGCATTTATATTTATATTTGAATAGCGCGTGACTTCGGCGGCACAGACTGAGATCAGCATTACATAATCCCTAAAGAAACATTACTGTGCCCTGTAGCTATTGTTTCTTCGACAGACGATAATTCCATACATGGTCACTAGTGCGCCTGGACCAGTTCAAAATTTAACCATAGTTAACAGAGATTACACGACGCCGTGTTTCTGTTCAGTTACAGACCATAGAAGACATAAAACGCAGTACATCAGGTATGAAAACGCGCACGATTTGAGTATTATATGTTAGACAGCTGTGTAATTTAAGCGAGGTTTGGCTCGCCCTTGCAGAGCTTTTCAAAGTGGTTACTGTCGTTGTATTTGATCCGCCGCTTGGTGATGTACTTGTGTAGAAATGATTAGCTCTGACCAACTTCGGAATTGTCGGCACTAACGAAGTTCAGAGAGAACTCAGTTGATTGAAACGCCTCGAGACTTGAGAACATTTTGGCAATACTCACCCAGGCTTAAAAAATTATTTCATCCAGAGATCGTCTTAAAATTTTCCTCACATATCTTATCCGTAATCCAAGAATAGTCTTGAGGCCATTCTTGTTAGGGCATGACATATCTCTCAGCGAAGAATTCGAAGACAATGGTGATTGCAAAAAAGTACTCAAATTCTTCTCCCTTTTCCTCTAATCCACAAATCAACCTTGGCAAGAAATTGCTGGGAATCCCTTATTCCAGATTAATCATGCAAATATATTTCATTTGAAACGGTCGTAGGAGAAGTTTAATCTTTTTTTTTTTTTTTGCCGTCAGCCGTTACTGTAGACATCAAGCTTAACCTTTCTAATATGGTGCGTGCAAAAGCGCTTAAAATGTTGTCACGGCGACGACAGAAGGCGGATGACTGTATGCGACCGTCATCAGTTCTTATGAACTCCTTCTGTCGTTGCACTTTGGTTAACATTAATTTTCTCTGGCTATGTTGATTGATAGTGGGCCAACAATAGACCAAAGTACGTATGGCGCCGGGAGGCACCGTGGTCAGAATGTTCACCCAAATAGCGGTGCTCTTGATTATTATTTGCTTCTAATTAGTGTCACATTTCGAAGGTGTGGTTCGCCTCTTAAAGATATTGTTTGCCGTCTGTAAAATTTAAAGGCATCGTTGCTACGTATTAACTTCGTTCATGATAGTCCTCTCTTAAGCTATCACTTCCTCCTTCTTCCTTGAAAGGAAACCTCCATAAGCGGAACAGGTCCTCGTTAAATTATAAAAAATCATCTTTAAAGTTAAAATTTGTTGGCGTAAATGGAAAAAAGGTAGGTTTGGTGAGTTAATATCAGAACAGATTCCGACCATTTTGAAAGTGTCGCTCTATGACCTGCATACTCTCCTTAGGACTCTAGCCTGCAGATCAGGTGTAATGTTTTTATAATTTTGCGCTCGCCTTTGTTCCCCTCAAAAACGGCGGCTTCCTTTCAAAGTGAACGTTACAGACTGAGAAAGACTTGCTCCCTGTTCACTTTTTGTGTTATGCGACCCATAGTTACATTGTGGCTGTTTTATGCCCAGATCTGCCAATGACAATTATGACTAAGGCGTTACAATCAAACTGCCTCGAACCTGACATATTCTCAATTCTAGGATCAATTCTAGCAACCAAAATTTCTTCGAAATCCTCAAAAATATCTTGAACGATCGCTCCGAGTGATTGCAGAGCATGATTATTACTGGGCCATGAAGCGGTGAAATGAGTTGGAAGTAATTTCGTAACCGCTCATCACGACTACACAGGGTCTCGTGGACATATAAATAAATTCTCCTTGTCAGCACCTTAGTAAATGTACAGAGAACAGTATGGAGAATATGAATACTGATGTTAGGGTGTAAAGGGTTAACGACAGCGTTTACTTTTCTTAGAGTGAAGCTCTCAGTTGCGGAACCATACCTTCAAGGGAGAGGGGGAGGGGGGGAAGGGCGGTTCTGTGTGTGTGTGCGTGTGTGTGTGTGTGTGCGTGCGTGTGCGTGTGTGTGTGGGTGTGTATCGGACAATTTGTGTAACTGATGTTTTCCATTTGTAAAGAAAAAGAGCACAACTTTCAATTTGTAAAGAAAAAGAGCACAACTTTCAAAAGCACCAAAATATCGCATTACTCTACCTTAACTTAAGAAAAAAGATAACTCAAAAATGCTCAATTTTTTAATCGAGCTCTACAGGAACGCTCGATTCGAAAAATGCAAGCCGTCTTTTCTCTCTTTTGGTCGCCAAATCTGCACCATGGTCCCAGGCGTTCTTAGCGGAGATGCTAGAATCTGGGGATGAGAATCGCGAGCCTCCCTCAATAGCTTTGCCTCTGTCCCTGATATCACACTATTTTTTTCTGCTCAAATATCTGGATGGTAATACAAAGACCGAAATTTTTGCCTGATTACATGGAGTTATTAACACAATTTAAAATGACATCTGTCGCCACAGGATAAAATGATATGGCTAGTTTTTCCCTCTTTTAGCTCCATCCTTGATGAAATCTCTTATTATATCTTGATCACGTTTGCATCATAGATGTAGTAGCCTGCCCTGGCTGGTGGCTCGGTCTGTCGGGTAGGGTAACCCTATCAGCCAAGGTCGCTATGTGCCATGCAAACGTCTCAAGGAGGGTAACCCGCCTAGCCAGGCTCGCGTTCATGTTACATTTACAAGCGCGCCAACAACCTCACCCCGGTATCCTGGGGTTGTAAAAATTGTTCGTAAACGCAAGCTATTTTTCGAGCACACGGCTAGGCCTACCCGGAGTACCCCACCTTCATGCAAACAAGCCCTTAAAAGGAAGACGATATGACTCCTTGAATGGCGTGACGCGCCAGACAGCTGGTAACTGCGTGACTTTGATCTTCACTACAAGGTTTTGGCATGAGAGAAGTTCTTGCCACACATTTGTGGCCTGAAGGAGAAAGAAATCCGGGAAATGTTGGTGTACTTCTCCCTAATTGGAATGTAAGGTACCATAATGATTCGATTTAGCGCCCTCTTTCCAATAAGCACCCCCTCTCTAAGAGAGCCCCCTTCGAATCTGTTTGCCAATAAGTGCCCCTGTTCTAATAAGCGCCCGTATTGAGTAAGCACCCTTACTCCAATAAGCGCCCCTTTTCTGTTTCAGTAATAGCACTGCTAGAGTGCTTGTACACTGAGATCAACCGTGGTACATCTTCCTTTAATTGCTCACGTGAAGCCTCACGACAAAAAATTAGTCTTCGTCTCAGTCTCTCAACTATTATGTCGCTGTTAGTGCTCAGTTTCTTAAACGAAAGAGCCTATCTTAAAATTTTGCAACAATTGCTCGGCAGGTCGTTCTAGCAAGGAAGGGCCCACGGACAATAAGTGAGTTTTCCAGTCTTTTTGATACTCAGTCCAATAAACATCAAAGCTTTGTTTTACATTCTGCTGATTTTCAAAAAAGAGATAAGCACCCTATCCCCTTGAGGGGAGCGCCCTGTTTCGAATAAGCGCCCTCCCTTCAACTACTAAAAGTAAAGAAGCGCCCGTGGTCTGAATCATTACGGTTGTACAAAAGCTAACTCTTATGATAAATTGTTGAATGGGAGAAGGATGATGAACTTTTTTTTCATGCAATAGGGAGCTCATCACTCAAAGAGGAGCCACCTCTCATTAACGATGCAGTAACAGCGTCAAAATTCGTGAAAAGTATGCCAGGAATCTGGTATAAGGACCCTACTCAGACCTCTGGCGGGCTTAGCCGCTCACACAGCAGTGAGAATAAGACCTTGCTCGCAGGCCAAGGTTCGAAACGAGCGCCTCTCAAAAATCGTCGACACTCGTTGGTAAAGTTCTGTACTTAAAAATTGTTGATGTAACCACCGGCACTCTTCTTGGTCCAGATCAGGACGATGAAATGTGTATCAGAGAACCAATAATTATGAAAGGTTGTATTTGATTATGAGTGAACCATAGGACGCTCCAGAAAGCTACGTATTCAAGGCCAGGTCACCCATGACTTCCGATGCCACACCTGTTTTCTCTAAACTGAAAAGCCGCGGGCTTATTCACTCAGGTTTCCATCTCAGCATGAGGATCAGCATAAAACTTTCAAAACAGTCAGTGCTTTGACGGGGGTTGAGGGAGGGGAAGGGGGGAGGGGAACGGAGGGAAAAATATCTTTCGCACAACAAAGTTTTATTCTTAAACTCGCCGAAAACAAGCCTCAAACTGTTATATTCTAATCTCAAAATCAAATTCATTACTTGCGCATACGTAATTTTGCTCTGTATACTCTTTTTGGACAGCATATCAGTCAGTTTCACGAAGTTCGTCGCTGTGTCCTGATCGGGTAAAAGTGACTAATACAAATGACCAAGTTTACCGATTCAATGACGAAACCTGACGAGAGTTTAGCAATCGTGAACGACTACTCCCGAAAACCGAACGAAAATTGGTTCTTTTCTGTCTCGGCAAAAGCGGCAAAATTTCTCTCAGTGGAAAATCGCTGTTCGCGTGTCCTCGCTACTTGTCCCCAAGCGGGTGCCGTCCCCCGGCCAAAAGTTAGGCTAATGTCGAAGTAAATCTG